ATAAACCATGGCACCGCCTCATCATAACGATGAAAAGACGCGAGACAATGCCCCGAAGGTGAACTTATAGAAAGAACATGGAAACAGAAGGTTCTCGTTCGATCAGGCGAGTAGTCACAAGTCCACTAGTTCTTTTTTCACTGCAATGAATGTACTCCATTCAGTATGGGATGGATGGCTTTAGGGAGGCAAATGAGTTAGTCCTCGATCCTCTGCCCGCCTTCCATTCCTGGCCTTTCGCATCGTTCCTTTGCCCATCCCACATTCCGAAAGCATAACCCATTCCGGGGTCCGTCGCATTATCATCACAACACCCTTCTCCTTTCCTCGGCTACCGATGCCGGCTGAACCACCTGCACTCCATCCTCACCCCATCACTTGCTCTACTCAACATCAGACCCCTTTTACACCCCGAAGCAAATCCATAGTGAATAGCAGAAGATCGGAGAGCGGACTACACAAGCTCGAACGAACAAGAAGAGAATAGGCGACAGGAAGAAACCAGAAGCCTCATTTTATGTATCCCTTGACACCTCGCAACCAGGAAGAGACCCAAAGAGGAGGAAAATAGAAAGGAAGCACCCAGATCCCCATCATGAGTAATGACTGTCTAGCTGCCTGCTTGCTTGTGTCTTCCACCCGTTTCATCATGTAAAGAGAAAGAAGCCGGGAATAAAGTAGGAAAGAAGAAACAGGAGACGAAAGTAAGAGGCAAAACAACCCCAGGTAAAAACATTAGGCCATGTATGCACGCTACCCATTATCCCAACATTCAGTTCAGTGTCGGTCATCATCAAGACTGGAGAAAGAAAAGAGAAGAGACAAAAGGCGGCAGAAAATGCGAACGGAACGAGGCCGGCGACAGACGGGAGCGGAGCAGAGACAGTTGCGTAGAAAGAAAAACGCAGCATTGCAACAGCATTAGACAGGCTGACTGGAGGAAGCCGTGCAGCTTGTTCAAATGCTGTAGCCCTCAAGCTTCGTTCTGAGTCGTCTGCGTCCTCACCTCTGTTTCCAGAGTTCAACCTATTTTATGGTGCCCTGCCATGCCATCCCGCGCCATGCAAACCGAAGGTAGTATAATGCGTCCATATTTTTCGCTCGTCATGCAAGCCATGGTACCCTTCTTTGCCAGCGGGGCATCTTGGGCCCCGCAGTAGTCGTACATATACAGGCTCAGGTATTTTGTTTATGTAGGGCGTGGAAAAGAACAAGGCAAAGGTGTATATGTACGTGAGCCGTCCGGGGATACACTCAAGGTCGGCTAGCTGACAGTCATCATCTGCATCCTCGGCGATTCGACTGATGCCCTGCTCAGTACCGACGCGCCGCTATGACTGTTGGGTAGCCGCCTTGGCGGGCTCGAGGCCGGGTCGGTAAACACCCGTGTGAAAGCAGGACTCCCGTCAGGGTTGTTATGGCGGCCGTGCCGTTCCCGTCGCGGAGTGCTAGCAGGGCTCTGCGTGAGGAGCTCTGCCCTCCGGACTGCATCCGAGAGCGCGTCGCGAAGGTGGCTAGCGCGCTTCACCAGCTCCTGGAGGCTGTTGGTGTCGAAAAACAGCTTCGTGTCGGGAGTCCTGGCAGGTGTGGCCGCTGCACTATCTGCAGCAGCCCGCTGTTGACGCATGGCCTCGATCACCGTTGAAATGACGGCAGAAGTACGGCCAGGACTGGATGACCTGTCAGGCGTGCGAGGAGCAGACTTTGCGCTTGTTTCGGCCGGCGGCCAATTGCAGCCAAAGATATCGTCGTCGGGGGAGAACACCGACCTACGTCGTGGGCTGTGTCGCTCTCGTACCACCGCCGTCTTGGACATTTCAGGCTTCGGAATCCCAAGCGAATCATCAAAATAACGATCGAGGAGCGGACCATCAAAACCGGCCTCCAAGAATCGATCATCGATCAGAGATAAATCCACGTCCTTCGATGACTTGGTCGAACTTGATTGCTGCGGCTCATCCTCGTCCGGCGAGGCCAAGGCGATGATATTTTCCGCCTCCGCCCATTTTGCCGCTAATGGGCCGTTGAGGATGTCGAGATCCTTGCCGTGCCGACATAGCCTTTTGAGATCGTTGACCAGTAATGACAGCTCGCGAATCTGGCCGGAATGCGCTTTCACGCTGGGTTGAGTCGCCTGGATCGAAGCAGGGACTACCACTGAGACGCTCATCGCTGAATCCTTGCCTCCGGGCAAGCAAAGTGCCACACCATCCCCTTCGAACTCAAAGTCATCGTCCCAGTCCTCGCTGACAGTTGCCGTGCCCATGCCCCAGGTTCCAAACTTGGGCGGCGGCTTTGAACCGTCAGAAGGATCAGCGACAGGCACACTCTGGCTGCGTACATGGGCGGCACCGGGAGGTTTTCGGCTAATTGAGCGGCCGCTTCTCAAGTCCAGCTCCTGCTTCCCATGCACCGTCTTCGGCCGTACCATATCCGCATCATACTTGTCGTGTATTGAAGGTTCGGACCAGTCAAATATGTTGCTCCGCGGTCTGTCGTCCACGCCCTGACGCTGGGGTTCAGGGCTGCCGTTTCCACTTATGTTCATTAGGGCCTGTCGTAGAGTCGGGCTGACGCGTCTTGAATTCGTCGAACTCGGCGGTGAAAGGTGGTTGCTGAGGGTGTTCTCATCATCTCGTGCCCAATCATCATCGTCATCATCATCAAATGATAATCGTTCCAAGTTGGTGTTGACTGATGACAGCTCCTGAGAAGCACCAAACCTAAAATCGTCTTTCAGATCCTGGCGACCTAGCTGTGGTGCTTCTGCCAGTTGTACCGTTCTGATCGGCGTGTGAAGACTCTCATCTTCCTCGGTAATCTTCGTCTCACCGTCCCACGGTCGCCCAAGCATTTCTTGGATAGACAGACGCTTCGATCTGCTATTGCTCGCAGTGCTAGGCGGTGATTCATCAAACATCGATCCCAAGGGCGTTTCAGTAGATCTCCACCGATTCGACGAGGCTCCGGTACGGAAGGAATCGTACATATCGTCACTTTTGAAATCCGTATCCTCGTCCTCTCCTGCAATCCCATCACGAATCTCGACATCGGAGCCGACTAGGGTCACTGATCGCTCCCCTGACGGTCCCCGGCTGTGGGGAATATTTTGCGGGACTTGTGGCTCTTGTACAGGGTCAACAGGACTTTGCAGCGGTCCTTGGAATGCTGCTGAGGAGGGCCTCGACAGCCCTAGTCGAGCGACATCTATGTTGAAGCTGGAAAGACGGTTTAGAGGGGGGAGGGGGGAAGAAGAATTCCGTTTACAAGTTCGCAGCCGGTCTAACGGTTCCAATTGCAACCCTTGCTTCTCAGTGGCTTGCTGTCGACCATCAGGCGGAATGCAGGACCCTCCGTTGCCCGTTCCGGCTGGGAGCTGTGCTGGGTCTTGCGGCGTGGTCGCAAGGTCAGGCACGTACCGGCCACCTCCGCCTTTGGCATCAACCGTACTCCGTCTCGGGCGCCGGACGCTTCCGGTTCTTGCAATCCACTGACTGGCCGAGCTGAAATGCATTGATATGGATTTTTTTGCTCGCCGGTCAGGCGTTGAACCGGTCGAATTAGATGGCTCGCTGGCATAATGAGAACTCCTTCGCTTTTCTTCAAAAGTAGGTTGATTCTGGGCTGCCTCATCTTCGTCCGCCAGCAACAGGACCTCAGCAATTTGGTCCGGCTTGGTGAGGTAGGCTCGAGAGACATGGCTCGGCCCAACCGCTATTCTTCTTCGGGGAAACATGCCGTGGTAGGGGTTGTCCTCACCAAGTATTCCCGAGGCATCTCGCACGGTTGAAGTCGACCGCCGAGCGTGGAAGAAAGACGTCCACTTGCCAGCTGGCTGGCTGGCTCTGGGAATAGTTGGGGATCTTGGCGACGACGGGGAAAATGCACTTGGCAGGTTTTGGTGATCAAACGAAAATTTCAGCTCGGTGGGGGTGAGTGGTTCGACAAGAGCACCTTGGGTCTGGAATTGCTGCAGCGTCGCAGACCTTTGGTGGCTGGTAGCGGGCCGTCGGAGCGTCAGAACCTGCGACTTGGAGCCTCGCCGTGACGCGCCTCCTGCTACCCCGTTTTGTCCGGAAGTTGTCCTTTTAACCAGCTTATTCGGAGCCGTTTGAAGGGTTGGTGACTGCCCTAAAATCGGCACGCCAGAGCCATGCGAGAAGGTCATGGACGAAGAATCCGGCCCTAAGCTCGATCTCCGACTGCCATGCTGGGACAACGGTCGAAGAGACAGCCGCCGCACCCAAGAGCCCCTTGAGGACACCGAATCGCGAGGATCCTCTGCAATTGGCCTAGAAGTTACATCGCCCTGTCGTAGGAACGAGTGCCTTCTGTTGTTCGACTTCGGAGACGAGAGATGGACGCTGCCAAAAGGCCGCGGGGCACCACCTGAGCTGGTAGGGTGTGAGGTAAGAGGTCCAGGGCTCACGTTGATGATTTCGCGAAAGGAGGAGTAAGGGAAGTCGTCAACTGGAGAAGGGCATGTAGCACTAGGGGCGGCGCTTGTGCGAGGGCGGATGAACTCAGGCTGTGCCCTGAACCCATCATAGTCGTGAGCGAAGATGCTTTGGCGGGACGGCGGCCACGGGGTTTCAGTTTCAGGCGGTTGGCCAAAGACTAGGCCGGCGGCAGCAGCCGCAACAGCGGTGCCGGTGCCCACAAGCTATGAACAGTAATGTCAGCACTCAATCCCCCAGTGGGAAACCTCGAACATGCCACGCCGGAAGAATTAAGAGACGAAGAGAAAAGGCGAGAAACAGAGGGTGTTCAGGTATTTGGCAAAAGCCCAAGCCAACGGGTTTGTTTGTATCTTTTATGGAAACGGTTCTCGAGACTTACACTCGGCACTGTCTGCATCCTCGTTGCGATTTATGCCAACGGCAAATAGCCGTAAGAGGGAGGAGGGGCGAGGAGGGATTCGGTTGTCGTGAGGGCCGTGATTTGCATCGTCAGGGCATTACGGAGTAGGAATCGTTTTTGTGCTGGATATGGGCTGAGAAACGTGGAATGTGGACAGTGCAGTCGCGTTCTTGCAGCTACCAGTAGAACCCGTCGTTGCCGACTCAAGAGGAAAGACCCAGGCGGGGAAGGCGCCCGAGGGCCGGTTACCGTCGACAATGCGAGGTACCTTAGGCTTCTGGCTTCTGTCTGAGAAGCCCGCTTCGCGCAACCTCTCGAGCAAGGCCGATCCAGCACAACGTGGAGATGCACGGTTTGCGGAGGTGTGGTCGGAAGGGCTGCGGGCAGCGAGCGGACGGTAATGCAATCCACGACGCGGCCGATTGCTATTGCTAGTGCCGTTTTGTTTTGTTCCTCTTCCCCTTCAGCTAGCAAGCCGCAATTGCGGATTGACCGTGGCCGTGGCCGTGATCTGAGGTGCTCGCTTCTCGACTCGACACGAGGGAAAGCAGACGGCCGTTTGCGAAAATAACAGCCCGAACTTTCCCCAAGACGCGACACGAAAAGCGGCAACTCAGCGGGCCGTCACCATAAGATACCAAAACGACAAAGCAAGACACACGTCGACGGGAATTAAAAGAAAGACTGGAAGGAAAGAGAAAACGGCAGCCAGATCTGTAGCGACTCAGGAGGACTGGCAGTGCACCTCCCGCAATCTGCAGTGGAAAAGGATGAGGAGGATCACCCCAGGTACACTACGACACTCTGTTGTCCCGGCCGGGGTTCATGTTGCAGCAGTGGGGACTTCAGCGGGCAGGAGTTGTGGGCTTGTTGTGGGTGGAGTTTCGGGCCTGGGCTTGTCGATTCGGAAACGCTGGGATTGGTTCTGGATTGCCCGCTCGATTTCGGGTACGTTGCCGGACGGCGTGGGCAACAACTCATCATAGCAATGGAAGACGCGCTTGGCGCAATGTTTAGCGTACAGGATCCCTAGGTAGGCTTTCAAATGTTTGTGTGAATTTCAAGCGTCAACAGCCTTTGGCTCAGTGCTCTCTGGTTCAGTGCTATGGTTGGGTGCGAAGTCCTGTAATTATGTATGCCCTCCGTACATACCTCCGTACCTTACCTTACATACCTTACATACACGAATCCTCCAATCTCGACAAGCTGTGCCTGTTTGATGAGAGATGCAGTGCTGTGCATCTGTTGCTGCGCGCTTGCGCATGCCATAAGCCCAGAGTAAGCTCACGGCAGGGATTTGGCCGCTGAGCGCAAAACCGGGAGAACCAGTCACCTCGCTCAGCGAGCTCGTCCACAACCAACATGCAACAATGGCTCCCGGTCCACCTATAGGGCCATATTTGCCCAATTCCACCTTAAGTACTCGTACGGATCGTTATCTTTCTCTGAGTCCATTACTTCAGTTACAATACAATGAGTTAAACACCAGATGTCAGTTGATCGACAGCGGCAACGTTTTTCACCAACCAACGGGCAGCCCGTTTAGGCCTTTGAATCCTAGACTGGCTCCGTTAGATTTGTCACAGACTTCGTCGGCTTGAAGATGGACTGTAGGTACATACATACTTGCCGTGCCGTTGTCAACTTGAGTCTTGTGTCATCCAGATGGAAACACTTTGCGCTCAAAACACGATGAGCCAACGGCCGGGCAACTGGCACAGGGATGTTGATGCTTGGGACTGGCGCAATTAAAAGAATCTGGTCCACATAACTTACGCCCCATTCCACTTTTTCCAAGAAAACCGACAATGCAGCAGCCCTGGACGCCAATAAGATGGTAAGAACGATGCATGGCCACAGAACTTCCCAGGAACGCAGCGCAGCTCTTTCCCCGGCGATGATGCTGTTTTGGGAGCAGCTTGTACCAGCGGAATCGCATACCGTATTCAGTAACTAACGTTACTAGTAGTAAGTACCGTACAGTACAAGTGGTATTTACTCGTACGTTCTTCTATGTTGTTATCCTGATCTTGATCTTGATTCACAATACCTCCGTACCTATTTGCTTTTGACAGCGATCTCGTTATCTCTCCAGAACTCCTCATGTTATTTGGGCCACTGACAGCACCCAATAACAAGGCAACCGTTATACGAACTTGGCAGTTCAGTTTCAACCCGGAAGGAAAGACACTCGAATGGTTTGCCCCGGGTCTCCTAGCAACTGCTTTCTTCCAAGTTATCCCTAGCTCTTTTCCCAGCCAGTCCTGGCAGGCACCGGCCCACCTATACTTGCCTACCTAATAACTTACACTACCACACGAACCTGGAGTTACAGTACATCAAGCTCGTCGACGTATAATATATGGCCACCACGGGCAGTCAATGAGAGACGCAAAAACAGGATAAAATTCCGTGAGAAGCAACCGACTGTGCGTCGCCTTCCTGCGTGGCGTTGAGCGAATTGAGCTGTGCCGAACCTGAGCAGACATCTGGCTACCGACGGCTGCGTAGAGCAACAGGGACACCATCTAAGATTCGAGGGGAGCCTCGCAGTCTCCGGCCTCCTGCACCATACCAACGTTGTCTGCGACTCTGCGTTGCTTTACTTTGCGCCCTCGCTGCCTTGCATGTGCGGCTTACACGAGGAGACGAGGTATACATAGTACACTAACTGTATTGAAGTGCACATACATACATACAGTACAGCAATACATGCTACACGATTGCCTTACACAGCCCTGACTGTGGACCTCTGTCCCCCGCAAAAAGAGGAGCGATCTAATTACTGGTTCACGTCCCCGGGACGCAGCAGCCACTCGATGTAGAAGATCTCGAGATCTTGAGATCGGCGTTTCGGCAGGGCTTGAGGGCACATGACTAATTCGTGTATGTACGGTTAAGATAGAAAGGGCGGCGAGAGCGAGCCGAGATGCGGGACCGAGAGTTTTGTTGTTTTACTAGTACTTCGTACCTAACTCGGTATTCGTACTCTGTACATCAATTGATTCATCAGTCTTACCTTACGTAGGTGGATTCCTTATTACTGCCTTGCTACTCCCCTGTCCCGAGACAAGGGTCAACTCTGCATCCGAGGTCTATGTAGTGGCTTTTTGCCAGATCTGGAGTGAATCTGGCGGACAGGTTCGTGGTGCTGCTCACAGGGCCTGCGGTTGACCTCTTGCTCCTCTCTCGTCTTCCAGGTCAACGTCATGGATAGAAAGGGGATGTGAATGGCAGGACAGAATCGTTCGTAACATGCTAGTGCTGTTGCGTTACACACCAATTTGCCCTCCCGCCGGAGCCCATACACTAGATCGGTCATAAGCAAGATAATATTATTATATATTATTCTGGACGGGACTGTGCGAAAAGACCAGAAGGATGCCTGTTCCCCTTTTGCATACCTGGGAAAATGGGCAGCAACTCCTTGTGTGGAACCATTTCGACGGCAATGTACTTGTCCCGAAACGCCTGGTCGTCAGGGTTGCCTACACAGTAGACGTTGCGTCCGTACGGAGCGTCTCACTACCTTGCGTGTGTATCAGACACAACCTGTTCACATCCGTTGAGTAAGGTACATGGGACTGTCCACTTTCCGGATCTCTAAGGGCTGGATACAGCCCATACAGTTGCTGTATCTCTGTTAGCCACTGGCAGAAATGCCGGTTAGAACTAGGGCAGGTGTGAAGACCAGACAACACCGACAATTGCAGGACAATTTTGGTTGCTCGACCCGTGTTGGGTCAAGTCTGATAGGCATCTCGAGTTTGACAGGGTATCGGTCTCTTCCTACACTTGTGACTGATTTGATGTTGGTCTCACGAGACGCAATCTCCACAGCGACTCGAGAAAAGGGTTCCGGCTTCCGACTTTACGGAATATTGCATCGCCAGAATTGATCATCCCAACGACAACTGAACCTGGAATATAGTTCATTCTGTATCACACAAAGACTCCTGTTGGACTTATCCATGCCGAGACGAGCCAGAGAGGTAACAGGCACCGTAGAACGAGGTTTTCAGGCCGCTCGGGGTTGTAAAACGAGAGATATAAAAGACTGTGCGCTTGCAACACCTAGATAGAGAATATCCCCTGGAAAGTGGATCTGATATACGGAAATATATATATGTAAGATCCATCCGGAATCGAAGAGGATAATTGGATCCGTCTCTCCGCTTAGCCTATATATGGGATCCAAGCCAGGTAGGAGGCTGAGGCGCTACAAAAGTCTCTTGTTTTGAAACGACGTCTCGTTAACCCGGCTACAGCGGTATTAAGGTTAGTAGTGTTTCACGCCTTGGGCCACTGTAGGCAGCAGGGGATAGGTATACTTACATATGTTACCAAGACGAAGAACCGTCTCAAGGTGCTAAATGCTCATCGAGCTCGACCGCCCATGGCAGATGTTTTCCCGGAAGTCTGTGGACTACAGTAGTTGCCGGTAAATTCTGAAGGCCATGCAATGGCTTTGTCCCTGCCTAGCAGCGTTCCTAGCTGCACGTTATGGTACGTAGTAACGCCAGTCTCAGCTATTAATAACGGCACCTGGAGAGACGAGCAGTCGATGCCCGAACCACAAAATGCGGTCACGGATCTCGCGAGTCTAGCCTAGCCAGGCTTAAAGAGAGGCTCTGAATGAGGTGCCAAGAATCCAGCCCTGAGGAGATGGCACATGCGATCAGGCAGAGTAAAGGTGTGAAGTTGAGCCGAGCTTCCCGCGCTTCATTGATGAGGGACGGCTGCTGCCAGCCTGCCACAGCATGCGGATTGATGTCTCGAGGTACCAGCATGGAAGTCCGAACCTGATGCAATGTGGCCCAACAGGGTGTCATCTGCTGGGACTGCCCCGGTCCCTTGGAAATGGAGCGGTCGCATGGGAGGAGGCCAACGCGTCCCGATTGGTGCTACACGTCGTTGAAGCTCTGTGTAACCGGTAATAATTCAACTCGAGCTGCGTCCAGCATCGCGTCATCCATTGATCTTTCCTTCCCGCTCCAGCGGCATGTGCCAGACCGCCTATGTACTACATACAGTACTTGTATGTACATTTAGTATCTCGAGGTTCTCGCGAGGCACCGCCCAGCAGCTGTGGCCAATTCGTCGGTTACATAAGAAGAACATGGCAACGGTAATAAAGATCGCGGTCCCAGTTGACCTCAGCATGAGTCGGGCGAACGAAACAAGGAACATCGATGTATTTGTATCGCAAAAAAATTAATCGGGTAGACCTATACCCACCTCCAAGCTTGCAGCCAATGGGCACACTGCTCTCCCGCCCAGGGAAAAGTGCAAGCCACAGGCCGGACACATCGCTTCCTCAGGCCGTTCTCCAGCTATAGCCCAGCATTGAACCTAGTATTAATGCCTACAATACTCCGTATATCCTTAGGCAATTAAGTCATCATCACTACACCGCTACGACGCGACAGCTCTATGGCTATAGCAGCTGTAGTCAAATCAGCTATATAGTTGGCAAAGGTTAGAGAGGGCGGGCAGGGCAGTCTGGTCCGGGCACTGCTAGGCGCCCGCTAGAAAAGCGGCTCGGCTGCTTATATCAACATCCTTGAAATCGCATGCGTTTGATTTTTATTGTAGATTTGAGCTTTTCAGAGCTCAAGAGGACTAGAGAGCTAGAGAGCTAGAGAGCTACGTCCGTAGGGAGTTAGAAAGTCACAATGGTCGTGGGCATTTTTCGCCTTAGGTAGTACTTCCAATGTGCCTAGCCTGTGGCTTGCTCTTTGGACCTGTAAAAGTGGCTGAGGAGGGGAGTACGCCCATTGGTTGCAGACACTGAAGTACGTATAGGTCTACCCGATTATCAAAAAAGGTCTACCCGATTAATTTTTTTGTTGTATCGAGGTACAAGACAAGTGCCTACGAAATAATTTCATAGCGTCGGTCAGACTTTTCGCACATTGACCAATCACGCATCATGTTTCTTTTCAGTGAAAGCTGCTGCAAATGGTGGGGCCAGCTGGGCGACAGTTGCCGCCACAAAACACCACCGCCCACCTAGTCGACCCGCCCCTAACCCTCACTGCGGTCCCTGAAAAGGAAGAAATCTGGAAATCATAAGAGTACTAGTTCAGACGACATGCTTCGTGCCCCATAGAGTAGTGTGGCTAGTAACCTCCACACATAAACTCTCACAAGCATTACCAAGTATACCTGCTAAGACTTGGCGGCTCTGTCTGGTAACCCGGCGCACACATCGACCAGCCTACATACCCCGAAACGAGAGCACACCATGGATGCCGAAATCCGGGCGGTTCTCCCGAATATTGACCCTGTCATCTCCGAGTACTCGGCAGGCTATTTGACCCATGCCTCCACTGCCTGGTCCGGGGACGAGGATGCTTCCGGACCGTCTCCGCTCGCCGAGGCCGCCTCCACCATCACCGAGCTGCTCCTTTCCGCATCCGGGAGCTATGGTGCGGCAACCCAGGACAAGATCCGGAGTCTTGTAGAGAAATGGGTTGACAAGTACGCCGCTGCCAGTGACAGCCAGGAGAGGAAGGGCCCGGCTGTCAAGCGGCTTGACCAGACCATCCAAGTGAGCGCCCAAAGGAACATGTCGTCGACTTTGGCCGTGGCTACCGGCGGCGTGGATCTGGAGTCGGCCAATGTCCGCAAGGTCGAGTCCAAGGTCGACAGGAAAAAGCTCGAGAAGGCCGAGCGCAAGATTGCTGCCAAGCAAAACAAAAAGACATTCAAGACGGTCGAATACGAAGCTTCGCGTCTCCTGAACCAGCCCGACTCAACCCAGTCCTATGAAGAATTCTACATGGCCGTCAACCCACTGCAGATGGGTGCCGGTCAGGGCGGAAAGTCCAAGGACATCAAGATCGACAACATTGATGTGTCCATCGGCGGAAACAGAATCCTCACCGACACCACCTTGACTCTTTCCCATGGCCACCGCTATGGCCTCGTCGGCCACAATGGTGTTGGTAAATCGACCCTCCTTCGGGCCCTATCCAGGAGAGAGGTCCCAATTCCAACACACATTTCCATTCTGCACGTTGAACAAGAGGTACCGTCGTCGTGCCCTCCTGCTCCGTTCCTGCGTGCTCTGTCGCTGACTAGGGACATAGATCACCGGTGATGACACGCCGGCGTTACAAGCTGTATTGGATGCCGATGTCTGGCGCAAGGTGCTACTTAAAGAGCAAGCCGTAAGTCGGAAACCCCCAACAGTGGAACGCTTATCATTTCTTACAATATGCGCAGGAAATCACCCAGAAACTGGCAGATATCGAGGCGCAACGAGCCTCCTTGGCGGATACCTCGACGGACGCTGCGAAGCTGGACAAGGAGCGGGAGGCGCAGGACCAACGTCTCGGCGATATTCAAGCCAAGCTCGCCGAGATGGAATCGGACAAAGCCGAGTCGAGAGCCGCAAGCATCCTGGCAGGTCTTGGTTTCTCGCCCGAGCGGCAGCAATATGCTACCAAGACTTTCTCTGGTGGTTGGAGGATGCGTCTGGCGCTCGCTCGGGCGCTCTTCTGCGAACCGGATCTTCTCCTTCTGGACGAGCCTTCCAACATGTTGGATGTTCCCTCCATCACCTTTCTTTCCAACTATCTGCAGGGCTACCCCAGCACTGTTCTCGTCGTGTCCCACGACAGGGCGTTCCTCAACGAGGTGGCCACCGACATCATCCACCAGCACTCGCAGCGGCTCGACTACTATCGCGGAGCCAACTTTGACTCCTTTTACGCCACAAAGGAAGAAAGGAAGAAGACGGCTAAGCGGGAATACGAGAATCAGATGGCACAGCGTGCTCATCTTCAGGCTTTTATCGACAAGTTCAGGTACAATGCGGCCAAGTCATCAGAAGCCCAGTCCCGCATCAAGAAGTTGGAGCGCATGCCTGTGCTTGAACCTCCAGAAACAGAGTATAGCGTCAAGTTCAAATTCCCAGACGTTGAGAAGCTCTCGCCTCCGATTGTCCAGATGTCCGGCGTCACCTTTGGGTACACAAAAGACAACATCCTCCTCAAGAATGTCGACCTCGATGTCCAGCTTGACTCCCGAATTGGCATTGTCGGGCCCAACGGCGCTGGCAAGACAACAGTGCTCAAGCTCCTCATAGGAAAGCTACAACCCACGAGCGGCATCATATCGCAGAATCCCCGCCTGCGCATCGGCTTCTTCGCACAGCACCACGTCGACGCGCTCGACCTCAACGCGAGCGCGGTCAGCTTCATGGCCAAGAACTACCCCGGCAAGACAGACGAGGAGTACCGCCGCCAGCTGGGTGCGTTCGGCATCACGGGCACGACGGGTTTGCAAAAGATGGCTTTACTGTCCGGTGGTCAGAAGTCGCGTGTTGCCTTCGCCTGCTTGGCCTTGACGAACCCACATATTCTCGTGCTCGACGAGCCGTCCAACCACTTGGATATCGAGGCCATGGATGCTCTCTCCGAAGCACTTCAGGAGTTCCAGGGCGGCGTGCTGATGGTGTCTCACGACGTCACAATGCTCCAGACCGTTTGTAAGTCTCTGTGGGTGTGCGACAACGGGACTGTGGAAAAATTCCCCGGCGATGTGCACGCCTACAAGAAGAGGATTGCTGCTCAGGCTGACGCTGCTGGTGTCGTCAAGGCTCATTAGAGGAGGATATGTACCTAGCAGGAAGTGTACACAGATAAAAAGACGCTTGGATGTTTACAAGCTTCTTTAAGTTTAGGCTACAAGAATGGCTGCCCTCCGTCGGATAAGGAATCGCCAAACTGGTCTTTGGTACATACCCTGGTAACCGCCGTACTTGTAGTCCGTACAGCACAATACACTCGAAGAAAAGTCATTCCAGGCTGGCTCGCCTCGTGTTTAGTGTATCATACTCGCACAGCTTACGAGCATGCTTGTAGCAACGAGCCCAGGTGATCTTTTCATGACTTCTAGCCAATACCTATCAGGTTCTAGAGAGGGGTGAGGTGCACAAGTATGTAGAGACAGTACAGTACAGTCGAGTATGTATTGTATGTACATGAAAAGTGATGCTCTACGTCGTCAGTACCAAGCAGAGCTTTGGTACAAATTGCCACACAATTGAGCGGATCGTAGAAGAGCAGTAAAGGCGTCTCGAGAGCAAAGGCCGCAACTCGGGCTGAAGGCCGTGGCTCGATCGGACCAGCTCTTTTTCGACAGTTTTGATAATTGATATGCGCTTCGCTCAAAAACGGTTGGTTACCTTTCAGATCCCCACTTCTGTGTCATCGCAATTGGGAATAGCGCAAACGAAGCGAGAACGCAGGGACCACCCAAGCAACCAAGGTCCCCGTTTCTGCTACGATTGGCGGTGCCTGATCTCCACTCGGCAGCAGCAAGCGGTGAGCGAGCCTGGCCTTTTATTTCTCTCCCCAAAAATCAACAATCTCCTCTCGCACCAACAAATCTCCACTCGACTGCTCCCAAGCTCTCAGCACGTCAACTCTGAGTTCGTTCCCCAAGCTTGCATCCATTTAGTAGCCCATCTTTTACACAAACATACCAAAATGCGTGAGATCGTAAGTGTCTTCCTCTCCGCTACCTTTCTGCACGCCTGCGACGCGTCTGGAGCTCGTTTTGGGGGCTCCTGATCTACCCCACACTCTGGGTGTCGTCGTTCCACAGCTCCTGGGTGACGGCGACGGCGGCATCGCGATGGTGACAAGGAATACGATGCTGACTGCGTTCCTTTTTTACAGGTTCACCTTCAAACCGGCCAATGCGTAAGTTTTAAACAATTTGTCGCGTACGAGCGCTCAGGCGGTGCCGAGGACTGACACGAGCCCTTCAGGGTAACCAAATTGGTGCCGCTTTCTGGTATGTTTTCGTCTTACGAGGTACAGAAATGACGCGGCAAAGGCAATCGAGACTGACATCTTGCGCAGGCAGACCATCTCGGGCGAGCACGGCCTCGATAGCAATGGCGTGTACGTGACTTTCGACATATTCCTGCTCGACTGATCTCTCGCTCACTCCCGCGGCAGGTACAATGGAACCTCGGAGCTCCAGCTCGAGCGGATGAACGTCTACTTCAACGAGGTGAGTTCGGCAAACGCACGCCTGGCCCGCGCCTTTATGCTTCAATTTCCATCTCCGATCCCTCATTAACAAGGAATTTTTCCGCAGGCGTCCGGCAACAAGTATGTCCCTCGTGCCGTCCTGGTCGACCTGGAGCCCGGCACCATGGACGCGGTCCGTGCTGGTCCCTTTGGCCAGCTCTTCCGTCCCGACAACTTTGTCTTCGGCCAGTCCGGTGCCGGAAACAACTGGGCCAAGGGCCACTACACAGAAGGTGCTGAACTTGTTGACCAAGTTCTTGACGTCGTCCGTCGCGAGGCGGAGGGCTGCGACTGCCTCCAAGGCTTCCAGATCACGCACTCGCTCGGTGGTGGTACTGGTGCTGGTATGGGTACTCTCCTGATCTCCAAGATCCGCGAGGAGTTCCCCGACCGCATGATGGCGACTTTCTCGGTCGTGCCGTCGCCCAAGGTCTCGGATACCGTCGTTGAGCCCTACAACGCCACCCTATCCGTTCACCAGCTCGTTGAGAATTCCGATGAGACATTCTGCATTGACAATGAGGCTCTCTACGACATCTGCATGCGCACCCTGAAGCTGTCGAACCCCTCATATGGCGACCTCAACTACCTGGTTTCGGCCGTCATGTCGGGCGTAACCGTCTCGCTGCGCTTCCCTGGCCAACTCAACTCGGACCTCCGCAAGCTGGCCGTCAACATGGTTCCATTCCCGCGTCTGCATTTCTTCATGGTTGGCTTCGCCCCGCTGACCAGCCGTGGCGCGTATACATTCCGTGCCGTCTCGGTGCCCGAGTTGACGCAGCAGATGTTCGACCCCAAGAACATGATGGCTGCCTCTGACTTCCGCAACGGCCGCTACCTGACCTGCTCTGCGATCTTGTAAGTTCATCAGAGGGCTCTCAGCCACTCAATAAAGCGGAAAAAGCTAACATGGATACAGCCGCGGCAAGGTCTCGATGAAGGAGGTTGAGGATCAGATGCGCAATGTGCAGAACAAGAACTCGTCCTACTTCGTCGAGTGGATCCCCAACAACGTGCAGACGGCTCTGTGCTCGATCCCACCCCGGGGCCTGAAGATGTCGTCTACCTTTGTTGGCAACTCGACGGCCATCCAGGAGCTGTTCAAGCGTATCGGCGAGCAGTTCACTGCCATGTTCCGTCGCAAGGCTTTCTTGCACTGGTACACTGGTGAGGGTATGGACGAGATGGAGTTCACTGAGGCCGAATCCAACATGAACGATCTGGTCTCCGAGTACCAGCAATACCAGGACGCTGGTGTTGATGAGGAGGACGAGGAATATGAGGAGGAGGCGCCCGTTGAGGGCGAGGAGTAGGCTTCTTGAGTCCTGCTGCAAGCTCATTGCCTTCATAACTTGTATGGGATCAGGCTTGCTTGTCCACCGGCTGTGCGGATAGTACCTGATAGCAGCCAAAGCATGGCTATTCGCCTTGTACGCAGCCGTGTCCCATATCCGGACGTTTCTTTCGAGTTTAGCGGGAAGTTGTCATCTATGTTGTCCGTAATTATGAAGCAGGGAAGGAACTGGTCAAGAGGCTAGACGTACGCTTGACACGGTCTGGCTTTTGGCCGAACCCCCCTTTTTATTCATAGCACGTCAGAAATACACACACCTGGCTTAGTGGTGTCTAATAATTGCTAACACTGCCCTTGCATGTCTCTCTCCCCGGGAGTGTCTAGTGAACGGCATGCTCTCTTGTGGTAATTTTGAACCCAGTCTCGCCCATCTTCTTTACTACTCTTTGCACCTGGCCGACGCCTGTGGCCGGGCCTCGGTGCTTCGCGACTTGGTGCATACAGGTTAACTAATACAATTACTTCCTTCAAGGCCGACCTCGGACCACTGTAGTTCCTCGCTGCTCCTCCTTATTAACACAGGGCGACATCGCCTTTCCATTAATTTCACCATCATCCCAGATTGTTCACGGTTGGACTCCAGGGGCGGTCAGCCAACCAACAGTATGTACAATACTATGACGATTAACACATGGCTAATCCTCAGGCTCCTTCGAAGACGACTTTGCAAGCCCGCCAACCGATGTTGAGGAGTGAGAACACGATTGAAGTTTGCCATTAATTAGGCCCCCGGCTTACTTATACTCGGGAAAGGATCAGTCCCAGTCCTTCTCGACAAGCCAGGCGTCCTCAAAAGACAGCCCCGCGCCCGAGATCAGATCACAGTTGCGGTGGCCCCACTTGCGCCGGTACACCTCCCTGCCGGCCTCGGTCAGGACGTCGATGCCCTCGGCCAGCCCGGCGGCTGGGTAGTAGAAGGGCTCGCCGTGCCCACCGCGCTGGCCGAGCTGCCATGTGTTGCGGTCTCGGTCGCCGTGTTTGTGCTCTAAGCGGTTTGTTGTTAGCATCTTTCCTGCCTGCCGTTCCAAATCCAATCCCAATGGAAAATTCATGTATGAGATGGATGGTGGGAGGATTTGCGGGTGCTTACGGAACATCTTGTCGGACATTATCCGCAGCGCATGCCACTTTGCCAGGTTGGGGTCATCGCGGGGCGCCAGATTCGGACAGTTTTGTGCGCTGCTGCGTCGCCGCTGGCTTGCCGCCGTCGTTTGGAGGTCGCGCTCGTTCTTGTTGCTGTTGTTGGGTGGTGGTGGTGGTGGCGGTGGATTCGGGTCGACAAAGGCCGGCTCGAAGCCGTCGACTCGGTATAGGACGCTCAGGTCCTCGAGGGCGGAGGCGACGTCGGTGATGATGCCCGCTTTAGCGTCGCGCATGGTCCAGTTGCGCATGAGCAGGCGCGAGTGCATGTCGCAGTCGGTCATGTAGTAGGGGATGAGCGTGTCCCAACCGCCCACGTCCTCGTACGCGGCCGGGTTGACGGCGGCGAGGTGGTCGTAGGCGAAGAAGCGCGTCGCCCAGCGCGGATCCGAGGACCGCGTCTCGGCCAGCGTGGTCAAGGCCAGCTCGTACAGCGTCTTGTACCCCGGCTGGTTGTACCGGGGCGTAAGGTCGTCGAAGCCGTCCTCGAACGACAGGGCGAGGACGTCCATGTGGCTCCAGAAGAAGTAGGGCCAGTTGTTGGCGTAGGTGAGGGAAAGGAAGAAGTTCTGCATCTGGGCGAAATTCAGGAGCGTGGGTGTCTGGACGATGTTGACGCCGAGGGTTTTGAGGACGGTGTGGTTCAGATAAAGGGGGTTCTGCAGCGACAACTGGCCGCGGGCGTTCGCCTGCTGGACGCCCGTGTTCTCAACCACGTATATCTGTTCTGGCGGCCATCCGGCCGTGATGTAGCTGACGACGGCCTGGAGAAGGACGGGCCATGTGCGTGTGAAGCCGATGAGGAGCGGTGGCGGGACGGGGAGATTGTAGTCTTTGTAGGCGTCTTTGCGTGGCCTGTTCCATTCCGGGATTGGTGGAGGCGTTGAAGTCGCCAGTAAGGGGAAGTTATCCTTGACCGGGGGCGGAGTATAGGTCGGCGTCGGTTTGTACTTTGGGTGCGGTGGAGTTGGCGATGACGGGGGTTCGGGCTTGCTTTCGAGTTCGAGTTTCTGCTGTAAGAAGTTGTGAAGCTTTTCTCTGGGAGAAAGCAGCGTCAAGCTGAATATGACAAGGAATGCCAGTAGTATGGCGGCACCCAGGCGCCGGCTGGGTAATGCTACGAGCATCTCGACTAGCCGACGAAGTACACGTCGCCCATTTAGGCCTAAATAGATAGCGCCGCGGGCAACTCAAGGGAGACGGAGAGAGTCTTGCGATGCGATCACCTCAGGTCGATAGTAGGGTACGGCGTGAGAAGGTGACGGCTCCCACATGGAACTTGGATTGAGGAACTTCCTTCTAGGCCAGCGATTCACTTCGCTTTCTCCCAGCCATAGAAGTCGCCTTGTCCGATTACCCTCAATGCTCTGAGGGGAGCTAATGAGCGAAAGCTCCCAAGTTCACTTGTCGCCCGACGACGAATGCCAAAAGCATGAAGCTCGAGTTGATGAGAACTTGGCTTTGAGATGAGAAGAGAGTTGCAGAACTGTATGCTGCTGCCTAATTAGCTAAGGTAATTTACAGCAGATCGAAAGGGAAGGAAACCTGCCATCCTCCATGCATGTCAGATCCTTCCGGATTTTCAGTTTTGACGTTCCGGGGGGAATCAAGCAGTGACAGTGGTACGTTGGTAACTTCACTGCAGAGACGGGATGTTGCAGTGTGTTCCAGGTTGGTACAGGGGATACTTACACTTACGGATAGTGCATCTCCATCATGGTACGGATATCTCCCAACCACCTCGGAACAATTGCTTTGTCCCGTGTGCCGCCTTCGTCACCATGATCCAATGTCGCTTCGCATTCATACTTGGCCCAACCAGACGATGCCTGCTCCCACGCCAGAGACCTAGAGGTACTCCGTGCACGATAGTGCGTTATATGACCTCGCTGAATACAGATAAATGGAGTATGCCTTGGGTTTCTGGTATAATTCCAATGAGCTTCCCGAACATTCGTTGTAGAGATGATGACGTGTAGAGCGTATTTTAGCTGTAAGCGATCCAAGGTTTAGGTGGTCGTCGGCTGCAATTCCTCCGCTGATAAGACAGGGGTAACTAATCCATATCTCTATACGGAGTATCCGTACCTTCGTACTCCCTACACGTGGAGTCGTGTCCCTTTTTCGCCAAGCTTTATTACACCTTGGTAAAGCTTTACTGGCTTTCTTTTCAATCAAAACCACAGCTCCAGACATTTTCAGGGGCGCCCGTGCCAAAGCCGGATTTTCCAACTTCGACGGACAATACTGCGTACTCTCCGCAAGTGCCCACCCAATACCGACCCATTAGAGCAGATTGAGCCAGCAAGACAAAAAGATGGGGCGAAGATGGACTTGAACAAAAGTTTGATTTAGCGGAACAAAATAAGGGCCCTCTCCCGCCGGGAATTGAACCCGGGTCTCGAGCGATGTCTCGAACTCATGTGAGCTCCGACTGATGACAAGCTCACATACTGACCACTATACTACGGAAGAATTGTGGATGTTGTCATCCACCGTAGATGAGAGAGCAGCAGAGCAGGCAAATCTTATACTGGGGCTGTTGAGTCTGCTCCCCCAGGCCCCTTTACCCCTGACCAAAACAAAAATACAGTGCCATGTCACCCACGATTTTCTTCACTGATAGTTATGTGCTATAATAGAATAACGAGTGACTGAATCACGGCTTCGAGAACGCTATTAATACTAACTATTCATCAAGTTGAAGTTGACGCCCCATTCGGAACTGGGCGTTTGCCATACTTGCCGCGCTCTGGGATCCCAAGGCAAATACACACAAATCCCTAACATCGGAGTGAAATTCCCTAGCAGGTGAATAAGAACCTGAAGACATGGCAGTCCACCTCAGGTCTTCAGGTATGGTATTGGTTGTCCAGCTTTCCCTTTCCCCCTGATATGTCACTCCAAGCTGCAGCTGATCGCGCATTTTCACAAACCCATCGTCACCAATCCTCTAGGTACATATTGACCTCCCAGGCTTGGTGTTAGTCTATAGTAGAAACCCGCCTTTTCCCTTTCACGCTGAAGTCGAAACTCTGCCATCATGCGGTCTCTTGAAACGACGCCCTTGAGCCCTTCTCCGGAGTTTTTTTCGGCATGTTGCCAGCCTGAGGCAACGGGCAGTGTCAGTGCCTTGAAGTGGATACGGTAACATCATCAATTGACTTCCACCTTCAGTACGTAAGATCAGTAGAAGGCAGATGGAAATAGGGCAACGGCAAGACCGGTGTAGCTGTGCCACCTACAAACAAGGACCGAAGCGGCTGAAATTTCGCGGTGTGGATTGAACGGAAGAAAGTAAACTTTCAGTGTCCATTGGTAGTATCTAGTAGTTAGGTCGCATCAGCCCAGCGGATCATCGTATCAACTCTCTCATGTAACTTTTGGACCGGAAGAGTTGGAGTTCCGGGTATTTTAGCTTTCCATCATACCAAGTATCTGCCCTGTCCCTCCCTTTCAGCACCTGCCATTTCCGCGCTGCGTAGGCGAGGTTAGGGAAAGGGGCCGAGAGGAGGGAGGTGCCTTCCATGCATACAACTTCACCTTCCTCTTGGAAGCTAACACTGCCTAACTCAACCTCGCCCGCTTCCTACCAACTCTTGCATCACAAACCCCCTGTCTATATATCGATTATACATTCCAAAACTCCTTTCCCTCGATGCCACCAATGCACTGCACTGCCACATTCTGTCCCAATGAGCAAACTCTGTCCCTCCCCTGAGTCTCCTCCCTCGCCTCCCTTGCCTAGTTCCAAGGAACTCGACATAGCACGGACGGCGGCCATGGTCTGGCCAAAACGCAGGCGACATGAGCCAATGCTAATCCACCCTTCACTCTCCAAATGCATCACGAAGTAGCCGTGTGATCTTTGAGGGTACTAGCGGAGAGTGAGGTGGTATATAACATTACGGTCTGTATCTTGACATGTATATTCGATGCAGGAGAGGCGAACAGTAATGATAACCACAATGAAACATGGTGAAGCTCTACTAGGCACTCGTGGGGCCATGGCTATATATCGGGCAATAACAGAATACTTCCAAGTCTGCCAGTGAAGTGCGCGGGCATGGAGTTTTGAGACTTGCGCGGGGAGGGAGAGAGAGAGGGGAGGCCGGGGGGGGGGGAGCTTGGGTTTATACTCGCGCGGAACAGTAACGGCTGGGTTGGACTTGCTCCTCTCGTGAGCATACAGGTCCAGGACAGCAAGAGCGAGACGCTCCACGTTAGGAACGGGAGGACTGATGTGGGCGTGCTCGGACCTCCTTTTGGACATGTATTTAGAAGGTGAGGAGGAGGATGGGAGTTAACAGTGCCTGTGATACAATCAATCAAATTCCCTTTCCCATCAATGTCTGCGATACAGTCAACTTCCGTATCCTGACAGGCAGATATCCACCTGGCGCTTTTTGGGCAGTCTATGCCCATCTCCCTACAGCTACAGCCAGTGATATATCAACTGCATTTGTGTCATCATCAATGAGCGTTGTGGCGGAACCTCGACCACATTTGCAAAGTCACCGGGCACATGTCAGATAGAAGGTCCCCTTAAGCAAAGCAAAGCACAATGTCCCAGTTTCTGCCGGGGGCCACAGACTTCGCCCGTCTCTGAGGTGTTCTTATACCAGAAACCAAAATTTCGATTATGCTATAAGCATTGGTTATGGAAACTCAGGGTCGTAAAATCACAGGTCCTGCCGTGTGGACTACTGGTAAGGAGGTTGGACCATACCGCTCACACAATCCTTTACTGCCAGTTTAGATTCCACGTTCTCGGAGTTTAGAATGCAAAACGGAGCAACAAAGCTCATAATGAGAGGTTCGAAATACAGCATGTGATTATCGTTATACTTGTATGTGATGAGTTAGGGAGGTTAGTTCCCAAGGACTGGTAAGCAGCTAGCTGTCTTACATGCATTGAGCTTCAGCAGAGCAGGGGGGGTCGGCTCCCTTCAAAGCCAAGCCCGTCGAATCAGGTGGTTAGGAATTAGGACCACTCGTAGGGCTGACCGTTTGATGAACTCATCGGAAAGAGAAATGCGTGGGGAACTGTCCCTTGCAGGCGGTGGCAGAGCTCAGGGTCCAACGGCAGCATGTGCGGGCCAGCCCAGCAGAGATGAAACACAACTTAAGTAGGTAGCGGCCTACCTGATCGGACGAAGGACGGCTATGCCACCACATCTCAAGGGGGTTCTCGATGATCACCAGCGACCCACGTGGTCCTGTCGTGCCGGTTTGATAATGCCGTTGGTTCACAATCGGGGCGACGTGGCCGCCGTGGCGAGAGTTCCCCAAGCCTTCGTCCGATTGCGCGTCAACGCCCGCAAGGGCTCGGTGACAGCTGTCCCCTGAGCTTGTCGGGGCTTGTGGCCAAAGGCCCAGCCACCATCATGAGAAGCCCCGACTTTAAGTACGCATAGGTTAGCTTGATGGCGTGGTCTTCATGAAGGTCCCCGCGCCGCTGGCCGTTGGAGGCAGGCAGTGTATGATGATGATAGGACTGCATGATACTTCGCCGCGCAGCCCGTCGAGGGTGGTATGTAGACAACTTACAAGACTCCATGCAAATTCTGTTGCCAGCTTCGGAGCAACATGAAGATACCACTTACAAATCCAAAACAACCTGAGCAATTTCTCAGGAGTCTATCTCAGGAGTCTCTGTTTTGTTGTTTGGTTCTCGGCGGTGGGGGGCACTGGGGGCCAACGGTCGGCCAACTTCAGGCTACGAAGAACCTTGCAGCTCACGCCAGGGCAGCCATTGGACGCCGCAACCAACAAGCCATCGACGGTTGTGCTGATGGGCAGCATCAATATCAACATTGAGGTTGACTCGGCGCGCGGCAATTAGCAGGCGGCCGCCTCGAATATGTCGAGCTGTCAAATCAGCGCCGAACCCCCTGAGCATTCGCCGAAGCTTCTCACCATATGCTGCGAAGCGAAGTCTTAGTCCCAACGAGGTCAAACTTGGAAGGTAGAGAAATGCCCAATCGTACTTTGCCCTCCGCACAATACTCCATGGAAATTGTATGCGCACCAACTTGCATACGCTAATCAAGATCCGAGTAAGCGCGGCCCCAGTACGAGGGGCGCTCCTTCCCGGGAATGGCCAACTTCCGACAATCTGCGCCATGCCGAGCCCCTGAAGCTCGGGACCCGGTTCCTCTCGACGGCCAACATGGCCAGAAGTTGCCAATGACATGGCAACTCGCAATTGCGTTGTGTTGATACATTCGGTACATCAGTTTAGTCTAACTAACCACACCCCTACAGAAGAAATGTTATTGTAATCTGGCATAGGCGTAGTGGCCGTCTTCAAATCCCCTGGGGTAGTCGTATGAGATGCCGACCGTTGGTTGTTGTTGAGAACTGTGCCGGTGCTGATCTTCGGTGCGCCGGCGGAGTGGTCGATTTTTTCCGTCCGAAAGTCCCGACGCCGAGTGGGTCGACGTCCGGGTCTGGAGTGGAGCGTGTGCGATGGAACCCGTCTGGAACTCATCGAAGTGGAGCCCAGCCTGGCTTGGCGCTGGCTCGGATCGGCCCCCACGATTCTGTAACAGTACACGGGATCCTTCGCCTTGTGTAACGCGAGTTAATTACGCGATCGGGCGGTGTCAAGAATCCCATTCGTCACCAAAGACCCGAAATGTCTCCATTGCGCGAATGGAGCACCAAACCTTACCTGCCATACGCGTACCAAAAATACACGCAAGCTGTGCCTAATGAAGTAAATGTAGTCGAGCTTGGCTTCGAACCACCCGTCCATTGCATGATTAGCAGTGCTACTATACACTTCAAATATTCTACCGAACGACGGAAGCAATCACTGGTTATATGCATTTACGCTTCCTAGTGTGTATGTATGTAAGGTCGATAAGAGGGTAATTTGAATTTCACAAGAAATGGCAAAGACGTGCCAGCTGGCCCCTGCCTTGTTGCGCTTCGCCGCACACAGACAGTTCCGCACCGTCGCTCGCTCTTACCCATCGTACTCCTGGTTCTAGCTAGCCGCCGACCGGCCCCCGCCAGCCTTGGAAGGCAAATCGAAAACGCCGGGTCCGCGGCACCGCACCACCCACTTCGCCAAAGTCTCTCTTTGCCGTACCTGTGCAGGGCAGTGTGTGTGTGAACGGCAGAGATGGTCGCGCACACGTGGAGCTGCAGTTCGCCCAAGGGCGGCAAAGGTGCACCAAAGTAGCGTCTCTTGGGTTCCCCTGTTCCATGGTAACCATGCCCTCCCTGAGAGTCGCCAAATGATACCGTTCTGAACGAACACTACGAAATCCTCGGCCCCAAGGACGGGGGTGACGAGGGTCTGTCTTGCCCGTCCCATTCCCCCCTCCGTCCGTGCCCTATCCCGACGCAAGCGCGCTGCTAGAGAAGAGAGGATCGTCGGACCGCAAGGGCTTGCATGGTATCCGTAAGTTATAGTGAAACGGCAGGACCCTTTTCACTACTACTCTGCAATACCTATACGACATACGAACAATACAGGCGGAAAGGGACGTTCAGGTGCAACTCGCCGCCGCCGGCGTCGTCCGAGCCGACGTGATGTACCCGTATGTATGCTGCACTTAGGTAGTTCGGCGCCGATAGTGTAGCCCACGCAGGTTCGTTGCCCGTGATGTCCCTGTGCACGCGCGCAAGCTTAGGTTGCTATCTAGGTACTTGCATGCTACCATTATGTATGTAGATACAATGTGCCCTGTATGCAGCCTGCATTAGCCGCCGCGAACCATTGCAAAGTGGGCACCATGAGTGGGAAAAAGGGCTGAGTGAAGTGCGAAAAGGACAGACATAGCCCCAACTACACACGTACCCTCAAGGTGGCGTAGCTAGGAATCAGGTTAGAGACGGTGAAGCGGAGGCAGGCCCGTGTAAAAACTGCCAAATATTTCTCGGGGAGCTCGGCGAGGGATCGTCAGGTGGTTCGGTCGGGTTGGGCCAGACGGGGTCACAAGCTGGCAGTGCGCTCAACAGTTAGAATGTTTCATTTCCATTTCCCTGAAACCAGGGACATGGCAAGTGAAAGGGAATCATTTTGGCCATCTTGTTGATGAATGAAGTTATGAACCGAGGAGGCGTCATTGGTCTTCGTTTCGCTCAGCCCTACCCTACCGCTCACTCTCCACAGGAAGAGAAATACACATAAAAAGAGGGTGATTTGTCAGACCTTTATCTCCTAAGCTCCTTATTGTTTATGATGTTTTGACACATGCCAAGAAGACCGCACTCCGCGGAGCCCGCCATTATGAGATCACGTAATAATCTTGTTCAAATGTTTGGACAATAATAGCCATTTGTGTCATTGATTCGTGAGAGGTGAAGGTCTAAATAGGTAAAAGATCTCGAAATGGGACGAGAGCACTGAATCTTCCTTGAAGAGCGAAATAGAGGAGCTACACGAAAGCCTCTCCCTTTTTCATAGAGGACATGTCGAGCACTTCGACCGGAGTGGAGAGGAAATATTGACAAGAAAACCGACCCCCGAGCGCCATACACGGTCCCAGATAGTTGCCTCCCAGTAATTCCCTATATAAATGCTTCCAAGTCCCATGTCCGTTAAAGCGTCCCTTCGGTTCCCGTCTGGCGAGGGAATCGGCCGTCCTTGTCTTTCTCCCAATAACAACAATAAATAGTTCCCGAGATATGTAGTGGCGAGATGTATATATGGATTGTGAATGGAATGATAATGCCTTCCCGCGGCGCTAGTGTGTTTCTGCGTCCTTCGCACAGGGAACAGAACCCCAGTAAGATACAGGCAAAGCACGACCGATCGAAGCATCAGTCAAGATTGATGCGAAACCATACCAGGCGAGCCTGGCATCGACAGTGGCGTTGTCGGGTACTCGTAACTCCCCGAGTCTGAGCAGGCCGTCGAATGGTCATAAGAGTGCGACAGAGGCGGAGTCTGTGTGTGACAAAAGACCACCTATCAGCAACGAGCGTCTCGATCTGGGTGATGAGGAGGAGGAGCAGGTGCTGGGTAGCGCGATGATGATGGTGGTCTGGCACTCACATGCGGCATCTGGTCGTACGGCGAGGGGTGCCCGCCGCTCACGTCGACTCCCCCGGGGAGATAGCCGTTGTAGCTCACGTATGGGAGATGGTCTTCCCCTTGCGCGCCGGCGTAGCCAGGTTCCCGCTTGACAGCGTCGCTAAAGTGCGTCATGGACGGCAGCGTGACGGGCACTGGAGGTGGAGAAAGGTATTCGGGGTACGACTCGGTCGGCATGGGCCGGTATCCCTGAACGGAAGCGTAGGGGGGCATAACCATGTCCTCGGGCGGCGGCGGGTACGTTGAGTAGGCAAACATGGGCGGTGTATGTGACCGCTCCCTCTCGTCATAGGATTGGTGGAAGAGATACTCGTCGTCGGGGTTCATTGGCGGTGTAAACTGGCCCTGGGCTCTGGGCTTTGCCGGGGCCGGTGGTGATTGCCTCTGCGTCTTGGGTGTTTGGGTGCGCTTTGTCTTGGCCGGTGGACTCGGCTTCTCGTTGCCCGATGATGAGGCGCCATCCGAAGTTCCCGCCCGTCTCTCGAGCTCTTCCAGACGCTTCTTCAGCTTCTTGCCTGTTGTGACTCTCAGCAACCGGCGCTTTCCACTAACTCGACAACCGCGGCGATCAAAGAAAGCTACCTACGGTAATTACGCTGAGCAATGCGGTTTTGTATCCTCCTGCGTTCAGCGAGATCTGAAATCTTGGTCCAGTCCTCATCGGGGTTGGCCGAGCTGCTGAAGGCGCTACTTGTGCTGTGATTCGAGTATTGCCTTGGAGGAGCAGGTTGTGGTTGGGCCGCGTAGGCGTACGCGTGCTGGGGCATAGAGTACATGGCGCTTCGCTCGCGAATGTCCGCGGTCGGGTGTTAAGAATATGGGAGATGATGACGGATTAATGTCCAGCCTCGGACCTTTGAGACAAGAGATGTATGGTCTTGGGAAGGAGCGATGTTAACCGTTGAGGCAGGAAGCTTTTCCCCGGATGTTGGGGAGGACGGGGAGGCTCCAGGAGATTATATATCCCAACGACAAGATTCCTTTACTCATGGGGAGCGGGTAAGGCTTGGTGCCCACCCACATGGCGATCTCGGGGTCAATGTCATTGTACAATACCTTGTCAACACCCCCCCTTGTCCATCTACTCTTGCGGTCATCCACACCCCCAGCCATGGCAGGGATTCCTTAGGACTCCAAACCGCGCCCGGCAATAAAAATCGCATATTTTCTGAGATCCTTCGCGGTAGGGCGGGTATCTCAAATGGGTACCAACAAGCGTGAATGGTATACGTACCTTCACACCGTTCCGGGGCCTATCCTGCAGCCTGAGGTACCCACAATGGGCCGCTCCCAAGAAGTGTTCTCATGCACGGAACCTGCACCTTGGGCCTGGGATGGTTGCCAAGCGGGGGACGTTGCTGGATGTACATAGAAACGAACAAGCACAGGTTCACTTGACACCAGCAGTGCCTCCCAGGTCAGGGTAGCAGCACAAACACGTACCCTAGCGTAATTACCTGGTAGTTACCTGGGTACTGATACTTTGTACAGCCAACTTGTCGCTGCTCTGTTCCTGTGGTTGGGGCGCTCTCGTGAAACTGTTGCTTGCTCTGACCTACGTATCAACGAATCCTTCAAGCCCTACCAAACAGCCAAAGCCGACCACTTGCCGGTATATAGCTCTCAACCCTCTCGAGTCTGGACGTGCATTGCCGAAGGTCAAGAAGGACCATCCGAGATACCCTGAAAAGATGAGTAATTGGAGCTGGCTGGGCATGAATACCTAACATGTGGTGCAGGCTCCATATCATTGAGGCTGTACAGTACTTCACTGGTGATTGGTAGGGCGTGTTTGGACGTGTGGGTGCATCTTTGAGAGAGCGACAACGTGCGTGGTTCAGTTTACGAGCATCGTGTGGAGACGGAGACGGTGAACTGCGGGGAACGGACACGGGAGGTGGAAACGGAGGGTTGGCACTGAACTCGGTCCCTCGCACTTTCCATTGATTAACGCTAAGCGGGCAACGGACTGCGAGATAACATGATAAGGGTAAATTTAGCCTGGATAGTCCAATTTTGCCCTCTTTAGGTACTTGCACTTACGAGAAGCGCAGGCTAGCTCGGCTACAGTCTAACCTGCACATAACGATGAGAGGCATAACGATTACCTGACTTTAACGATCAAAATCGTGAGCCCATCGTTATATATTTGGGGAATTGTGATTACCTGTCTATTAAGATAATCGTTAGGATTCTTGCTGAGTAATGCATACAAATCGTTATAGTCAGTAGGATCTTGGGGGCCTAACTGCACTAAAAAAGGTACCTCATTACCCCTTGGACAGTGGTTTAGTGGTTGCTTAGTGGCTGAGGAGGGGGTCATGCCCCACAATTCCCTTCTTGAGTAAAATGTGGGTCACCTCTGGATAACGATAACCTGGGGTCTACGATTAAGATCCTGAACCCGGGCCAATCGTTATGTGCAGGTTAGACTGTAACAGGTGGCAGAGCTGAGATGCGTCGTTTCTGTTCGTGTTCCCATGGCGGTGTGGCCCGGGGTTTGTGCACGCGCCAGTCCAAATCCGCAGAGCAATATGGACGGCAGGGATTCTTGGCAGCACGTTCCTCGGATCAATCCCTGCCTGTAGGGCTGCGCTGTAACTGCAGGGGTGGATCGTTATCGATTCGAAGTTTGGTCGATTCACTTTAGAATCTCATGACCGGCAAACGAGTCCGAGAACGAGACAGCTGCAAATACCTCAGGCGGGAGAGATGGCCTAGAGACTGAAGACGACCATGATAGGGATCCTGCCTGGGATCTCCGATTCTTTCAATGGGCGTTCGATTGTAGCTATGCGCGTTAACCTAGGTACATTGCAAACTTACAACGCGTAATTGAGGGGCTAGCCTGCCGGACGTCGTCCCGAGATGCCAGAGGCCTTGATCTCGATCGACACGGCAATTCCGGGCTTGGGCTAGTGAATTAGTGCCCGTCGCTTGCTGATTCCTTTCAATCAAAGATGGAGCGATCGATGCTGGGCAACGCTAGGTGCACTAGCACTGACACAGCAAGTTCCGCTGCAGCATCCTACGGAAAACCCGGTGATGCTCCACTCCGTAGGGCCGATGTAACTGGAGGGATGTTTACAATCGGCGAGCAATCGGCCGGTCTGGGTGGCTCAGACGAATAATTACAAGGCAAGTCATGTCCATGGAGACACAGGTCTTTGGAGGTTCGCCGAGTCCATGGTGATTATATTTCCCTTCTCTTTTCTCGTCTCTATTCTTTTGACGAGTCTTTGTCGTTGGCGACGTTTCAGCGATCGGTTGATCTGGAGTGTAGTTCTGCGGCACGAGCAGCGAGCTTCGGGAACGATCCGACCGTAGGTGCCAAGACGAGCGTCACCCTTTTGGGATAACAGAGCCGGTGCACCTTGCAGCAGCGGCTACAGGGGACTGTACTGTAATTTCTGTGACGTCCCAATCCAATCATACGGTATCTGTATTGTATTGTAGTGTACAGTACAGTACTTCCTGCTTTCCCACCTCTTAACCCTAACGGTACTGGATTCGAGAGCTCCGGCAAGAGGCGTGTCCCGGCTCACCAACCATGCAAATATCTAATTACGTGAGAAACCGCGACAGATGTCAATCGGCATCGAGGCCGCCGAGATGCATCGTATGTCGTCCCAACTAACATCACGTACGAAGGTACGGCATTCAGTGTTTTTGTACGTGCCCGGGGTTCTGGTGAGGTTGTTAGTCAGTTGAAGGCCCATAAATAGAGTTATTACAAAGCAAGATCCGACTGCCTGATTGGCAGGAGTGGCAAGGCTATCGTTTAAGGTTCTTCATCCTTGGCGCCTCAACGCACCTGCAGTTTGCTCAACACAACCTGAATCATTCAGACATTGAGCCACGCGCTAAACCCCTACCGTGGCCGGTAAGCCAGATAGTTAGTTCTCTGTAACAAATTGTGCTGCCTGAAGGTTTGAACCCATTTACTGGACGCTACTCAGTTATCTCTCACACCGCTAGGCCCGGCCAGCCTACCTACAAGCCCCTATCTGCCGGACGCAGTTGCGGGCAACTCTCAGCTTCCTAGTTGCGTACCCCAATGACTCCCTGGGATCAGCACAGTCATGCCACCACGGTTAGCTTAACCCGGCGCCCAGATCGGAGCTTGCGCCGACAGCTTTCTGGCCAATCAATCAACACACTTCGTAAACACGGGACGGCCTCCCTCCTGCTAGCGGGCATGGGTCCTTCTGTTATCGCTGTCCTAAGATTTCTGTGATTCCGCTTCGTCTCATCACCGCCGACCTCCTCATGCCCCACTAGGTAGGTGGGAGTGCGTGGGAAAATCATGTCGTCGACGAGTTAGGTCTAAGTTACGGTTAGGATAGCTCACGGGTACTACATACAACGTCCCGCTCATTTCGGGTTCATTATGATCCCTGCCGAGCTGATTTTCTGTAGTTCTAAGGTAAGCTTCCTGAGATGGAAGGTCAAGACGTCAACTGTTTAAATCAGTATCAGGCCAGAGACTCTTGTCAACACGCTCAAGCCACCCGGATCGCTTTGTTTCCGTAAGACCCTGCTCGCAGTCAAGTTGTTGTTGGGATGGGGGTACGAATACAAGACATGATCACCATGAGATGGTGAGCACTCCAAACTCATAAAGAACCCCTGGAGCATTGCGGGTACTTCGGGCTTCTATGCATAGGGCATGATACTGGCGTGCTACTCCCTTGTGCGTGTCTGGATTCGAGAACATTGAGAACATTGACGGCGTCAAGTTGGTGGCCGCTAACTTGGAACGGAAGCTCGTAGGGCTACACGTACTGGACACTAAACAGACGACACTTACCATTCTGTCCAGCTCCTGCGAGGTCACGGCGTTTCGTGGTTTCGTGGTGGGAATGCCACGTTCCGACTCTCGAAGTTAAGGTGCTGACTGCACAGCGCCTCCCAAAACAACACCATCCTCGCCCCTTCGTCCCATCCCCTATTCTCCTTGGCTTCAAGAAGAACTTTTCTAGAACACCCCCTTTACCCCCCGGTTTCGGGGTAAGTACATACATAGTTTATGAGCAGCTCCTCATCCTTCACTTGTATGGTCAGATAGAGCGGGAACCTCTCCACTTAATCCACCCTAGTGTACTGTACTAATGCACCTGCTGTGATCCCCCGATAGAATGTGTCTGGACGGCACCTCTCCACATTCCTGGTGTGCTGTATTGGTGCGAACCATAAACACTCGGGATTTCCACACATGAAGGAGGTACATAGCAAGACCGGACCGTTACCCGCTTTCAACGGTGAATGAGTAATTATATCAGAAGCTAGAATATCCAGTCACCCGCCTTTAGAGTTCACCAGAGACTCAAGAGCATTAGAGTTCGTACAATCTACATACAAGTCGTGTACGCTACTAATGACCTTGGGCACCGTCTTGCGCTAGGTGCGGCCGCTCTGTGGTGCTGTCACCCTCCACTACATGCAATGGAGAGATTGATGATTGGGCAAGGTGTTGCCTTAATTAACCCCCTTTATGAGAAGTCGCGGCGGTTATTTGCACAAGTCTTCTGCATACTGCCATGCTATTTTGCCCATTTCGCAATACAAATCAGATTTGCTCATTTTATTTTAGTATGGGTTCCTTTCAACTAGCATCTTGTTGATGGAACACGTTGGGGAAGCCCTCCTTGTTCCATGGTAATTTTGGTGATCTTCATTACTTGTTAAGTCTTATTCTGCGGCGAAGAGAAGGAAGGGGAGCCGTTGTGTCTACAGATAGTTACGCATATACTACTAGAATTGGTACTCTCCCAACCACTAACGTAGATGTACTGTACCGTGGGATAATTATTGAACCAGTCTTTCCTGCTACTGCCAAGGCAGATTGCTTCACTTTATGTAGATTGCAAGACAGAGTCTCCGTATTATTGGCTGCTGGCCTGCCTCCTGCCATCTTCTGCGCCTCCTCCTCGAGCCTTATGGGGCGGATATGTAGCCAAGAGGTGGAGGAGACTATGGCCATCCAGGTGTGGATCCTATACTTCAGGCCCATTCATTCAGAAATGGCCGACAGGACGATCACAGCTCTCTATGACCTGGTCGCTCTCTAGGACCTGGTCGCTCTCTACAGAGCCTGAGCAAACAATGTAGGAAGGTTTGGCCAAGATATGGAGGGCAGCCAACCAGTACTCCAACGACCACCATCTTGAAATCCACACGGGCGTCTGTCCAGTCGGTGTGAGGAGAGGGGGAAGGGGTCCTTGTCACGCGGTTGTGCGACCAGTCATTATCGGCCCTTTCCCACCACATTCGGGTGAGATGGAGGGTACTTCGTGCGCAACACACCGTTTCCCAGCGACCGCCTGCCCCAAGCTGACGCCCGCAGATAACGGACTGCAGAGTGGGCAGATCCTGCGAGGGCCAGGGCGGCTATGCAGGGTTCCTGTCTCCTTGGGTAGTTTTGGTGTCAGACCGACACCATGGCACCGGTGATTGGCAAGGGAGTTAGGTAAGCACCCAAACATGGCAGCCAGAAGACATTGGGGAAAGGTAGAAAACAAAGTTTCCTCTTTTGCTCCTTTTTTCTTAATAAAAAAAAAAACCAAAAAAGGAGGTGAAAAGGCGGGGGTTATGAGAATAAAGGGGAAAAAAAAAAGGAGGGACATGAGGGAGGGCAGCGAGATATGCCTCATGTCACGGCCATTTGGCTCATACCGTGGTTTAGGGTAGAGGTACGGAGGTATGTATGTACATACATACGGGTGCCACCGACGTTATCCGGGTGTTTCTGCGCCATCCGGGGTATGGTCAGCAAACTAATCGGTGATAAGGGGGAGAAGGGTGTTGCGAACGGTGCGGGGTGGCATCACCGGGACATGCGGGTACCTGACTAGATGAGAAGACGTTATAAGATAGCCGCCCCCGGACGAACTAAGACGAATGTCCGTTCGGTATTGCCGTGTTCCAGAGCCCTGACGCCGGGCCCGGGGCCCACATGAGAATCCCGGAATCAGACTTCCCGATAAGTGATGTGTCGGAGATGTTGCGGCCGCTATCATGTCATGTTGCTATTCTCACAGCGAAGCCCTGGGCCTGCTGAGCAAGCAGCTTACTTTCCAGGCAACCAGCTTTCAGTCATCCAGTCAAGGCAAGCAGCTGTGATGGCTCATCGCTCATCCGGGGTTTTCTTCATGACAGTCGTAACCTAAATCGTATGGTTGAGTCCTAGAGGACAGTGGTATCTCAGGTCCTATAACAATGGCAGTTTGTTGAAGTTGGCTTTTGGGACCGGAACTCTGTTGTCGATAAGAGGGCTAAATGACCGCTTTTGGATCTGCCGCTTGGCGCTGAAAAGGTTAGGAATAAAGTTCCGTTTCGTCCTCCGTTTTCGGCGAAGACGACTGGCGGACCCAACCATCGGCCGCCTCGTCTCGGCGTACGGATACGGAGTAACAGTTCGGCCAAAGCCAAGACACCGCTCGAAGCCATGATCACGATTCATGTCTCCTATCCGCCTTCAATTGTATCGACTTGTGATGCACAACCTTTGCGGGAAGCGAATGTCATTCTACATAGACAAAAGAGAGACAAGACCGATAAAGATGCTTCTAGGCCTTGGCGAAGTCCCGGTCCGTGTATGTACGCAACGGCTGTCACTGATGGTACTGTAGTAGTGTCGTTACGCTGTGTATGTACTGTAACTTCGTAATTACATACACATGGATGATCCTGTAGGGCTGGTGGTTTTGCTGCGTTCTCCGCAAAAATGTCCGCAAAAATGAGGCCGGCGGGTGCGACCTGGAAGCTGTGCGATGCCTCACGACACAACGCGAATAGCGTATGTAGCGTATGTACATTACACTACCTTCGTAGGAACCCGCTCAACAGCTGGGTGCTCTGGTGGATACATACGCAGGAACCTGCAAGCAAGGGCTTCACGGGTATCTGAATCGGAGATTGCCAAAGACCGGACGAGAAACCGTCTGGCCCACCCGGGCAGCCAGTTTGTAATGCGAAGGAGGTGACCCGCTCGTCATGACAAATCCGGAACTTGCTCAACAACTGGCATCGCGATCAATATCCATCATTTGGCAATCCAATTGCCGTTCGTATCTAGGGATGCTTTGAGCTCGCCATGGCGGTGTAGGGCCTGCAGTCGCCGGTGTTGTTTTGGGTGGTGAACGTCAAGCTCCTTACATGACTCGCATAGGAAGCGTGATATTGAAATTCCCGCCCAGTACGACGGTGCCAATGAGGTCAGTACATACTCCGTACATAGTTAGTATCTACGTATGTACGTGACAGTACGCGATGAGTTGGATGGCCGGCCTGGAGCAAAATGCATCTAGGGGCGGCCCGGCAGCGCTGCAGCATCTGGATCCCTCATAGGGCTGAGGGGTCCCGGTGGTTTGAGCTCAAGAAGGCCCCCAGATGCTGCAGGTCTACTGCAATATACAGAACAGCGCAGCTCTCTCCGGGAGACTATAGGGCACACTTCAGCGCCACAGTTGTGACAGTCAATGGCAACGAGCTTCTCCTCGAACTACCGGTATTGTCATTCTTGGCCTGCTGCCCTCCGTCGTGATCGAGCCGTGCAGGAAGATAGGCTAACTGGTTGACCTTTGGCCGGTGCCTGGTAACCAGCCTTGAAGGCGGTCAAGAGTGAAAGACGGCAGCAGCAACGCCAAGTGTGCGTGGCTGGACACGGCCACGCTAGGAATGAGGTGGTCGGCGGATGCGACGGTCCAGATATTGCACTAAAGACCCGTGCACCCGGAAGGGCTCCCGCCCGGAGTGGTTGTCTCGGCCGGGGAAACCCAACTAGGGACTGATACTCTGATAGGCTTGCATGCTGGTGCCTCGCCCTCATGTTTGCTCAGAGCCGATCCCTCGAGCAAGGTTGCCAGATGGACATCAGAAACACTGATAATGGAGTGCGAGTGGTATTTGCTTGCAGGCCGATTACTGAGCTCTGCGGCAGGTCTCCCCTCAACTTGGAGTACGGGATGGCGTGGCTGAGCGGCTTTCGGAGAACGGTCCGAGGCAGTTTCCCCTTGGAGCGCGCCTACACCAGGCAGAGGGGAAGTTGGAAGGATTCTGTGCGACTTGAGACTGGGTGGAGCGAAGTCCTCAGCGAGCAATTGTTCGGCAGTGCCATCGGTGGCACAGAAAATCGCCAGAGGAGAGGTGTGGTAACAGCAATATCTTGGAAGATCGGACTGTTCCAGAGGATTGGAGGTTTGTGTAACCATGCGAACCGTGTTTCCTCATCGAGTCCTCGTCCTTTCGATGCAGAAGAGCGGGGTAGAGCTAGGAATCGCCGCCCCAAGTTGGTTGTTGCTGTGCTGCGGTAGCCTGACGAGATGTACAAGTACTGTATGTTTGTACTTCATACAGTGTACAGGATAGCAGAGCAGTGCGGTCAATTCACCTACGTATATTGTTCAAGACGGCCTGCGTTCTCATCAGACCGGATAGAAGAAGACGATTAGTTTAGGCAAGGATCGTGGACCAAACCAGTTGATGCACAAAGATTGCCCAGCGAAGCCTCGAGGGTGGACGGACCATGGCGCTGGGGCTGTCAGGTCAGGAAATTTACTGCAGTGTAAGTTACACTACTGTACTACGCTGAAAAAAAGCCAAGTGGTGCCCAGTGCTGCGTACATACAGTACGCATATGTACTGTACGAACTACGATACGATTCAGACCTGCGGTTGGAGGGGAAATGATGCGATTTGGCGGCACAGCAGAATGCAATTCCCGCCTGTTTTGGGTGTACGCAACGAGGCTTCCAGCGCAAAGGAGCGGGATCCTGTCGAGTGGGGGCTGGACAAGGGTCATTGTTTGGTCGTCGCCAAAAACAGCCCCTCTCCCCCTCCCTCATCATGGATTTTGACTGGACCTTTCAACCCCGAACATCTGCAAGGTTCTAAGTCAAAACACGGCTCATCAACTGACGAGATTGCCCGCCAATCTTGACCATCGACCATCGACGACAAGGAGAAACAATCGTTCTGCAACCCAGAATCGGAGGAGACATCCGGCCTCGACGCTCGTTTGACGTTAGCCCGGATATCAAGACCCTGCAAGGGCACCCGCAGCCAAGTTCCAGCCGTGGCGCCCATCTTGGCTGTATCCTAATTACCTCCGTGTCGCCTCGGATTCTTTCCCGAGTGTTGCCGATCCATCCAGACAAGCCAAACTCCGGCGTGAATCGGAGTTTACGGACTAGGTGGCAACAATTGCAATAGGAGATTGCCGGTGTTGATGCTTCTCTCCTAGCCCAAGCCGGCTCTTTCATGATTCAACGGTCCTGAGTTTTGTTGAGTGGGTGCGCAACCTTCGGCAGTGTCGGATAACGTTGATTGTGTTGACAGCAACACCATGCTGGGTTTGTTGGTCCAGTCCTCCCTGAAACCCTCATTCGCACTCATCAACGGAACAGGGTCCCTTGTTGTCCTGTTCTCTCACCGTCCCTTCTACCAGATACAATAGCCACCGAGCATGTTTGAGTGAAATAAGGACTAAGCCACAGCGATAGATAGGCCTTGAGAGCACATGCACCCCGCAAGGCCCTTCTGCTGTCCCGGGCCGTCATGTGGCATATACGACCTCGACCTAGGTATCCTAACTTCACTACCTACCTAGTATAAAATGATTAACCCTCGGACTCTGTTCCTAACTCCTACGTATGCCCCCCTCAATAGGTTGAGCATTATACAGTAGTACAAAAAGCAGGTACCACGGCGTTCAATACCCGTCTCGAATTTACCAAGTTCTGCTTGACAACAGAGACACATGTCACACCGGGACACAGGGACATGCGGTCACGCCGAGACAGAGAATCCAGCTTGGTGGGACTGGCGTTCTTGCAGTCAGAACCCAATCGTTCGTGGGGAAGTGTGTAGGAGCGGAACTAGTTCCGCGTCCATTCATTCGTACGACACATTGGGACAGAGTATACTGGGGTACACTCATTCGGACACACTTACACTTCTTCAAGTTCCAATAGATGCAGGACATCCAACACTGTGTATGTACAGGTTTGGTATGTATGTACAAGTACCAGACAGGTTGGGCTGAGAATTCCCGAAGGGTCGTACAAAAAGTAGGATCAGTTGATCCGCCTTTTGCACGCTGGGCGTCCTTCCCTGATTGCATGGATAATGAAGCTACAAATACCAAAGTTTACCTACATATCTTGTCCCCTTTCGCATTCATGCCATAACACCTACCTTCGCTTTCGCCGAGTTTGGGCGCCGAAGGAACAGCGGGTTAACAGGGTTTCGTTTGCGATTTCCACTGGGAAACCCGACATACCGAATGAGATGCTCGCCATGTTCGCACTCGCGTCAGTACCACAGTACAACATGTTTCCGCCGCAGCCGGAACCAAATATTTGGACCGTTGTTTAATGCCTTCGCGCCGGGCGAGTGACTCCTTTCAGGTTTGTTTCCCTCCTTTTCCTCCCTGATTAGACATGAACACCCCCTTCCTTCCCCCACACCTCGAAATAAAATAAAAGCACTTTTTCTATGCGCTGCGTCGTATCAAGAAGAAGGGCGGTCTGCAAAGAGGGAAGGTGGGAAACAAAAAGTGAGGAACCGAGCGAGGCTGTGCTGTGCTCGTGGAGCGAGCGCGACAAGCGAAGGAAAGAAGACCTACTTCCGTACGTACAGAGTGTGAGTTGAGTGAGCGAGCCCCGGCTGAATGCCGTTCCGAGTCGGGGCTTTGATACCGACTACCTGAGTATACGTATTGTACCTCTCCATGTCATGATGCTGCTTCGTCGCCCGAGTTGTAGTGCCTAAGGTACATACATACCTACTATGCAGCTACTACCTGAGTTTTGCCTTGATCGAGCAAGCATGCCGGGCTGCCTGCCGCGAACTTCAACGTCAACGTCTAGGTCACCATTCACTACATCCCTCAGCTGGATGCTGGATGGGCCTCTGATACTATCCCAAGTCCCAACCCACCTATACCTATCCCTCCTCCCAGCGAAGCCGGCGTAACGCCACGGCGGCGGGATACGCAATCCGCACCGATGGCCTTGTGATGCCGAGAATAGATATATGCAGTGCATGCATAGTGTCTCTGGCTATGCGTTCATTATACCACGACGCATTGCGGTTGGGTGCACATCTGGGACTCTGGGTCGGTCTGCCACGAGTATGGTTGTCGTGATGCCCTTGGGAACAAGTGACGTTTGAGGCCTCGGTACTCGGCGTTTTGTACTGCACTCCAAGTCGCGACTTCGCAGAGCAAGTAGGTCAGGTAGCTATGATAGGGAGACGAAATCATGCCTGTGTGTACTTGTACATACATTTTTTTGATTTGGGTGACAGGCTTGATGGTATCGGGAGAGCTATGTATCCTCACAACTTGCAATGCAAACATCATTAGGCCTCAGAATTGAACAAACAATGACTAGATCTCCAAGTAATTGCCTTTTTCACAGATCGCGCTACACCACAGACATGGTCAACCGACGAATAGCAGTCTGGAAAATGTACCATATGTTGTACCAAGCACGCGTGCCGTCAACCGCCGATGCTGCCTGCCTCTCCTTTCTCGCCAGCGCCAGAAGCAAGATTTGTCTCAGAAGCCACTCCATTCCCATTCCCTGCTGTGTCTCGACGACAACAAAAGAGCCGCCCAAGAGGTGCCTTGATGTAACAATAATACAAAAGAGCCATAAGTAGCAATCAATTTTCCTCTCGCCGGCAACCCTCCCACCAGTGATGTTTCAACCGAGATAATCTCGTCCTGGTCCGGTACAGATCTCTAACTCCCCCTGTCCCCTTCCCCTTTGGCGCAAGAAAACCTTTCCAACGACAGGCAAGTGACCTCCTTACCCACCACCGCCGCCGCGAGCACGTTTTCCTCCTCTATCCCCACCTCCAGCCTCGTCATTCCGCGGCCGCTTGTTCCCTGCCCCACCGCCGCCCCCGCCGCCAGGGCTAAACTCTCCCGCGCTGGGATTCAAGCCACCGCGATTGCCGCCCGCACGCCCGCCGCGATATCCCTGACCGCCGCGGTTGGGCCCAGCCTGATAGGTGCCCCGTCCTCCGCCACGGGCGATGTTAGCGCCGGCTCTGGGGACTGGAATACCTGTCCCCCTTGCTTGTTGATTTTGGTTCTGCCCTTGGGCCGGTGCTGCCGGCTGTGCTGGTAACGGGATACTGCTCGCCGGCGCAGTTTGCCCGATCGGATTGGCGAAGGGGTTGGGAATCCCCGTAGCCGGCTTTGGCTGCGGAAGCCCACTCTGGGGCCCAGGTGCGGGTGCTTTGGCTTCTGCTGAGAGAGGAACGCCTGCGCAGCTGTTAGTAACCGGTCGTGGTTCTGGCTCGGGGGTTGCTGGTAAAGACATACCTGTGGGACCCTGAGACGCAGGCGCAGCGGGCGCTGAAGGAGAGGCGGCCTGAGCAACTTGAGCAGACAGGGGAGCCTCCGTTGGAGCCGTCGTGGCCGCAGGAGCAGCAGTTGGTTGTGGTGGAGCTGGCGATGGCACCGAATTAGGGGCAGCGGCGGGTGCTGGAGGTTTGGCGTCCTTGGCGATGTTCCAAACCTCAATTACTGGCCTTTGAGGAGTTTCCTTAGCAGCTGCCTCGACTACAGCAATCTTGGCCTGGGCAGTCTTGTGTTGCCGGTCGAGCATGTTGATGCGAAGTGCCGATTTCTTCTCGGTCAATTCAGCAGCCTGCTCCTTTGCCGTGGTGATTTTCTGTTCGTATTCCGCCTTGACCGAAGCCTCGGTCTCTTCCTTGATCTTTTTCGCCTCTGTTGCCACCATTCTCTTGACATTAGCTTTGACAATGCTGGAAACAGTCGGGTTTGTGGCGACAAATTCCCGGATCTGCACATCGCTCATCGTGCTTGGATCTAAGGAACCTGGCATGCTGAGGCTCGGAGTTTGTGGTTCTTGCGCCTCAGCTGGTTTCGCCGGTGTCGACGGCAGGCCGTTCTGCGGTCCCGATGTCTGCTGCTCCGCCTTAACGATGGCCAGCTCTTGCTGAAGTTTCAGTTCGAATTCGGCTTGCATCTTAGCGCGATCTTCCTGCGCCTGCTTCTCCAGGTTCTCCTTCGTTTCGGCAAGCTTCTTGTTGAGAGTGCTCTTCATCTTCTCACTTCGTTGCCGAACAATAGAATCGGCATGCTCCTCAAGGTCCTTGGCCTTCTGTTCGAATTCAGCAGCCTTGGCCTCAGCAGCCGCGATTTTATCCTCCAGGGCCTTCCGCTCTTCGTCCGAGAGACCAACAGCTGGCTGGGAGGGCGGGGCTGCGGCATCTGGCATTGTGAGATCGGCGGCAGCCGACGATTCAGTCGCGCTCGCCACGGCCCGGTCTCGCTCTGCAATGGCTGACGCGAGTTCCTCTCTCAACTGTTCGAGCTGGGTCTCCGCGGCAACCTTTTGTGACGTAACAGCCTCGAGCTCCTGCCTCACGTCTTCGAGTTGCTGCAAGAACTCGGCAGACGGCCCGGTCTCAATGGGTGCCGCAGAGATTTGTTCGGCTTGTTGAGTCGCTGCTTGCTCTTCTAGAACTTTGTTCTTTTCGGTCAGACTGGCCAGGTCTTGCTTCGCTGTTTCAAGCGCTTTCTCGGTGCTGGCAAGCCGTTCATTGACCGAATCGAGGTTGCTCTGGAGTGTGTTCTTTTCGCCGATTGCTTCATCACGTTGCCTCTTCATATCTCTAAACCGCCCCTTGAAGTCCTCTGCGAGTCGCTGTTTGGTTGAGTTCCATTCACTTGTCTTAGCCTCGAGCGCTTCTTCCCCTTCTTTAACCTTCTGTTTGAGTGATTCTTCTGATAGTTTCAGAGCGTCGCGCTCGGTCTCGAGATTTGTAATGGTGGCCTTGAGCTGCTCGGTTTCGTGGGAATCGGCTTGGCCATACTTGCTGAGGATAGACTCTATTCTCTTTTGTAGACCGTCGCGAGCATCCTGCAATTGCTTGATCTCTTGTTCCTTAAAGGTCTTGTCAAGCTCAAGCTCCGAAATCCGTGCCTCCAAAGGCTGAATCCTAGCCTCCAGTTCCCCGATCTTCTGAGTCTTCTGCTCAAGCTGCGCTTGGATGCGCTGGTTCTCGTTCCGGAGAGTGACGTTACTCTCGCGGATGAGGTTGAGCTCATTGAGCTTGTCCATAAGCTCCTTGTGGGTGAGCGAGCTCCTTGAGCTGTCGGCATGTGCTCTACGCTCCTGTTCAAGTTTGAGGCGCGCCTCGTCAAGTTGTGATTGCGAGTACTCGAGCTGCTGTTGCAGCCTCTTCGCCTCCTGAAGCTTGATGTCATACTGCACCTCGAGAATCTCTTTCTCCCGGCGCAGATAATTGTTCAGCTCCCTCAGACCCTCGGCTGCAGTGTCGGCAACAGCAGGTAACGTGCTACCGTCGGAGCCATCCGTCAGCGCCCGGCTTTGTTGAAGATTGGCAATCTGGGCCGTCACACTGTCAAGTTGCTGATGGAGAAGCTTGTTCTGGGCAGCGGCATCTTCTCGTCTAGTTTTGAGTTCCTGGATTTCTTGCTCCAGCTGTACCCGGCGCTCCTCCCAAGACTGCTCGCTCTGTGCCAAGGAAAGTCGGGCGGAATCTGCTTCAGCCCTCCATGCCGCCGATTTGGTCTTGAGCTCGTTGTGTTCGGCGCGGAGCTGTTGCAGCAGCTTGGCCGCTTCGGCATGCTTCACGAGCTCCTGCTCGTAATCTTGCTGCGCCTTGGTGGCAATCTCGGCTTGGGCGCGCAAGTCTTGTTGATGGAATTTGGCAGTCTCTTTGTAGCGCTGCTCCTCATCTTTGAGGCGAGCAATCTCACTGTTGAGCATCCTCTCCTTCTCCTCAAATTTGCGGGCAACGTCGCTCTGAGCATCCCTCAACCTATTAAGTTCGCTGTTGGAATTGCCTAGTTCCGTTGTGAGAGCTTCAACACGCTGTTGAAGTTCGTTGATTGTCGCGGTCTTGGCCGCCAGAGCCGCATCCATTTCATCGCGATACTGCTCATGAGACTCGTTGAGGCTGGATAGCTCCTCTTCCATATCCTTGCTGAGCTGCTTGAACTGCTCAGCCTGCTGTTTAGCATTCTCGAGCTGTACATTGAGCAACTCCAAGTTATTCTTGAGTTCGGTGACTTCACCCTCCAGTTCTTCAATGCGTGCATGATGTTCACTGTCGGGAGCCGATGGCTCATGCGTAGTTCCGGGCCGAGGCGTCGGGAGAGGACGGAGCCTTTCGGCGCGCTCTTGCGCGTTCCGGAGTTCAATCTCCAATTCCCCGACGCGGGCTTGGAGATGGTCGCGAGTCGTCTTGATCTGAACATTCTCCTCCTTGATTTGGCTGATCATCGACGTGAGCTCGTCGATGCGCTTCTGGAATTGCTGGGCATCAAATTCCTTCCTAAGTTGTATCTTCTTGCCCTCGTCCATTTCCTCCAGGAGCTTACGTTTAGTTGTTGCAAGTTCGCTATCGAGCGCGTCGATTTGGCCTTGAAGTCTGCGCTTCGTTTCGGACTCGCTCAGCTCACGTTCGTTGAGGAGCGATTGCTGACTTGACAGTAGGCTGCTGAGCCTCGCCTTCTCCTGCGAGATATTCTCATTATCTTGGCTCAGACGCTCTTGGATCGTCTTCCATAGCGTCTTTTCAGCTCTCAGGTTGGCATTCTCACTGCGAAGGCTCTCAACCAAGCCGCGAGCCTCGACGAGGTCTTCGGCCACCTGTTGAGTCCGCATGTCTTGCTTGGCCGCGGACTCGGACAGCGTCTGAGCCCTCCGTTGGAGCTCTTGCTTCTCGGTCTGGATCGCTTTGAAGTTCGACTCAAGCATGTTATAGCGCTCGGTAGCCAAGGTGAGCTGGCTCGACAAACGAGAAACCTCACTTTGAAGGGCGCCTTTCTCAGTCGAGAGTTTCTCAATCTGTTCCTTCATAGCATTTCGGTCTGTAGCCTGATCATTCCGGTAAGAGTCGAATTGCGACTGCAGCTCTCTCAGGGCAGCAGTGAGATCAGCCTCGTCAGGGTGCGGGCCTTGCTCGATGCTAGCGAGCACCTCTCGTTGGCCAGCATCTCCAGTACCAAGGGCTTTCTGGATCTCGGCTGGGCTAGCCTTTTGCTGAAGCATGCGGCGGAACATATCGCGTTCGTTCATGTAGCTCTTCATGCGCATCGTGACAGACCGGACATCATCTTGCAATGCCGACACGGTGGTTCGGAGCTGCTGGACTTCCTCATGCTCTTGAGCTGCCTGTTTTTGGGCAGCCAGAGCCTCCTCGTTCTCCATTTGCGTGGCCAGCTGGCGGGTGAGGCTCAAGAGCTCTTCGTTCTTCTGTTGCAGTTCGTATATGTCTTTGAATGCCGTATACCTCTCGGTAATGAACCGATGGGTGTCCGACAAGTCGTCCAAGGCATTCTCAGCAACCTCGCCACGCTGAAGGCGCTCGAACTGCGCAGTCTCCTCGTCCGTGAGCTGGTCCATGCCCTTCTCCCGGGCATGAATATTAAAGATGAGGACATGGATCTGCGTGCTAAGATCGCGCAGCTGCGTGCGAAGGATCTTGACTTCGGCTTGAGCCGTGGCGGCAGCGGCCTCGGCTTTCCGAGCAGCTTTGGCGGCAGCATCGCGCTCCTCGTATGACTGTTGCATAATCTCGGACATCTGTATTGCCTCATTCCTCAGACGTTCCGACTCTGCGGTGAGCTCATCAATCTCGGGCAACTTGGCCTCCAGCATGCTGACGGCGTCGTCCAGATCCTCTTGCAGTTTCTGGCTCCGCCGCTGCTCACCAGTAAGCTGTGCCTTGACCTTAAGAAGCTCCTCGAGAGTCTCAGTAGCGCGGTAGGACGTCTTGCCACGTAGTGATGCGGGAGTGCCGAACGGGGAAGCGGGACGAGCAAGGAAAGAACCATTGGGCCGGGGAGTTTGCGGTTCAGAACTAGGTGCCCCTTGATAGGAGTCGAGCACAGCCCTGAGGCGGTCCACTTCTGTTTGAAGTTCTTGTGCCTGCTGTTCCGACTGTGCATGGTCCTCTTTTTCTTGTTCGAGCTCCCGCCGGATACGGCGAACCTCTTCAGCACAATCATCCTTGACTTGCTCGAGTCGAAGCTCCACCTCCTTGAGCCGATTGCGATGGGTTTGAGACTGTTGGTCCTTGAGCTCGACTAAGCGTCTCGACGACTCCAACTCCTGCCTGAAGCTCTCCTCGGCACGGGCGGCGGACTCTTGCAGCTGCTGTACTTTGGTCAGCGCCTCATCAGCCTTTGCCTGGGCCTCTTCTAATCTCTTGCGCAGCTGCTGCTCAGTCCGGGTAAGCGATTCGATCGTAGAGTTCACCTCATCATTCTGCCGTTGCAGCTCGGCAATTCGAGCGCCCTTCTCCTTCCGGATCTTTAGGTTCTCGGCAGCCTTAGTCTTGAGCTCGGCGTCGTACCACTCGTTGTTCCTTTTAGCGAGCTGGAGCTCCTGTTTCAGAGCCTCCTCCCTGTATTTGGCCGAGTTGGCCGCAGCCTGTGCGCTCTGAACCGATTGGTTCAGTGATGAGACCTCCTGGTTGAGCCTCACAATTCGCTGGTGCTGCTTCTGCAACTCTTCGGCTAGGCTGGTGTTTGCCGAGGTCTTTGAATCGACGATGGCCAAAGTTTCGCGATTCGATGCTTCCAGGGAGGCGATGCGTGCTCGGAGGGATTCAATTTCTGAAAGAGACGCCGTCCCAGATGATTTGAGGGTATGCAGCTCATTCTCAAGCGATCGACGGGCGGTTTCTTGCATCACCACAAGGTTAGATGAATGTAATTACGTGCGAAAATGCTGGCGGTGACGAAGCTCTTACCTTCACTTTGCAGTTTCTGTCGAAGCTCCTCAACTTCCTTGAGCGCCTTGTCGGAGGTGGCCTTGAATTGTTCGCACCTTGATTCAGAGCCTCTGATGGCGCCCTCGAGTTCGATCTCAACTTGGAATTTCTCTTGCTCGAGGTCACGCAGCTTGGTGAGGACCGCTTCGAGGATTGACCTCACCAGCTCCGCCGTAGGCTCAGTCAGTGCCGTTTGCAAGTCCGAGTCCGGGACGCCGGCCTGTGTGGACAGATAGCCCAAGTCCACGTCGGCCGCCGCCATTATGCTTCGCGATCCGAGACTTTCAGTGCATGGGGAGATCAGAGTCGATAGACCAGCCGCGAATTGCGGACAAGATATACAGAGAACCCAGATCGATGGGGATCGCGTTTCGCGCGTCCTGAAATCAAGATTCCCTTATAGTTGTTAGGAATTTCCCGTTCACCAAGCAGTTGGTTTCCAAAGGAATGAAAACCTTCAGAACGGCGTTTGGAAAGAATAGGCCGAGCTGTTGCGCGCGCGCCTGCCAATCAACAGAGCAAGGATTTAACGAGTAAGGTAGCAGCAGGTGGGGACCGACCGGAAGAGAGAGAGCAGTCAGTCAGTGCGACACTCAGCACAAAGGAAGTGGACTGACATGTGGCCTGTGCGTGGATACATGGCTACTGTATTGTACAGTACCGGTACACTTTTGGAACGTAAGGTAATTACGATTACCTATTCATCAAATACTGAAGTTACAGGTCCTCCATTCTCGTAGTGAGTACAGAGTACCAACAGGGAAAAAAAGACACTGCCGGTTTTTTTCCAGCGAATGTCAGGTATCAATTTCATGTTTCATCTCCAGTCCGCTATTGACTTAACCAACATGAACAGCCTCCAACAACCAACAAGCTCATGAGCTGTCGCGGCTAGCTGAAACAAGCCTTCAAGCCTTCATTCATAAGACTGGTATTTGATACAACGCCGTTCCTCGTCTAAACTATATAGTCTCCAGGTGCTCCCGATACCCGAAACCGTCGTCCCGCGCCCATGCTTATTTAAGCTTACAAACACCCTCCTCGTCACCTAGCCTCCGGATACCCACCACCATCCATCTCATGGAAGCCCGGCACGGGCCCAGACTGCCATGGCGGGTGAGGCTGCTGCTGGCCGTACACGGGCGGCGGGGAGCCTGACTGATAGTGATAGTACCCCTGCGCCTGCTGCTGCTGGGGAGAGGGGTACGGTTGCGGACTTTGCGGTTGTTGTTGTTGGTGGTGCGGCTGCTGCGGCGACTGAGCGTAGCCGTACTGACCAGCGAGCTCCGGCCGATTCGGGTTGGGGCTATGGAACGGTGACCCCTGGCCTTGCAATTCTGACCGGTTTGGCGATGGCGACGGCATCGGGTATGGGGCGACATGCCCTTGCAGCTCGGGTCTGTTTGGCTGAGGGAAGCCTTGCCCGTACAGCTCGGGCGCATTGGGCGGAGGGGGCCCCGGCGCCGGCGGAGGGTAAGTTGCTCCTCCTTGGCCTTGCAGCTCCGCGGTGTTAGGCATGGGGGGGTACAATGCTGCGGGCTGGCCTTGCAGTTCTGGTTTGTTCGGCGGCGGTGCATAAACACCGGTAAGCGCTGAGACCGGCGACACAGTATCGGCGCGCACCGGGGCGTTGACCCTAAGCGTACTTGGGGAGGGGCTCGCCGGCGGGGGCGGTGCGGCGATCGCATCGCTGGCCAACTCCGCTTTTCCTCCATAAGGTCCCAAGGGGAAGGGTCCCTGGGGTCCATGGTCGCCGCCAGCACTGTCCGGAATAGGTAACTGTTCCATGGCTCGACGTTTCTTTGCTGATTTGACGAGGAAGAAGATGAGGCCTGCGAGTAGACCCAGACCTGCAACAACACCAACTGCCACTCCGACGATAACGGGAACATTGGGGCCGCTGGAGCCTGAAGAGTCGTCGCCTTGATTGGCGGCTCCTTGACCGCCCGAGTTTCCACTCCCACTTCCATTTCCATTGCCGCTTCCGCTTGTTGAGCCCCCGGTCTGTCGCGGAGATGCCGTGCCAGGAGTGATTCCCGCGGGGTACGTCTGCTCGACAGACACGGTAATGCCGGCAGCAGTTACCTGCGCCTGGGCAGCACTGCAATAGTAGTTGTAAACCTAACCGGGGTGTCAGATACCCTCAAGCCACTAGACTGACAGAGAACTGACCGAGACTGCGGAAGAAACGTCTTCGGTGGCAGTTGAGTCACAGCTGTACTTGACGGACGAAGTGAGGACCTTGAGGAGCTCAGCCGTCATCCCCTCCTTGATGCACACACACGAGGCAAGGGCCTGCGGGCCTTCGGGACATAAATCTCTTGTTTGCTGCAGGACCATGTCAATTGCTGCATAATGCACGGCACCTCCAGGGGGGCGGAGGAAAACGCGGGCTCTTACCGATTGCACAACATACGACAAGGCATTAGCAGCACAGGGGGCAAGACTGCCAAACTGCGGCAAGTCGGTGATGTAGTACGTCACTACATTTAGTCAGTGAGTAACTGGCCAAACCGCATCCGATGGGATGGCAACTCTCAGAAACTTTGTGCTTACTGTCTCCAGGCGGATTTGACGGTTTGGGAAAGCTTGTCGTGCCATTGTTCATGGCACAGTAAGCGGCGAACATAGCATGCGCAGACGACACATCTGCGGCTATTGAGGAGCACGAGTATTTGACCGAACTGTTGATAAGTTGGCTGACAAGCAGCGAGTTCTGATTCTTGGAGCAGGCGCAGCTGGCCAGCGCAGGGGCCTCAGGAGGACAGCGAGCGTACGTCTACACCCGGAATTAGCTCGCGGGCAAAGGGGACCCCGGCCTGGGCGTGTCGGCAGGTTTTGATCGAGTGCCTTACCAAAGTCCTGTTCAGTCTCGGTCAGTGACTTGGCTGTGACAAGCATACGGCAAGCCCGTGGGACTTACTGTATCGCGTAGGAAAGGCCGCTTTGGGCACATGGCGCCAGATAACCGACATCTGGGATATCTGTGATGTAGGCACTCACGGCGGTTGGGGTTGGGAAGGAGGCGGGCGATTCCTGATTACAGTATGCGCTCAAGACCTGCCGCGATGGTCAGCACTGGGAAGCGAGCCCGTCTTTCGGTGGACTGTGAGAGCTCACATATGCTGCCGATGTTTGATCTTCGCTCGCGGTTGATCCGCACGAGTAGCTGACTGAGTAGGACAGCACGGACGATATCGACGCGAAGTTGTTGTTTTTCGTGCAGATACAGGACTGCAGTTCAGTGACGGCCTCGGGACATTTGTCCCCTGTCTGAGCCTGAACATTGTACGAGATAGCGGACTTCGCACACGGGGCCTTGGACAGAGTCCTGTCAGTCTCGATATCAAAGGTCGGGGAGCAGCAACAGGGGGCGATTGCGATTTACAAGAGCGCTGTAGATGGTGAGGTCAGTCACATAGACGACCGAAGCGGCGCTCGCCGAAGCGACAGTCAGAGAGAGCGCGGCGACTGAGAGAAGGGTTTGCCGCATCTTGCGAGTCGGAAAGGAATGCAAGGCACAAGGATGTGCTATTCAAGAAAGATCATCAACAATGAGCGACGGGAAGAAGGTACGGATATTGGGAGGGGCGGTGGCCCGAATGGTACCAGGGGTTTCACAGTCCACACAGGGCCTGAAGTCAAGGTTGCGAAGGGAGAGAAAAGGAAGCCGAGGGGGGACGGTAGCGTATCGCGGTGGTCTTCAGCTGGAAGGGCGTTTACCGGTAGTGCCACGCCCACCAAGCACTTCTCGCAGGCAGCCCGCCATCGGGAGGGACCAGAGCGAGACGCTGGGGACAGGAGTCACAGGACGGTCGAACGCCCATCTCGAGGATTCCCAAAGAGGCATGGCGGACCCGGAGCTCTACACTACAGAACACAGGCACCGCAAGTGCTGCATTTTCTGGGGGGCTCAACTTTTGGTTCACCAGCCCGGCGGCGAGTCCGTCCTTGGCGTTGTGGTCTTGTGGAAATAAGGTAGGCTACCCCTGGCGGAAAGGTTGCCGTCCCTGTCAGCTGAAAAGCAGGAGCGGAAGCTTGACCAGAGCACTTTGTCTCAAGTAGCAGTCGAGCCAATGGTGCTGAGAGACAGTGAGAGGAGACTCGCTCAAGTGGGTTGTCTCTGCTCGCTTGCTAGAATTCAACTGACACGAGGGTCCAGTAGCGGCGACGACCCTTATTTAGCAGCATCGCATCGGCCATCCAGTTACGAGATTTGCCTCCGTATCCGTACTTCGCAGACTGCGAGAAAGCATTGATTTGACGAGGTGTTGAACAATGAATGGTTCATTCGCATTTGTCCATACTGACACCATAGACTTCATACACAAGTCGTACTTAACGTACCAAAGTTGCAGGTATTGACGTTGATATCTTCATTGTCTTCTAGGCTCTGAATTTCAGGTTGATGGCCAGCCCGTGGGAAAATCTGCAGGTGCTTGTGTTCGCGATGCTTGCCCGGCTTAGCCTTCCTGCTTCACCACTAGCTGAGCGCTCATTGGTTCCTTGATGCTGCATCAGAACACGGAGGACAGGGATTTTAGCGATGGCCCTTAAAATGTGGGGCAACCCGAACTGGCCTCTTTGCCTGCAGTGGTTTGCCAAGCATCAATTTCGAACCACGATCTCTTGAAAGGGGGAAAACTGAGGATTCGAGATTGGGCAAATCAGTACCTGAGGTCCAGCTGTATCACGTATGTGCATACATACATACATACAATACAACCCTTGTTTGTTTGTTAGCGCGATACTCCCACCACTTCACCTTCCCTTCCACAGCAAAGTTCTGAAGCCAATGCATCCAACCAAATTCGCTAGATTTGACCCACATCTCCTCGATCTTGAGGTCCCTCCCCCAAGACAAGCTCGGATAGGTCTATCGATGAGCAACAGAGCACTTCAAACTTGCTCGAACTTCATTGCAATTCAAAACTGAGCTCTATAGACATAGAAGCCCTAGATCAAGAAGGCTATAAGTGTAATTGATGCATTTTTTGTCTGTGTATGCGTTTTGCCCCACTTGAGATACCGAGCTAACGAACAAACAAGGGGGGTATTGTACACCTAATAAGATGCAAACCACCTACCGGTAGTTATGTACTCCATGAACATCTCTCGGCAGGCCTTCAAATCGGATGGATGCAGAAGCAGTGCGCACCGAGGCAACGGAGGGAAGAATGTTCCCAAGGATCGAGTATACAATGATCAGGTAGGTGCAACTGGCCACGACATTGAGGATTTCATGCTGCAACTGATTTACAAAAGAGAAGCCGGTCAGGGCAGTTGGGCCTCAAGCATCGCTGGCTCTTGAAGGACTCACGGTAGGGATATGTGCCGTGAACAGCGAGACGTCGAGCGGTATCCGTTCGCCCATCCAAATGGCGCGCGTGGTATGGTTCGCAAGGTCTCGCTCAGCCTCCGACATGTTCTCCTCCGTCGTGTTGGGGTGGATAAGGACAGAGAGGGGCCCGCGCCAGATGGCAAGCCAGGGAACGAAGGCGCCGAACTGGGCCGGCGTAAAGAGGTTCACTTCGAACATGGCGACCGGATGAGGGCCAATTGGCCGGTCCCAGAGCGTGTAGATACGCAGTTCCGGGAACTCCCTCCGGATGCGTTCCCACAGCTCCCGGGCATATTTTGCCTGGTTCGGATTGTTCTGGAAATAGTAGACGTGAACGTCGCTTTTTCCATCCCGTCAGCCTTGAGGACTTCGCTCATCCCATCAAGCTGAAACCGCTCACAATGCACCCCTTCGACCATTGTCCAGGGGTTCAATGAACTTGTTGTAAGCACTGCTGAGGATCCCCGTCTGCGGGTTGCGGTAGCTTTTCCCGTCTTCGGCTCGCTCGGTGGGTAGCGGCGGGGCTGTCTCATAGCCGGCGAGCGGCGAGGGGTAGTCAAAGGTCGCAGAATTCGTCATTGCAATTCGGATGTTGGGCTCCAAGTCCTCACAAGAGATAATCTACGGTACTGCCTGCTGATGATTCTCTTTGAACAGGTTTACGCTAAGAGAGGACGAAAAGAATGCTGGCCGGTTCTCCTGCGTCTTATGAGTCTTGTAAGCATGATCTAGGTTGTCTCCGCAGCTTCCGGAGAGGATGGGCAAAAACCCCGCTCCGGCACTGCGCGACAGCGGCGGAAAAACGTTTGCAACCCAGTCACGAAGGATGGCGTCATGAGATTGCAGAGTTCAATCTGGCGATGCATTATCAATATCTCAGCGGCTCCATTGTCTGCGAACTGTTTTGATCCAACGCATCGCTGTTCCCTTCCCTCCCATCCGTCTTTCTTCTTGGAATTCCGGCAAGATCACCGGCAGCCGGCTCCGATCGGCCGAGATGCGGAGACGGGCGCGCGGCGCCCCTAATTCTGGCCGAATCACAATGGACCTCTGGCTTACAGATCAACCAGGAACGAACCATCGTCCCGTCTGTCCTTCAGGAGCCCGTACCGAGGACTCTGGACTGAGAAATTGAGCACGCTGGTCGCAATCGCTTGGTATGCCTCGATTAGCCGCCGCAACTGGTCAGCAACGCCAGCTCCATGTTCCTTGGCGACGAGAGCCTGAAGGGAAGATGCATGGCTATCGAATTCTCGTGCGCAGTCGTAAATGTCTTGTACGACCTGCTGCACAGCGCGCTCCAGGTCGAGGTCAGATTCCCACATGATGATGGGTATCAGGTTTGTAGACGCTCCGTCTTTCTGAGGAATCATGGATAATGTTAGCGCAAGAGAAGAGTGCTATAAACGGCGCGGCCAGCTCACCAATTCCTTCTTGAGCGAAAACAGCTCGTTTATACTGCGATGGGGGCTTGGGTTAGTGGATGTAGAGTTGTGACCTGCTCTGGGTAATGAACATCAGGAATCTCACAGGATGAGGAGCTTGTTGACCTTGAGTCCCATTACTTTCAGGGCTTCCGAATCCAGGACATCGCTCGGGAGCGATATACCGTTCAGTATCCTGCCTTGTATTAGCACCAACCTCCCCCTTCAAACCCGTGCCAGCAGGTAACCACCAACCTGCACAGACACAACATCGCGTCCACAGACGACGTCCTCAACCGCCACGAGTAGAACTCATCCACAGTCGGCATCCTCCCCAACTTCATCCCCCTGTACTCGGCCAAGCAGCCCTCCATGTAGTCTTTCAAGTGCCGAAACAGCTCCCTTTTATCAGCCTCTCCTCGGCAGAACTCGGCGGCAACCCGCCCTGCGACTTCGGCAAAGCTCTCGCACACCTTGGTGGGTGCCTTGGGCTCAGGTTCGCCAACTTGCAGACCGATGTGGTACTGCACAAACGCGACAGACTCGCGGCAGTACTCGTCCGGGGCTACAACAAGCACTTCACCAGGTGCCACCACCCCGGCAGCAGCACTACTGGTAGTGGTAGTGGTAGTAGCAGCGGCACTGTCAATGGCATCGTCCCACAGAAACAACCAGACGCAGTAGAACCCGGCCGTCTCGAGGACGTGATACGTCGCGTCGGGGAATAACCTGTCAAGTACCGACCGCAAAGAATCAGATGGATGTAAGCAAGGGGTTACATTTTACCATTACACAGGACTTGTGGATATGTTTAAGGATTCATACCCCGATGCAAACAGGCCCAGATCCGCGGCTTTCACCTTGGCTAGGGCCTTGTCGTCATCGATTAGTCCCTCCAGGCGGGCATCCACAGCTTGTTTGACTTTTCCATGTAGCGGATTGACGCCCTGCTTCCATGTTGCGAAGGCTGGGCGAAGGTCGGGGATAAGTAGTTGGCAACCACGCAGGCGGTCGAGTAAACGGGGAATAGTACTCCCTGGGTCAGTTTCAGAGTCCATCTGTGGCTGGTGTAAGCTGGGTTTGCCAAGGAGTACGGTCAAGCTGGTGAGGGAGAGATAAGTAGCAGTGGCCTTACTGCCTGCGCATAGCAACTTACGGAGGCAGTTTGAATGGTTTGATGGAACTCCACACCGCCAGCACATGTAAATAGGCAGTCAAAAGCAGACACGAGAAATTCAGCCACGCCCACAACACGGTCACATCACGATGCAGAAACCAGGAACATAAAACCAATGCACTGTTGATTGCTATACCATCTCCCGACCGTCTATCTCCGCATCCGTCTACTCTATAGAGGAGCAAAACGTCCATACGCCAAGCACCCAAACAAATGCCCATGCCAAAGCCAAAGCAAATGACCATGCCAATGCCTGTTGCCAATGGGGATGGAAAGGTGGAGTGGATTCCGAGTCGGATGGTGATGGTGGTGTACTGAGGAACAGAAAAACAAAAAGCCAACGACTGATAATTTCAAGCCCTTTCCCCACCGTTTCCAGCAAACGCCCAAGAGTATGCGGTCTTGTACTCGACCACACGATATTAACAGCTCTCTTCCACACGCCGTCTGCCATTACAGTAATGCCAAGTGGATTGCTTCCTTCAAGTATTTGTCGAAGGAAGGAAAGCAAAATCCAGAGCTCACAAGAGGGTCGAGCCGAGGACGAAGCGAGATGAGTAAGGCTCGTAGAGAGAACAAAAGCAAGGTCGAGGCGACGCGAAGGGTCAGGGTAACAATACATCGTACAAGCTTTACGAAGGTGCGGAGGGAAATAGCAGGACGAATGATGCCTTCATAGGAATAAAAGGAAGGCGAGTGCAAATGCTCCCTCTTTGAGGGAATCGAGCACGGCGAAAGTGGCGAGGTTAAGCAAGGCCATCGTTAGGGGCAGCATCGTGCTGGCCATTGTTCTCCTTGGTCGCGCCGGTATCCGCGCCAGAGTCGTCAGTAGCCGAGGTCTCGACGGTCTCGCCAGTGGCGGCATCGACAAAATTGGCGCCATCAATGACAACCTCGTGGTTTCCAATGCGGCGCATGAGCTCGAAAAAGCGCGAGTTTTTGAACTTGAACGACTCGTTATCAGAGACCGAATTGACAATGCTGACGGCCGCACGGGCGAGATCCTCGTCGACTCGACGCTTCGCGTTCTCCTGCTCTTGAGCGAGCTCCTCGAGGTCTTCGTCGATGGCCTTCATCTCCTGAGCGGTCGGGGGCTTGGCACCGACAGGGCCGTGCTTGAACATCCACTTGTCCTGCTCCTCGATGAACTCCTGGTTAGCCGACTTCTGCTTCTCGGCCCACTCGGCCAACTCGCTCTGGAAAATGGCATCGTCGTATTCGCCGAAGGCGCGATTGAAAGCCTCGACGTCCATGGCACTCTCCATCGGGAGGTTGTCCTGAGGCTGCTGCTGAGCAACGGCGCTCATGGCAGGGTTTCCGAAACCGTAGGCAAGAGAGGGCTGAGCGCCGCCATAAATGGGCATGGCGAATGGAGCTCCATTGGGGCGCTGCAGATGGTTTCCCGGAGTCATGACAGGGTGGGCCAGACGAGGGTTGACAGTGGTCGGGCCGGCTGCATCAGCAAGATGCATGTTGCCAAACTCATTCACCCAGTCCTGGTGAGAAGTGCCGCCAGTAGCGGGAGAAGCCAGACGAGCAGCAGGAACGACGGGACCAATGCTGCCCATAGGGCCGGGGGCATGGACGGCCGGATGACCGTGGGCAGGACCAGCAAGGCCATGGGGAATCATCGGACCCATTGCGTTCAGGTCAGGCTGAGGACCAAAGCCGGGGTCAATGACGGTACCCTGCTGGAAGTCTGCAAAGGCCATCTCGGCGGCGCCGTGCGAGAAGGTAGCCTGGGATCGGAAGGTCTTGTCATGCGATAGTTAGCGATCGCTTCGGGTCGCAGAGAAGTGTCGCGATTACTTACATTTCCGGCGCCAGCCTGACGCGCGCCAACAAGGCGATCCTGATGAAGAGAACGGTCGCGATCGGCATGCGCAAGGAGGTCCTTAGCCCCGTTGGACGGGCCGCAAATGTTGTCCGACATCTTGACAACTGATTCAGGCGGTCAAATGTCACGATTGGGTTCTCGGCTTTTTGCTCAAGAAAAGAATATATCGAGGATCCGTTCCTATAGGCGAAGGGGGGATAACCTAACGATGAGAGAGATGCCGAGGTCCTCCGGCCAGAGTCAGGATTGAACCGAGCTGGCGGAGAGAGTTGCAGTCGCGTGGAAGAGAAAAGAGAGAAGGAAGCAGGAAAAAACTAGAAGCATTATTTATAATGGTAATACTCTGGGGCAGCCATTTCGTTACGCGGGCCCGCATAATCAAGTGTGTAGTGTGGCCGCCAGATCGGCCATGCGGTTCGCGATAGTCGGTGTTGAGGTTGTCCAGGAGTTGACTTGGTGTTGCTGCAGGTCGATGGCGAGCTTGTGACCGAGGGGCAAATGCATGTGGGGAACTAGGTGTGGGACGCACTATGTGGAGCACGGTGTGGAGCACCACATCTCACCTCGGTGAGCAGGGGTTCACCGACCTCACCTCGAATTTCTTGCCAGCTTGACACAACAGGGGCTACAGCGCACCAGCGTCAACACCATCGCGGCGCAACTGTTTTTGATCGTTTCCTACACACTTTTCGGGGTTATTCACGCACCTTCCCTGAATAAAGAGAATAGACCGCGACCAACAATGGTACGCGCTCCTTCCTCAAACCATTGTTCGAAACAGGGTCCTTTCTACCCCACGTCTTCGCGCGAACCTCATGCTAATCAAGCTCCCTCCAGTCAGCAGGAGCCCAGGTCATCGCCAACTCTGGCCATGATGACATGATTGTACGTTGTCCTATCATCTACATCACCACACTACCAAGCTGGGTAGATCGTACAAGACAACTCTCTCTTCCATGTTCGATCAAGAGCGCCCTGACACCAAGCAGCACGATGCAGTCCTCGACTACTACGGCCGGAGGTTAGCGACGTGTTCCTCAGATCGCACCATCAAAATCTTTGAGATTGAAGGCGAGACGCAGCGGCTCACAGAGACACTCAAGGGGTATGCGGGCGTCATCCACTCAAGAGGCTATCAGCGGGTTCCAATTCTTATCATCGAAACAGGCACGATGGCGCGGTATGGTGCGTCTCATGGGCGCACCCAAAATACGGCAACATCCTGGCGAGCGCGGGCTACGACGGGAAGGTGCTGATTTGGCGCGAGATGAACGGGGCGTGGCAGCGCATCTTTGACTTTGCGCTGCACAAGGCCAGCGTCAACGTCGTCTCGTGGTCGCCGCACGAGGCAGGTTGCCTGCTCGCCTGCGCCTCGTCCGACGGCAACGTCAGCGTGCTCGAGTTCAAGGACAACAGCTGGGAGCACAGCATCTTCCACGCACACGGCCTCGGCGTCAACTCGGTGTCCTGGGCGCCCGCAACCAACCCAGGCAGCATCGTCAGCAGCAAGCCCAACCCCAAGGCCACGGGCAACCGGCGGTTCGTCACGGGCGGGTCCGACAACACGCTCAAGATCTGGGTATACGACCCGGCCACCAACGGGTACAAGATGGAGCGCGAGCCGCTGACGGGCCATACCGACTGGGTGCGCGACGTGGCGTGGAGCCCGACGGTGCTGCAAAAGAGCTACATAGCGAGCGCTTCCCAGGATCGGACGGTGCGTATCTGGACCAGCGATCCTGCTAACCCGGGTAACTGGAACTGCAAGGTACTCAACTTTGACGCGGCCGTCTGGCGCGTGAGCTGGTCGCTGAGCGGGAACGTCCTGGCGGCGAGCAGTGCCGACAACAAGGTGACGCTGTGGAAGGAGAACCTCCGGGGCGAGTGGGAATGTGTCAAGGTTATCGAGGAGTAATCATGTCATGGGGCGCGGGAAGGACAACTGGGGCGTTAACGGATGTTTACCTGCTGGACGGTCTATTAGAATTTGATGCCGACTTTTGATGTTCCTCTTCATGGTGATTTTAAAATGGAACTTGGATTCTTCTATCTTGGCCATCGTCATCTTTGCGGAGCGCTGGGCTAACTATTCTTTCAGGCATTTCACAAACCTTTCCCTTGGGTCCCCTGGGAATTGAGCACCTCCATCTGTAAATCCCACCATGGACGAGCATCACCAGCTCTGTACTACTGATATCAAGATACTTAGATCATGGCCACAAACACACAACCAACAGCCACCATGATGGTCGTCAACCAACCCATCATCCCTCCATCCGTGCCGAAGCCACTCCGCGACCCAAGGCCGGCGGCAGCACTAGACGTGGGCCCTCTCCCGCCATTAGCGTCAGTACTCAGCGAGGCGCTCCAGGTACTGGTCGGGTCAGGAGCCGGACTAGTTTGGCGCAGGACCCAGATCTCGCCGGTCGCGTCGCTCGAGACGAACAGCCGCTCCTCCGTGGCAGGATCAAACGCTAAGCCAGCAGGGCGCAAGCAACCCCTTGGACAAACCGACAGATCTGGGTTATAGAGCACATCCACCGCGGCGGTGATGCTGTCCGGCGGCTCGGTCGGCTGACCTGTGGACTCCGAGAAGAATACAGACGAAACCCTGTATCCAGCGGGTTGATCCCTGTTCCAGCTGCCGTGAAAGGAGATGAAGGCCCGCGAGCCAGAAGAGGGCAGGAACTTGATGTCAAGCGGGGCCATGTGTGCCCGGAAAGTCAAGCGCGGCGGGGTGTAATCCCTGGCGCAAGTCTCATCGGTTATGGCCTCGTTGACGCTGTCGTCAATGACGAACTGGGAGCCCACAGTTAGGTTTCCGCGCTCTGGAATGTCGGATGTGTTCCACAGAGCGAAGCAGTTGGGGTACCCATAGTTGCCGCCGAAGCTGGAGCTGTCGTTGAGATAGCCGTGGAAGTTGAGCTCTTCGCCGGGGTTGTCTTCGTGTATGTCCTGCCCGCGCCGGTGTATCTCGTCGGCACTGTTCTCGACGCTAAAGATTCCACCAGTGACTGGATGCTCGGCGACGCCGACTGAGTTGCGCAGACCCCAGCCAATGAGGAGGCCGTCGCTGGCATAGTTGTATGGCTGGGGGTCGTCGGTCATGTTGGTGAGGTTGAAGGCACGAATCTGGGATAGACCAGAGCTTCGATCAGCGGCCAGCGGGTCAATGTTCTCGGCGCTGCCTTGGGAGATAAGGAGTAGGCCGGGCACTTTCCGGGACAAGAGCAACGTCCTTGTAGGGTGGCCACCAGGGTTCATGTTATGGACAAGCGTCCGCCGGTTCTCTACGGTAGTCCTGTCCGGGTCATAGGGCCAGCTGTAGACGCTCTCAGATGTCGAAGCATATAGAGTTCTGCCATCGTCTGAAAGTTCGATGGCATGGTTTAGCTGATGCTCTTTGTCAGTCGTGTGCTGTGCTCGGACAGTCACTATAGACTTACACCTAAATCGCTAACGATGGTTTCCTTACTCGCCACGGATAGACAAGTGCCCCCGCTGTCATTGAAGGTCAAACGCGTAATGCCAACGCGGCTTTCGACAACCAGGAGGGCGCCCTTGCTGTCAAATACCATGCCACGCGGGTTCGACAGCCCCGTGGCAATCAATTGGGCGCTCCAACCCTCGGCGGCAACCGGGGGCGAATAGGACGGGGTCAAGATGCTTGCGCATGCCGTTGACGATGAGGTAGCCGTCGGCTGGCTTGTTGTGTTCTGTGCCGCGGCAATGCCGGAGTAGCCAGACAGCAACAGCGCTGCTGTCGCAGCTTGCTTGGCGAGGTGTCTCATGTTGTTAGACAAAGCCATGCTAGTGGGGGGTTCCTACCGGGAATGAGAATCAGGGCAGTATTCCTCACTTTATGGATGAGAAAAGAACAGAAGAAGAAAACCGGTAAGGAGTTCTGGACTTTTATCGAAGCATCCTAGCAAGTCGTTGTTGCCATGACTCCATGAGCTTCCAGGTTCTCATTCTCTTGGCGTTCAATGCAGGAGGCACCCTGAAGCATCGGGAAGGAACCAACAGGATACATACACCTAGGCAGGTGGGCAGCTAGAGTAATGCTTACTACTAAACCTAATGGAATCCATTCCTACCTCGGGATGTTACATCCTGTGAATACCCTTGTTGTTGTCCCAACTGACACTTGGTATGTGGGCATTCTGTTCCTCTCCCTACTAGGCTCTTCGTGGTTGACACTACCCTATTCATACGATCAGCTAGAACCGCGGTTTCTAGGATTCTGGCGAATTTGGCTCACTCTGCGAAGAACCTTCGGGACTGTGGGGCTGATATGGCGATGATGATGGAGGGTGGTTGCCTGGGAGGACTTATTTACCCCATTACACAAGTGCCAATGCTAGTTTCCTTCTGTCTGTAGATCTACTGACGACTCAATATCAGCGACTTGAGATAGCGCGTCTCTGATTGCGCTCTGCACGCGCTCCGGAACGGGCAAGTATGGCCTTCTTGGTCTCATCTTCTCCTCGGCCTCTTCGATGCCAGCCTTGGGCGCTGTGATAACGGCTGCAGCGTACTTTGTTGCCGCAATCCCTCCACTCTTCAAGGCCTGTTCCGCCAGTGCAGCTTTCCTGTGCAGCTCCAGCGCTTCCTGCGTCTTTCCGGCCTTGTAGAAATTGTAGATCCCCACGATGATCTTGGGAACCACATTCGCAAACGCCGCGATGCACCCAGCGCTCCCAACCGCTAGCCCCCCGATCAAGAAATCGCTCTGCCCCCCAAACACAGCAAACCTTTCGGGCGGAAACTCGGCTGCCAGCCGCGTAATCTTGGCCACGCTTCCACATGTAAGTTTGACGCCGACGACATTGTTATGCCGCCTCACCAGGGTCGCGATGGCTTCACTGTCCCCTTGTCAGCATCCCCTCTCCATCATCCACCCACCCGGCGGCGGTAGTAGTAACTGCAGCCGCAATCAAACCCATACCTATCCAAGTCAACACCGTTACAGACCCCAGGGAAATTGTACACCACAACTCCCACCTCCCTCCCGGCTTTCTCAGACTCAGCAGCAGCAGCCCGAGAGACGTCACGGTAGAAGCCCTCCACCACCTGCCTCGCCTGCACCGGATCCGCAACCTTGAAATACCCCGGGGGCAGGACGAGCACGTAGTCGGCGCCGGCATCCACCGCGTCGGCAATGAACTCCTCCACCTGCCGCGTCGAGTGGCCACCTACGCCGGCCATGATGGGGTAGTCCGGGCCGAGGACTCTGCGGGCCAGGACGAGCAGTTCTCGCCGCTCTTCCCGCGTCAGCAGGAACGTCTCGGCGTTGGTGCCGAGCACGACAAGCCCTGCGAGGCCGGTACGCTTCCCCAGGTACGAAAACCACAACGCCTGGGCTTCCAGGTCGAGCTTATCCGTGCCCGGTTCATAGAGGGTCACGGCGGGGCACCAGACTCCCGAAGGCGGGACACGCGGGACGGGCATGGTGATTTATCCTCTTGGAATAGAACGGAGGGAAAACGGAGAGGGGTGATTCCGAATGCTTGAAGAGCAGGATGAAAGCGAGGATAGAATTAGCACCTAGAGTTCTTCGATGATTTGAGTGTCTGAATGCCAGTATGGGTCAGGGTGTACAGAACACACCTAAGGGGGCCCCGCCCTGCCGATGGTGGGGCTCTCACCGAGCCCCGGGCCAACTTCACCCGAACCCGATCGATTCCAGGGGCGATTTGGTTCCGGCGAAGCGCCTCCAACCTGAAGACTGCTAGCCCGTACTTGTAGTGTTAGGTACCGTACCAAAAACAGATCCCGGAATGATGACCGCCTGTTGCTTGCTCCTATCTCCAAAGTGAAGGTATTACGAACAGATTTTGTCTCAGTGCCCAAGCAAACCCCATGCCTTGCAGCCAAGAGAAAAGAAAAAGAAGAGGAAGGGGCCTGCGGAAGACTATGAAGCAAGAATAGTGACACAAAAGAAACAGACACACAAGGAATAAATGAGAGCAGACCAGTAGTCGTCACCCCTCCGTCCCAGCGACACTGTCTAGCTGTATACGCTCTACACCGTGAAACCGCCTCCGGAATCCAACACTGCGGCTCTCGAAAAGGAAAAAGTACAAAAAGCGTAAAAAAAAGCCCTGGCCACTAACGCAGCCCTATCACGCTCATCTCGAGCGTCCACACCCTGCGGATCCAGACCTTGAGCTTCTTGCCCTCGAGCCCCTCGACATTTTCCAGCTCGACGCCTTCCCACCAGCAGCGGCGCGCCGGCTTCCGCCAGAAGAGCAGTAGCTTCTGCGCCATGCCGACTGCGTTGCTGCCCATGTCGTTGCCGCGAATGTCGGACCGGAGCCTCGCCAGCGCCAGGCTGCAGATGACAGCCTTGTTGGGCTCGCCCGCCCGGTGACCCCACGTGTCGTCGTGATTGAAGCCGCTTTATGCCTGCGTCAGTACACTCACTTACCGGCACGCCAATTGTGTAAAAAGAAAATGGGGTAGAAGCTCACCCGGCCGTCAGCATCTCGATAAGATGTGCCTCGGTAGTCCCCGGCTCGTCGCTCTTCTTCAGGCCACTGAAAATGCCGTTTTGCTTGAGCAGCGCCTTGGCCGCCGCCCGCTTGACCTCGATCATCTCGGGCTGATCAATGTCATACTTGGGAGGGATGGCGTAAAAGTCCAGGTCCTCGCGCAGCACGATGATGCCCGCCCGCCTACTGCTTTCGTCTCTCGCGCCGGGTTCTAGCGGGACCACATCACCATCCTGACTAGCGGTAGCGCTCGGCTCGGATGGGATGCTTTGTGCCACATTCCGAAAAAAGTCCAGCATGTACTGCAAGGATGCCGGGTCGTACTACGGACGAGTGCAACTGTCAGTCATCTACATGCCAAGATAACGGAGGATATCTCGGACGTAGCGGGCCATTGTTGCAGGAGATTGTTACGTGGACCCCTGCTCAAGTTCCGTTCGAGCAGCGAGTTTTCGGTCAAAGAGAAAATCAAGGCAGTCTTAGCCTGATAGCGGCTATGAAAGTAAACTCACGTCAACTTGGACAGCATCCCCCTCAGCGAAGCCACCCATGTGCCCTTCCGGGAAGAGACCGTTGGGGAAAAGCGAGAGCAGGACGAATTCGGGTAGTGTTAAAAGCTCATCTCTGGACAGAGTAAAGCGGGTGCCCCTGCTCCAGTTGTCAGCGTGCAAGCTCTCTCGGCGGCGCCTCCCTGTCAAGCCAGCGCTTACCGCAAATCCATTGTAATCGTCTCATCGCCAGGGACATCTGAACCCAACTGTTAGTCCGACAAGCTTGAAGTAATCTCTCTCCGCTGCGGCTGCATACCTCCGAGTGGATTGAGGGACGGCCCGCCCTGCTGAACCTGGGTAATGATGCTCGAGGCACCACCTGCGGCCGCCATGAGGTAGGTGAAGGACTGAAGCGGACTCGATCCCTCTGAATATGCCGGCGGCGGCTCTGCTTCTTCGTCCTTGGCGCTCCGCGAGGGCTCACCGGCGTGACCCTTGGTATCGTGGGGGAGTGCGCGCTTGGTCTCGTCTTGTAACCGTAAGGCTGCGGAGGCGCTGCTTGACGACTCTGGCGCTACCTGGTTGGCGGGCGCATACGCTGGCGCTGCAGCAGTGGTTGGGTCGGCTTCGTCGGCGTCTGCAACTGAAGGCTTGTATGGCTCGCACGGCTCGAGGATGGATGACGCGGCTCCTTGTTGGCCCGCGGCAGCAAAGAGCGACGAAAACGAAGGTGGTGGCCGGAAGGCTGAACTGGCCGAAGCCTCTGAGGCGGGATACTGCGGCGGCGGGGAACGTTGGCGGGAGGGCGAACCGGGCGAGTCGGAGGGGTTGAGGAGCAGCTCGGCGTCAACCTCGGCGGTGAAGCACACAAGATTCGTCTCGGCCACGGTGTCTGGGAGCTCTGCGATTCCTGCTTCCTCCTCGATACTACGCCGTTTGCAGGGGAATGGCCCGAAGGACGACCTGCTGGATTCCCGGGAGTCGGACAACGTGGCGGCGAGGAGTGGCGGCTGTGCGACTAGGCTGCTTTTTACATCAACGGTTCTGGCAACCGGTTTCGGCCTCAATCAGTCAGCGAACCTGTTGTTGGGTCGCCGCAGCGCTCGTGGGTTTGCCTGGCTCGAAGTCGTGGCACAATGAACGCGTCGCGGTTCAATGATTGAGAGGCGCTTCGTTGGGTGCAGCTAGCATTCGAGGTTACTCAAAGTGCGAATATGGTAAGGTACCTTAGGTTTGTTGGAATTTAGGAGCGCAAGGTTGCCCGAATGCCTGCACCCAATTCAAAGCATCAAATGGTGGTGAAGACGACAAAGTCTAAGCCCGGATGGTGGAAGAGAATTCAGATGAAAAGCATCATAAAGGAAGTTGGATGATTCAGGTATGTAGTTATTTGTATATGCACACATTCCCGGTTGGTTCAAGGTTAGGTTTGTCGGGGGTTCCCAGGTGAGGTTGATCCCTAGCGGAAATGGCTGGCACAGCAGATGGCCAGGCCCCTGAGCGCCGCTAACAAATCCCTCGTTTTAAGGGAAATCACTGCAATTGCTGTGGGAAGTGTGGATGTTGGCCACCAGTCCCACACGAATCTGGATGGCTCGAAGCTAGCCGCCCGGAGCACTAACGAATCACAAATCACAAGTCGCTGAGAGCCAAGCAGAAGAGAAGTGACATCAAGGGACCAAACATGCGCAACGAGCTTAAGGTAAGTAACGAACTTCGGTAGCTACGGTTTACCATGACAGGAATGATTATCAGGAGGGGCTTATAGCACATCATGTATAAGTGCATAATGTACTTGTACAAGCTTCTTCCTCTCCTGCTGGCATTCAATTGTTTTTCTACGGCAATGTGGTGTCGCTGAAGCTCAAGGATCGCGAATGTCTGGACGAGGTACTGGCGTAATCGAAGTTACCTCCTAGCCCTCCGTTCATTCCTAAGACTCATGTACAGTTTAGGTATTGCAATGGTTATATTGAGGTGCAGGACTCGCCCATTGTACTCGTCTGTTCCGTATGACTTGTAAAGAGCATCGTGATGAGATACTTTATCTTAGTTCTCGTCATCACTGTCACCAAAGATGGCCTTGAACACCTCCTCGCCTGCCCTTTGGCCCTCTAAAGCGTCGTTCCTGCTTGAATCAACGGCATTCTTTTCAGGGGTCAGAGCTCGTTCCATGAGCTCGCTCTTGCTGCCAGACTGGACCCCTCCATGAATGGCGTGAGAGGAGGTGGAGGCGGAGCCAGATTCTAGTGCCAGGAGCTGTTGACGTGTAGGGCCATAGCCTTGTTGAGTGCCGAACCCGGAAGCAGCATCATGGGTTGTATTGCCCGAACCCGGACCGCGTAGGTCGTCTGGCTGAACATGTTCAGGCGGCTTCACATTGAATCTCTTGCAAAGCAGACGTGTAGGATAAAAGTCAGTAACGGACCTCGTCATGGGCCCAAACATACCAAGTCTGGCGGCTTCTTCCGCTGGATCCTGAGGTTTGGGTGGAAGCTCTGGGACAAGATCCTTTTCACCATTCTCAGACTTTTTCGCTGTCGATGAGGTTGTGAATCGACTGGCCATGAATCCTGTCATGGGCTTGAAAATCCGTGCACAATTGAAAAACTCATGCATCTCCCTCAGCCATTCCTCATTATTCAGGTGCCGCGGCTTTTCCCCTGGAGTAGGCTTAAATCCTGCCTGGTATTCGAGAAAAGCAATGTATCTCGACCGTTTAGCGTCGTCATCTGCGTAAGGGGCGCCGCCACCGGCACCCCTGGAAATCGCAGAAATAGCCGTCTCCTTATCTAGCTGCGGCACGCGGCTAAGAAGCTCTTGCAACCGCTCGGCTTCGCTCAGAGCATATCCTGCCGGGACCTCGCCGCGCGCAGGTGGAAGGTCGGTTCTGCCTGTTAGAGCAGCCAGACGCTCCCGTGAATCGGCCGACAAAAAATCGAACACCGACTTTCCGGGTAGCTGTTTCTCGCCAAGTATGGCTGCGCGGGACTTTGGGTCCAGCGTTGATGCTTTGGCAGCATCTGCGGTTGAAATGTAGGCAGCTGAGCCTGCCTCCGGTTTGGCTTGTTTCGATGGCACCCACCCCGGCGGAACAATGGGAGGTGGGTGTTTTCCTTCGGCATTGATGGCGGATATCAGAATATCGGGTTCCCTGCCAAAGACAAATCCATCCAGGGGAAGCCGTCCATCGTGGCATTTCCGTATGCCAAGCGCAACCTTTCCCAACGCTGCTTTCTTGGATGGGGCTATGAAGGTGGGTTTAGTCTTCACCGTCGGATTTGTTGATGTGATGGCCTTCTTCTTCTTTCTCTCCCCTCCTATTACCCGGTTATACGAAATGCGCGGGCCAATCTCGTACGGATCTTCCTCGTCAGAACCGGTTTCGTTCAGTACACCAGTGCCAAATCCCCCTTGAGCTTTCCCCTTTGACTTCTTCTTACTTGGCGCTAATGAGAATCTCGGACGCCCACGGTAACCTATGCCTTGGTCATCATCTTCCTCAGAATCATCAGCACCACTTCCCCTCGCTGAGAGGCCAATCGGCGTCAACCTAGGTGCTTCCCCGTAGCCCAAACCCTTGTGATCGGTTTTGCGGACAAAACTAATCATGGGTGCATTCTCTGGAGCAAAGAGATATGTGTCGCCTGTCTCGTTCGCGTCGCCGCTCAGGTCAAGGCGGGCTTTTCTGCGGATCTTTGGGCCGATTCCTTGGCCTTCCTTCCAGCCCATCCTCTTGAGCAGTTTGACGCCCATAGTCTCCCCTTGAACCCGAAACAGGCCCATGAGGTCGCTCGCCCTTGATACATCATCTGCGGTCGAACCAGAACCGGCAAAAGCCGCTTGGGTTTGTATCCTCTTTGATTCCTCGGCTTCGGCCAGATCCTCCTCGTCCATGAAATCCTCTGGGCGTTGCTGGGGAGCGTTGGGGTCATCTTTACGCCGGTTTGTTCGCGAAGAAACGAACGTTGAGGGTGTCCATCCCTCTTTGGAGCCGACCGTGTTGAAGTAGCTGAGATGGTACCACGATCAGCTGGGCCGTCAAGACAACATAACGGGCCTGAACTTACCCAGCGCTCCACCCCCCTGTAAACGCGCCATGGAGCCGCTTCCTTCCTCGATCATCCCTCACCTCCTGCTTCCATAGCGGCACATAAGAGCCATCGTCCCTGACATCGGGATCCAAGGGAGGGAGAGGGGTTCCGAAGAAGACATATGGGGATTGTTTTGCGACAAGATCGGCCTCATAGGTAGCACGCGACCTCTTGGAGGACATGGGAGAAACATGAAGCAGGCAGCTGCAGAGCGTGAGTTGGCTGGTTTCCCTGGCATGAGAAGGTTGATAACGTTTCGTGACAAAGTCGCTAGGTAAATCGGGCGCGAGGAACCTGGCGAGCTTCCCTGGCTCTCTGTAAACCTAGTGGAGCCCTCACCAAGCTTTGATCTCGGAATGGAAGGCGGTAATTAAAGTTTCCCCAGTGAGAGTGGGGAAATTCTGCCAGGTTGAAATGCGGGGTGCGCGGGCTTTTTGGCGGCCTACCCCTGACCAGTATGGAGAGTGACTGGATCAATCATGGGTTCCGGTCGCCTTTTTCATTCCCATCTCTCCTATTCTCAAATTCGGACCAAGAGCAGCTAATGAATGGCAGTTGGCAGCTTAGATTGTAAGGATCTGGATCAGTCTGCTCGACCGTCAAGGGAGTATCCTACCCATCGTACCCGTGTCGGAATCTGTGATTGCTCAACTCACTCTGTCTCAGTCACCGGATGAGGTTTCCTTCCAAGCGTGTAGAACGAGAACCGACGACGTCAACAAGTTCAAGGCCGATGAAACTGCATACCTGAAGGTTAACATCAATGTTACTAGTAGCCTGGTACCTGGAACCCCGCAGCGAACGAGACCAGAAATCACATGGAGTACATAAAAGTACCTGAGTTACAATGTCATTCCGGCTTGTCATACAGTATATCCCCTTTTGCAGTTAAGTCTATTGGATGATGATATCATCTGGAAGGGCTGGCCATACCTGTGATCCACATCTTCAACAAGGGATCTCAGCTACTGTACCTGATCCTTCTCCCTTGATGATACTCGTTGCTCTACCGAGTCTACGTACTACGTAACCTAACCCCCACCGCTGGAAAGCCTTACCTTACGGATGATGGCTGCTATCAAGCACCTCAGCTTATCCGAGGTGCTGTGATATCTCCCATCCGTTTCAGCTCCATGTCTCACCCAAAGGCCATGGGCGGATCTAGGCTGAACAAGGCTTCGACGCTGGATGATGATGGTTATGCTGATTGATTGAGTTGCATATGCTGGTGGGTGCCGGGCATAGATGAGGTGCACGCATAGTCACAGTACAGAGCACGTTTGCCTGCCTTCCCAACTGAGGCCCTGTCCATTGTCCTCCAGGTCTGGGGGCCGTTTGCCCGGCCAGTTGGTAAGCCTACTAATATCGCATGTGTCCAGGTTTTCCTGGCAATCAGGGGCCTTCAAGAAGCAGTCACGACATCAATCACTGAGTGGATGACGAGCGGCGTCCCAGAGCGTCCCAGAAAGCATTCCCCAACCGCTCAAACCCGGATGGCTGGATCAGGTTCGTTTGCTAGCTGAATTACACTCTGCACTCCTCCGCAGGGCGGCCGAAAGGAAAGGAGAAACCTGCAATGTCATTTCTTATCATCTGGGACAATATTCTCCGCCATGAACGACAATACCTATTATGTTATCGTGTACAATACTCGTGGAATCGGATCCTCCATCTCATCGGCTTTGTATCATGCTTTGCCGGATAACTCACATGGATCTCCATACCTAGGCAAGTCAATTGACCAAGGAAAGTTGAGTTGCGTAGAGTCACGACAGAACCCATGTGGACGGGGTTGAGGCAATCTTCGTACCTTACGGTACATCATGATACGGCCAACACGGTGGATACTGTAATTAGGAGTATAGCTTCGTACTAGAGAGCCTGGGTAGGCCTGGGCCCGGCTGAGCAAAACCGTGAAATGCTCACTAAAACCGCGGTATCAGCTGCGCACCCTCAGCGCGACAACGCTCCAATCCTGATTGACATTTGACACTACCTTACTTTAGGTTACCGTTTCAAGGTTACCTACCTACCTTGGGTACTAGGTACTATGGATGCTTAGGCAACACCTCTCTCCATCCATCGTTCTAGGTATTCCATCATCTCCCAACAGCCCGAGCTTCCAGGTTCCAGATTCCCTAATTTCCACAGCAAACAAGCCCAACGCCCAATTCTTTGTCCGCCGCACGCGCCCGTCTACAACCCCTGTCGCTCAGGTCACGACCGTTCGTTCCGTTACTGAATCCTGCTGCTAGTTAATCGACTGCTGCTGACGTTTCTTAGGGGCCCAATTCTCGCAGTCAGCGTTCGGACGCCGGACAGCGAGCTGTGCTTCCAGTGGAGGGTTCCATGTGCTTGCTGCTCACTCCTCCATCCGACGTAATCACCTGCATCCCGTTCGCATCGCCAGCGTAGCTGAATGGTGCCTGTTTCCGAGCCACGCCTTTCTCGGTCTATGTCCCACAAATTCCCAGCGACCTGTCTTGCCGTAGCGACCGTCCGACAGCCACCGCCCGGACCCCTGTGCCTCCGTTTCCGCCATGTCGACAACGCTCCCTGCTGGGGCTGAAATGCCCGTTCGGTCGCAGTCAGTCCGGACACGACGGCCACCGACAACGTCGCGGGCCGAGCCCCTTCCGCGATCCGAGTCATCGACAAGAGCCGAGGCGTCGCGTCCCCACCGCCGCAGCAGCCAGAGATCGACTACCGGTACCACATCCTCCCCCCGGCACTACCAGCAGCAGCCCGACATGTCCGCGCCCGCCCCAAACAACAACAACAACAACAACAACAACAACAACAACAACAACAACAACAATGGCGGGACCGCCGACGACGCTGCCAATGGGGCAGCCTCCGCGGCGCATCGGACTTCCAAACACAGATATCGTACCGTTATCCCGGCTCCGTCGGGCAACTACACATTTATAAAGACCATCGGCCAGGGGAGCATGGGCAAGGTCAAGCTGGCCAGGAAGGAGGGCACCAACGAACTGGCAAGTCTATCGCGTTGCGCTTCGTCTACATCCTTACATTGCATCTTCTCTAACACCTGGTTTCTCCTCCACTTTAGGTCGCGTGCAAGATTATTGAGAGGGTCTCGCCCGATGACGGCCGCCAAAGCCGGGAGGATCGGGAGAGGGCCGATGCCGCGAGGGAAGACCGCAACGCTCGTGAGGCTGCCATCGTCAGCCTGTTGAACCACCAGTACATCTGTGGGCTGCGAGACAACTTGCGGACGAGATGGCATTGGTACATGCTTTTCGAATACGTCAACGGCGGTCAGATGCTCGACTACATTATTTCACATGGCAAGCTCAAAGAAAAGCAGGCCAGGAAATTTGCGCGCCAGATAGCCAGTGCTGTCGATTACTGCCACCGAAACAGCATCGTCCACCGAGACCTCAAAATTGAGAACATCTTGATTAGCAAGACAGGCGACATCAAGATTATTGACTTTGGGCTCAGCAATCTCTTCTCACCAGAAGAGGATAGGAAGCTCAAGACGTACTGCGGCAGTCTCTATTTTGCTGCCCCGGAGCTACTCCAAGCGAAACCCTACACGGGTCCTGAGGTCGATGTGTGGAGCTTTGGCGTGGTTCTTTTCGTGCTGGTTTGCGGCAAGGTGCCCTTTGACGACCAGTACATGCCCGCACTTCACCAGAAGATCAAGAAGGGAGCAGTTGACTATCCCAATTGGCTGTCCAGCGGTAAGTTACCTTGCAGGGAGTGCCATTTCTGATCGTCGCTAATATGGTGCCAGAGTGCAAGCATCTTATATCCCGGATGCTGGTGACGGACCCGAGACAGCGTGCTACCATGCATGAGGTCATGAACCACCCCTGGATGCTCAAAGGTTACAACGGACCTCCAGAGAACTTCCTACCGCACCGCGAGCCCCTATCCTTACCTCTGGACAATGAAGTCATCGCACACATGACGGGCTTCAAGTTTGGCCCTCCAGATTACATCCGTGAGGAGCTGACCAAGAAGATCAAGTCACCCAAGTACCAAGCTGCTGTGCGGCGCCTGGAAAGAGAGAGGGAGCTTCCACAACCCACGCCAAAGGACGCTGAAAAGCGGCGAGCTTTTGGGTTCGACTTTTATAAGAGGAGAAACTCCATAACCAGCAGGGATACTCTGACAAACAACAGCTCAGAAGGCCTGCCAGTCGGCGACGATCCGCTGAACGCCTTTGATCCCATGATCTCCATCTATTACCTTGTGCGGGAGAAGCTGGAGCGCGAAAGGCAGGCGGCCCAGGCGTCCATGCCGCACAAACCACAGCCCCCGCAATCCCCCCAGCAGGCCCAACCGCCACCCCCTGTGCCGCCTTCTCCCGTTGCGAGGCCAAAGGAGAAGCACTCACTTGCCGAAATCGTCCCGCCCCAGACGGCGAACAACGATACTGGGCGGACACGGGCCCGAGCGAGGTCCCATAGTGAGGACCAGGCCCGAGAGCCAGTCAAGAATGGGCTCTTATCACCAGACATGGTCCCGCCAGCAAAGAAGAGCGGCGCCGCGGCATCACTCCTTCGCAGACTCAGCACGCGTGACAGGCGGAAGGAGCCGCCATCCGAGAGCAACAACGGCAACAACAACAAAACCAGCACGCCGATACACAAATCGGTCTCGATGCGCGCCAAGTCGCTAGGGCACGCGCGCAGGGAGAGCATCCAAGCACGGCGGGCCCGGCGCGAGGCGGAGGCGCGTGAGCAGCCACAACAGCAGCAGCAGCCGGTACGGGAGGAAACGGACGCTGAGCTGCTGGCCGAGCCCGAGAACGGAGACACCAGCGGCGGGTCGCATGAACGGCTTGAGCCCGAAGATCCAGACCTGGCCAAGCCGGTTTACCTCAAGGGCATATTCAGCGTCTCGACCACGTCGACCAAGCCGCTGCCCGAGATACGCGCGGATATCAAGCGGGTGCTGAAGCTGTTGGGGGTGGATTACACCGAGATCAAGGGCGGGTTTAGCTGTCTTCACACGCCGAGCCTTGCCGACGGCGGGACGGATCGCGATTATTCTTCTTCGCGCCACGCTGCCGGCGGCGGTTCTGCCGCCCGAGCCAGCGAGCAGATGGTGGCCGAGGGCGAGATAAGGTTTGAGATTGTCATCGTCAAGGTGCCCATCGTCAGCCTGCACGGCGTGCAGTTCAAGAGGGTCGGCGGGGACACGTGGCAATACAAGGCCATGGCGGAGCAGATTGTGAGGGAGTTGAGGCTCTAAGGGGAGATGAGAGTGAGAGAGCCGACCATATATGTAGGATGATGATGTCGGCGATTGTATTCCTTCGTCCGGCTGCAAAAATCAATCGCTTCGCCCTTGCTGGTGATGGCAGCGAAGGTCTGGCCGGGAAGGAACACGATGACGGTGTTTTGCTTCATGGTGTTGGCTATTGTTGTTAGTTATGCCGGGATTCTTTTTGAGGTACCTTCTTTATATTCTAATTCTTATCTAATATTGATGGCTTTTCTACACCTGTTGGCGTCGTTTCAGATCGATATTGTCTCGGTTCTTGACTTTTAGAGTTGGAAACAAGCTTTCCTAGGCGAGTGGACTGGCTGACCAAGAAGGTGACAGATTGTCTGGGATAAAGCAGGTACTTGAAAGACATGAGTGATGACATGGTTCTCTATATTCCTGTCTTTAAAATCGTACCTGCCTTGCGTTAGCATCTGGGCCGGCCCTGGTTTCTCCCTTCCCTTTGTAACTTGTTGCTCATCATCCCGATCATGGGCCACACCTCGATCCAAGCGGAAGTATATATGCCTCCGCCATAGCAGACACGGAGCATGCAGGTTGTCAACAGGGTCCATGCGAACGCGGGGAGGCTGTGGCCGACGCGTCCGAAGGGAGAAGGCTAGGGATGATACAAGCGGGGGTTGACCCTGGGGGTTGGTGAGATTCAGGTGGTTGAAAACAGGTACGAGGTCCGTACTCCTCCTGCTGCTGTTGAGAATGCGGTGGGAATCATGAAAAGGTATGAACATCGCTATGGGTTCCAAGAACGATGGGCTTTTCCGTTCTGTTGAGCAGTCATGCCAATGACCAATGGTTGATTGCGCTTTATGTGACGAGAAGCCGTTGGTGATTTGGGAAGAGGTCGAAGGTGAAGGTGCTACTGTCTATTGCTTGCACAAGCCGGACAGGTGGCAGATGAACTACAAAGCAGACCCTGTTGGGTTGCGTCGAGGAAGGGGGGATTGGGGAAGACAATTCATGTTGATACTGGATGATGATATCCCAACCCTCTTACCAAGTACCCGTTGGCTCGACCTTCGTATGCACTTAAGGGGCACTATATCTAGACGGGCAGGTGTCTTCGTAGGTGGTGAGTGCTCAAACAGGATAATCATGGGTTACAAAGAATTTATAGGTAACGTATCATTACATCGTGATTTCCGGCGAAAGCAGGATTCTGCTGTCTATTGTCCTAGCGCTTCCTGCATCGCGGGCCGGCGCGGCGGTCATCACTTCGTATCCAGCCAGCAATCCTAACAGAAGCAAACAGTGTACAGCACATCTCGTAGCGGGAAATGGAACGCTAGGTGAGCTTATATGCCACTCTCCATAATGGCTTCACGATTTGTTGATCGTCAACGGCTTGAAGGGTTTTCGTAGCTTGTCAATCGGCGCCATACTGGAGCGGCCCAGCCCGGGAGGCCTCCTAAACTTTCCCCCAAGCCCCTTGGGAAAGTTGCACGTCGTTGCGTGCAGACAAGTGGCCGGACGGGTCGGCTCCGGTGGAGGCTCGTTTTCTTCCGACTTTGAGCTGGTTTCAATGTCGGTTTCCGCCGGTTCTGGCGGGGGCGGTGAACTAGAAAAGACGGCATAAGGTTTTCTCGTCGCTGTTTGCTCACTACTGGGATAAGATGGTCGGGTCTTCATCTTCCCATCTCTTAAACTGCGCCCAGCGAGCTCCGGTTCAATCTTGTGCCTAGCCAAGTCGGTCTCCGTACATAGAGACCCGGAGGCGTTCTGCGCAGGGAGATTTCCTCTGGAGTGCGGATTCGCTGATGGTCTGCTTGCCGCTGGCATGGGGGTCGGCAATGCTTCAATAGAGCGAGGGTTGGCCTTAACAAACCCAAGGATGCTCCTCTGCTCTGCTGACCGCCTGTTGCTTGATCGCTTAATCTTCTCGGCCCTTTGTACCGCTTCCGCAGCGGCGGTAAGGGCAGCCTGATGGGTTCCTGCGCTGACGAACCCAGGGAGAGAAGCCACAGTGAATGAAGACGACTGCTCCATGGTGGTCGCGTAGTCCTTACGCCACGGGAGTTCGCCGCTGTCGTCCTGCCCGTTAGGTAGCCTCTGTAGTTTTGGTCGCTTTACGCGCGGTGCATCGTCTGGCCCGTGACCAGTCAAATTATGCCCCAACTCTTCCGGGTCGACAGGAAACAGATTGTCTTCAACGTTAAACATGGCCGGCAGGCTCCCGAAGATGGACTCTTCAGGCGGCAACTTACGCCGAAGAATCCTGGCAATCTCCTTCATGACCGGCCGATCAAAACACGGGCCCTTTTTCAAGAAAGATTTGCTTACGGATGTGACAAAAGGCGACAGCTCGTTGCGCTCGCTGTTTGTGCTTGAGCTGTAGACCGGGTAGCTGAGATAGAGCAGACTCTGTGCCCGCGTCATGGCAACATAGAGCAGTCTCCTCTCCTCATCGCTGTCCTCTGCCCGCATGTGGGGAATAGACCCGTTGTAGACGGCAGGGACAAAGACGACAGGCCACTCAAGACCCTTCGCCGCGTGTATTGTCGAGATGGTAACCAGTGGCTTGCTTTCCTGACCATAATCTTCGGTCTGTGCATCAGATGCTAGAGACACGTTGGCCAGAAAGCGCGGCAGAACCTCGACCTCCTTTGTTTGCTGCAGTTCTGCGATCGCCGGAAGAGCGTCATCGCCGGAGCGCTCAATCTCACGCACAAAATCGGCCGCAAGCTGGATGAATTCCTGCATGTTGACCCACCTCTGCTCGTGGTCTTCAGGGTATACATCTTGGAGATGTTTTTGGAAGTTCAGGGTGGTAAGAAGCTGCTCAATCATGTCGACAAGCCCGAAAGGCGTTCCACTGCACCCAGACGCCTCGTCAATTCGTTTCCTGATAGTCTCCAACGGGCGGAGGAGCCCGCCACTAATCCTTTGCTCGGCATGCTTAGTGATTTTAGTTTTTGCAGTGCGATCGCCCCGGCAGTGCTTCAGTAGCAAACTCCAGAGGCTGAGCGATGAGCTTTCAGCTTCCTCGATCAAGCCTTTGATGGTCACTTCGCCGATCCCTCTTCGGGGAACATTCATGATCCTGGCCAGCGCATCGTTGTTTTGGGGCTGGTGAATGACTCGTAGATAGTCGAGGATGGTTTTGATCTCGGCACGCTCGTAGAATTTGAAACCCCCAACCATTCGATAGGCGATTCCGGCCCTCCCAAGGGCGCTCTCGATATGCCTCGACAGAGACGCGGAGCGAAGTAACACGGCTACATCGCTGTGGTTCAGCATTGAGCCTGACAGCAGGACAGCCCTCTTTATCTCCGAGACAATCCAATCTGCCTCGGCAGTTGCACTTTTCAACTTCCGAAGAACCGGACGGGAGCCCTTATCATGGATGGGCTTCAGGGCCTTCTGGTACCGTTTGGTATCCTGCTGTATGACGAGCAGGGACAAGTCGAGGATGGATTGCGACGACCGATAGTTCTCTTCGAGCGAGATCTCGTCGGTAGCAGGAAAATCCCGGAGCAGCCGCCAGAGGTTTCTAATCTCGGCCGACCGCCATCCGTAGATGCTCTGGTCAGGGTCGCCCACAATAGTAATCCTCTGGTGACGTTGGGCGAACAGTTTCATCAGCTCGTACTGAATCCCGTTTGTGTCTTGGTACTCATCGATGAGGACAGTCTGCACATTGGCAACGCAAGACGGAAACCTGCGAAGCAAATCAACACAGCGGACTAGAAGGTCATCATAGTCCAAGAGACTGGATCTGTCCAGATGGCCCTGGTATTCCCGATAGCAGGTCTCAAGGTCTTGCAACCCGGGCGTCTCGGCGGCTTCTGGTCGAGCAGACTTGGCGGAGGTTTCGGTGCCCTTGGCCTTCCTTTTGCTTATCCATACGCGCGCGGCCGCAGGGTCGACAGTTAGCTGCAGTCTTTTGCAAATCCGGGTAATGATGGCGCGGGAGTCTGATTCATCGGCAATGCCGAACTTTTGGTTAAGCCCGATGTGTCGCCCGTACGCGGCGAGATAGCGTCGTGCGATGCTGTGGAAAGTGCCCAGGATAATCTTGGACTCGCGACCATTTCCGAGGGCTCTCCCAATACGCTCTTTCATCTCGCGAGCCGCCTTGACGGTGAAAGTCGCGACGACAACATCTTCGGGCCGGTATCCCACAGCGTCGACCAGCCAGACAACCCGAGAAGCGAGAGTATGAGTCTTGCCACTTCCTGGACCGGCAAGAATGGCGACTGTAGCCGCATCAGAGCTCACGGCGCGACGCTGAGCATCGTTCAGGCCATTGAGAATCGCGTTGCTCAAGGGCGGACGAGAAGACATGTATCGGCAAGTTTACACAGCGGCCCCAAGGAGTCACTGTGGAATATGCAAATCAAGTTGAACAATAATTATTTACTGCATTTGCACGCGCGAGAGAGAAGTCTGGTCAACAGGATGTTGTCGACGTGCAAATCGACGCTGATGCCAACTCCAATCTCCAACTTGCTCGATTGATGAATACCTTACGGTTAGACGCGACGGTACCATCACAGCGGGTCCATTCGCATCGCGAGAGCACGTTACTCTCCGCTCGTGACTACAATTCAATGCTGGTTTGTTCGTTAGTTCGAAACCTGCCCGACTTTTTCTAACCAACCACAGCCCAGAGATACACGGGACCCTGACCAATCGAACCACGCGCATCTGCACATTACCCCATTTTTTGGGCTTACATAACCTTCGACTTTTCCACCCTGGCTCAACTTTTTCCATTTTCCTCTTTCTTCAACCTCTCCAGCCGACCATTCCTCTTATATATATTTTCAACGTTGCAAAGATCACTCGAATCAGCAGGGCCCCAAAACAGCTATCGCCAGGGCTTCAAATCAATGATTCGCGCGTCAAACCAATGCCAACTTCGTGAAGAAGCTGGTCCGTTTGATGCCTCGTCGGCTGGAAGCCGTGATTCGGAACGAAGAAGGTTACATTGAGACTCTTCTGCCCATTCAAATTGTATTGGATCTCGGGTTCCTGATGTCACTCGCTAGGTTCTCTGCAATTGAATTGATTGGCTTCGTCACCCATGTTTAGATCCACCGCATGTACCACGCTAACGAACAAACCAGGAGGACATTGTACCTTCCCAACTTCAATCCCAAGTCCAAGACCCCAAGCAAGAGTGACCGAGCGTTAACAGACCTGTGATTACCGCACTGTACATACACTAGGCATGGAAATGCGTCACACAGTGCAGTACAGTACATGTACAATACATACCTTACATCGCTACTTCGTACCAATCTTCCTATCCTCACTCCAATTCAAACAAGATTTCGTTCCAGCTATCATATACCACTCCCCAACACTTGAACGTTATTAATTGTCTAAGGTACGAAAAATCACATATCTATCCGAGACTCCATGATCCGGAAGGAAATTGTCGACCAAGTTTCTGGCTGCTGTAACCTTATCACGGGAAGCACAGCCGATCCTGTCATGCAATGCACCTCGACGAAGAGAGCAATTGGACCCAATTTCTGTGCAGGCATTAACAGCTTTTGATGCGATTGAACTATCAACTCTCCGGCCGTGCCTCTCCTGACGGACGTGATGTTATGATGTTCTGAGAACGGACAGAATGCATTCACATCAAGACGAATCACACAAGCTCTGCATGGTGTCCAACCGGGTGACCAGCGTAAACGATCAGCTCGGGTCTAATGATAGCATATCACGCCTTCAGCAACACCTGCTTCCTCTTGCATTTCTGGGACCGGCTAGCGTTGGTGAGCAGCGGCATTCTTGAGAGCGCTGAATCCTCAAATCCAAGGGACCGCATGAGTGACAGTGACGAGAAGATGAACTGACGAAGATGGGCGGCCCGGCAGGACAGGGGTTCTTGCGGGCTGGTGGTGGGGGATGGACGAGCTTCGCAGTTCCCAATCGGTGATAGCCAATCGCAGGGCTGCCTTTACCGCTGGCCCGCCCATGCTACCGGGCGAAACTGGCCAACCAGCGGGCTGGACGGCCATGCAACTCCCGTTCCGCAGCATCGCAACACCCCTCACAGGTCGCTCACAGGTTGCTCGCACTTTGGCTCTCCGCGATCGAACCCTGGCCATCATGCAAGTGCCAAATGTGCCTGGACGGAGGACCAGCAACTAAGAGGCAATTTCACACGTACGGCCCAATGCTCGCCGTGCTAGTGCCGAGCTGCGTTCCCACTCGCTGCAATTCGTCAACTCGCCTCGGCCGACCATGTGTCTCAACAGCCGCTATATACCCAGTTGGGCCCGTTGGCACACGGTTTGTGCCTCCTGTCATCCGCCATTTGCCTTGTTCACCGCAATCGCCTCCTGTACATCTCAATCACAACGTGTTTCGGCATGGCGGATACCATGAGGCATCTGTGAGAGTACAGACCTCCTTGAACACCTATTAGACCCGGCCGAGGCCTGCCTTGACCCCCCTCCACCACCATGCGGTCTGGTGTACCAGTCTATAACTCTGCCTCTGCTCTTCTTCTTGCGACGGCATCTTGGCCCTCCTTGTGCGCTGCCGTGCCGTCAACGGGTGTCTGGTCACGCCGATCACTGGTACTGGACTTTGATCCCGCCCCGCCGCCCGACGAAGGCCCTGAATTATCAGCCGGTGCGCTTCGTGATCCATCCTACCTCCCGGCCCAAATTGGCGGCATCGTTGGTGCATACGGCTTCTCGCTGGTGCTGGTCGCCTTCCTTCTCCTTGCTCTTGCCAAAACCCGCCGTGAACACCTCGAGAACCGTGACCTCCCGGAAAACGAGAGCACGTTTGTCTCATTCAACCCCTTTCCCCAACCGTTCTTGCTCCAATCCGAGGAGGAGTACAAGAAACATCTCCAGCAATTCCAGACACAGACCCTCACCGTCCAAACCAATTTCCCCCAGAGTCCTGTGAGGAACTTCTCTCTGCCCTCGGGCTCACCATTAAGCCCAACAAGGTCCGGTCCCCTCAGCCCATCCAGGTCCCAGCACTCGCTTTATACCACACACTCGCCCTCATCGACCATCCTACCACCGGGTAGTGACCTTATATTCAACCCGACAGTACAACGAGACAGAGCCATGGCGCAAGAACAATTGGCTGAGATGTACAAGTATGTTATGGCGCACGAGGAGGCCAAGGCTGAAGGGAGGGAATATACCGGCCCTGATTTGACCTCCCCTTCGTCAAAGTCGGTGGCCAGCAGCAAGCGGGAGAGAAACAAGCCGTCGAATTTGAATCTGGCCTCTTCAGACGAGAAGGCGCACTCGCGAGGCTCATCGATTTTGTCCTTCCTCAAGTCGCCCCGCAAGAAGCCGGCGTCTGCGATGCAAATCTCATCTCCGATTATGACGCCCATGTCTGGCACCTTCCCGCGACGCGATGAGCAGGAACTGAATGCCATCCCCCCTCGTCATTATGCCCCGGCGGCCCCGCCCCCTATCCCATCAGACCTAGGCTCCCGGCGCCCAACCTTTGCCACCGCCTCTTCGGCTGGCAATCAGCTCCCAAGCCCAGATGTCTCTCCTGTCAGCACGCAAAGCATCGACTCCCGAATCGATGCCCCCGTCAGCCATGCTCCTGCCCGCGAAGCCCGCGCCGCCGCCCGTCGCGAACAACGGGAGCGGGAAGGGCGCGGTGACAATGGGCGTTTCCACTCTCGCGATGTATCAGCAGCCACCAGCGCATCAGGCGAGCCCGATCCCGTCTCGGCCGTTTCGGAGAAATCAACGTCTGGCCTCGTCGGTCTCCCCACTTCCCCCAAGCCGGGCGTCGACCGCTTCCCCAGCCTCGATTCGCTCCCCACCTCGCCGCGCCCGGGGCAGACTTTCGCCAAGTCAGCCCCGCCCCAGTCGGCAATCCGCCAGGGCGGCGCGCTGCCGCTGAGAGCGTACGAATCGTCGCTGACCAGCCCAACGTCATCGAGCTTCAACACGACCAAGCAGACGGTGTTTACCCGCGCTGAAGGCCCGCTCTCGCCCGGCTTGCGGACACCCTGGACGGGCGCGCCCGTGCCCTACACACCATATCAGCCTTTCTCGCCGGTGATGCCCATCACCCCGTCGGTGGTGACCAAGGCGGACCGGAAGAGGATGAAGAAACTGGAGCCGAAGACGCCGACCCTGGAGATGGTGAAGGCTACCGAAGAAATCTGGTAGACTGCCTGTGGATTAATCGGAGTGTGGTAGGCTGGGAGCTTCGCTGGTAGATATAGTATAGTTTATTATCTGGTTTAACTTCTTCGCTTTCTGATATCCCCTTCCTTCGGTGTGAAGGTTTCGGCTTGGTCTGATTTTTTTCCAAGATGAAAGGGCCGTTGAGCTGTGGCCTCGGGGCCTGGATAAGTGTGCCTAGTTGGGCGAGAGAGACAAATAGTTTGTAGAGTGGAAGTTATGATATCCATTTTTGATGAATTGATGAGGGTCCTTGATCTTGTTTTGAGTCGATAAGTGAAGTGCGAAAGAAGAATCTCTGAGCGATGCGAGTCTGTGGTTGACGTGCAGTGAGATGAAGCTGTTCGTGTGTGATGTTTCAAGGGGTTTCGGTGAAACTGTTAGGTTGGTTGTGGTTGATGCGTACCCCTAGGACTTATCCGGTGAATCATGATATGTAACAAACCGGTCGTGTCGTCACAACTGACAACATGACGCTGGGATAACGATACAGACAGCGTCCTGGCGTCTGTCTTGGGCTAAAGAAGCTGAGAAGGTAGGTATCCAGGAGCTCACGCCTAGGAGAAGCGGACTGCTTGTTAGCCAATGTGCTGGATTCTTGAAGGTCAGATTCAAACATGGGCCCGTGAAGTACGCATAGCTTCCGGATGAGCAAACGGGCATTGGTAGATGTACATAGTGGCCCCTTTACGAAGGTTCAGCCAACGGGTAAGGGGAGTCTAGATGAGTCGAGCTGGCATTGGGTCTTCGCAGTCTCGGCGGATGAGCAAGCCAATGCCCTAGCAAACCCCAGCGAGCTACGGATACGTAGAACAGCTCTATATCAGGTCGCGGCTTGAACGAGCAAGTACCTACAAGCTTGGTTTTGCACGCTGTTTCCCGATGCAAGGGATGCAAGGGATGCATGTAGACGCAGTGGTGGCTATGAACCTACCGGGGCACATTGCCTTGAACTGCCAGTGTGTCCTGTGATTGTCCATGACCTATTATGTACCCTAGAGCATCATCTGGGCGGTTGGACAGAGGCTCAGACAGAGGGGCTAGAACATGCCAAACTCCTACGAATTGCCCACACATGCGACAAATTGAGAGACAGCGCTCATGGCTCAGAGTCAACTGCGTGCCCTGTTGCCACTGCCACTGCCACTGCCGTTGCCATTGCCATTGCAATTGTCCCAAGTAGCCGGTGCAGGTGTCAATGCAGGAAGCAGAGCCATTCTCTTTTCAATATCTTCAGCTGTTGTTGAGGAGGGAAGTGAAAATGGGTGGGTTACTGTACGTCACACAAGGTATGAGGTCAGTCAAAGGGTTTTTAAAGTTGCACATGGCTCAGGCCTTTCAATGTGGTCTCGGCCTCGCCTCAATTGCCTCCACGTGCCAAGCAACTGCTCCACTCTTGGGGACTCGGCTGTAGCCGATTCTCCTATCATACGATTCTCGCGCACATCGTCCCACCCATAAGCCCATCCTCCCATCTTCCTTCTTGCAACGTCGGTCCTATCGCCAAATTTTCGAAAACGGCCCGCCCGCGCAGCATAACGACGAACGCTGTCGGCATACGGCCCAAGCTCCCCTCCCCAGCTTCCTACAGTAATTCCGCGCCTGGCGGCCGACCCGACTTGCATCTTGCTTCGCAATTGGTCGACGGCTGTGCTTGCCCCTGTCCGCCCATCTCCCACTCTCGCCGCCCACCACCCAAGTCGACCCGGATCGCTGCCGCGCACCGCCAAAGGCCCGCATGCAAACAGCTGATCGCTCCGCCGCTCAGGGTACCCGGCCTGCTGGAGCGGTCCTTGGAAATACCTAGGGGCGATACGCAGAGAGGAAGGAACATGGCCAATCCAGAAGCTGGCTCGCCTGTCTTGTTCGGTGGTCTGGATGGATTTGATCTCGGTGATGGCACGCTAGGAGGTGGCAGCCTTGCAGGTGATCTGCCCGATACCCGTCTCGGGGCTTCAAATCCCGCTCCGGCCGCCTCCAGGACGGTTGGTGAGAGCATACCAGCCACGGCTGGCGGGAGCGGGAGTGCGAGTGGGACCTCACCCTTACAGCCCAACTTCTTCAGTCCGGCCCCTCCAAACTGGGTCTTCCAGGACACGCCCCCGTATGACTCGCCCATCGGCGAGAATTCCTTTAGCGCTGCTTCCCAACAATCGTGGGATCTCCCGGTTCATCCCAGCCTCAACCAAGCGCTTCTGCAACAACAGGCTCTGTATCTCCAGTCCCCCGCCCTTTCGGCCATCGATCCGAAGCTTAGCCCTACTTCTACGGCGGCCAATGTCCCGATAGTTCCCGCCTTTGCAGCGCAGAACACCCGAACCGCCCGTAAGGCGAGCAAGCGCAACATCGAGAACACGCTCACTCCGGCGCAGCGCGAGCGGCTCAAAAGCATCGCTATGCCTCCTCACCTCCAGTATCACTCGCCTGGGAGTCCAGGGTCGAGCTCAAGCGGCAATGACAAGGGCCCAGCCTCGTCCCCGGAGGCCGTCGAGTCGTCCAAGCCCAACAGTAGGAAGCGTAAATCGTCGGCCGAAGTGGACGACGATGACGACGATGATGAGCTCGACGGCCAGCAGCCGGTCAAGAAGACCGCTCACAACATGATTGAGAAGCGATACAGGACCAACCTCAATGATAAGATAGCAGCGCTGCGAGACAGCGTGCCATCATTGAGGATCATGTCCAAAAGCGCCCGGGGAGAAGACACTACAGAGGACAGGGAGGAACTGCATGGCTTGACACCGGCTCACAAGCTCAACAAGGCAACGGTAGGTTCCACTGTTTTCCATGTCCGGCAGGCTGATGCTGACCCACGACCTAGGTCCTGAGCAAGGCAACCGAGTATATCAGGCATCTTGAGAAACGCAATAATCGACTTATTGAGGAAAACAACAGCATGCAGGCGAGAATTGCCGCATTTGAGAAGCTCTTCATGGCGGGAGCTATTACCGGACAGCTCCCAAACCCCCTGCAGCCGTCTCCTGCACCAATGCAATACACCCAAGATGCCGCCTTCGTGAACACACCAATGACGGCACCCCAAGGCCCGGATCCATCAGGGTTGATTCCGATACCAGACGATATGAAGCGCATTCTAACCTCGCAGCAAATGAACGCCGGCCGCCCGTACCCCGTGCCGGCGCAGCAATTTGCGCAGAATCCTGCGATACTGCGGCAACAGCAAATTCAACAGCAGCAACAGCAACAGCAGGCACAGGCAAGCCGATGGAACCCGTACTTCGGAAAGCTGATGGTGGGCTCCCTGGCCGGTTTGATGCTGGTCGAAGCCCTCGTCGAGAACGAAAAGAGCGCAGAGACGACAGAAGGCCGCGGCTTGCTCGCTCTCCCGGTCCAGTTCGTCACTGCTTTTGTTCACTCGACTCACTTCAGCATCGGAGGGTATTACATCTCTGCAGTTAGCATGATTGCAAAGCTACGGTTGCTCTCCCTCATCGGCGCCTTGTTGTGGGCCGCCTGCTCGTCCTTTATCGACGAGTCCCTCTTTCCGCCTTCTAAGAGCTCAAAGCAGAATCCTTCTGTTGTTCAGGCAGTGCCTTCCCTTGCCTCCCCCATCCATGTCAGGAGGCAAGCATGGCTCACCGCAATTCAGACCGTCTGGGTGCCGAGGCACAACTTCTTCCTCGAAGCCGCGGCGCTGTTGCTCAAGACGCTTAAATACACCCTGAGGAACGTGGTTGGCTCCCACGGCTATCTTGCGTTGACAGGCCTGAGCGAGGAGCAAGAAGCCGCCCGGATTAAAGCCTGGACAATCGCCCTGGACGCACAGCTCGCCGGCGGCGACGTGGAAATTAATAAGAGCCGCCTCACGCTGACCCTCATTGCATCCGGCACTCTCCCAGATACCCCTCTCCGACTGATGCTAAAGGCACTGCACATTCGCGTCCTCCTCTGGCGGCTGCATGGTGCCTCGTGGGCAGCCAACATGATTGCTGCCAACTTGTCTAGGGCGAGGTGGAATGAGGCCAGACAGCTCAATCGCATCCTTGATTCCCTTCACGATGGGCAAGCTCCCGCGGACGAGGCGCTTCCCGAACACTTGGCCATCCTGCTGGACCAGGACTGCGATGAAGTATTCAACGACGACATCATTCAAAGAGCGCACAACCTGGCCTGGAACCAGGACACGACTTACAACGTGATCGACAAGGTGGATGGCATGGACATGGTTGTGGAGGATGTTGCCGTCAGGTCACCAATGGATGCGGTAGCAGCGTGGTACTCGAGTCTTGCGCTGCACCGCGCCTTAGTCAACAGTCTCCCCAAATCCCGAGGCAACAAGGCCACCGTGGCCGAGGATATTGACCTGGCCGTCAAAGTCTCGCCCATCGGATCCAACGCGCAGGTGCGCGCCCTCGTCGCCCGCGCGGTTCTTACTAAGGAGAAGAGAGGCGCGAACATCGTGGCTGCGTTGCAGGCTCTCGGCCCCTCCCTCAACCCGGACAAGCATCCGCACTACAGCAAGGGCGTGCCGCCGCTCATCGACTCGCCCATGTCGACCATCGCCCCGGATCCCGACGCGCAGATGGCGCTGCGCTGCGCCATGGGCATTGCGCAGCTGCAAAAGTTTGCCGACCCGCCGCAGCCGGCCGTCATGGTCATCAACTCGATCCTGCCGGGCAGAGCGGCCGACGTCGAGGGCATGTCGCTGCTGGGCTACACGGCGGCGTTCCACCTCATGGAGCAGCTGCACGGGCACGCCGTGGGCAGGGAGATGTGCTCGAGGTCCCTGGAGAGGCTGGCCGGCAGCCTGAGGATCTGGATCGGCAGTTCCGCCGGGAACAAGGCCGGTGTTGATGCCGAGATGAGACAGGGCATGATTGACAGGTGCCTGGGCGTCGCCAAGAGCGTGGTCGGCATGGAGACCGATCCGGGCTATGCCAGTATGGATGATTCGGAGGTGGCTGCGGAGGGGGGTGAGGGGGAGTGGACCGGTTGTTGAGGCGGCATTTATTCAATTCCCCTGTTGATTGGTGTCTTGGCTACCCCTTTCTTCGCATTTACTTGTTTTGTTTATCTGCAGGTGCTGGGCGCGCAAAGCATTATTATCTTCTTTTTTACTACTCCTCTTATTATTACCTTGTCCATATATTTCCCATTCCATTATCTCATTTATTTTGTGTTTTCATTCCCTTATTCTGTCGGTGTTCTCGGCGTCGCAATGCTGACAGCGGGCGGCGCTGGGCGTAAAGTGTGGACTACAGGATCAGTGGGAAATCCAAAAACAATTGAAGTTCCTGGACCGTGCAGGGTGTGCAGGGCAAGCAACCTGAAAGAAAGGTTTTGTTATGTAGAGAGGGAGTTAAGGTGGCGCGATTGATTGATTGGGGGTTCGTCTCCGGAAACCCCTGAGTAGTTGGGCCGGTGGATCTAAAATGGATTCTTTCCCCCTTGGTCTACCTCATCATTTTCTTCATCACCCACTCACCGTTCTTGCCTACACCTTTTGGATCGTTTTGTCGTTGGTATCTGATGTCATATTATCTAGCACTTTCTGTGTTGGTTTGGCTCAGAGGTGGGCAAGTTTGCTAGATCTATGTGAGGAAGGATTGCCGAGGCGAGCCCTCATTATTAAGCTGTATCATATAAAAGGAATGAAGTGCTGAGAAAAGAAACTCTGCTCTTGTTCCTACGAAAGTATCTCCCGCTTATTCCGTAGTCGTGTTTGCCTAGAACGAATGTTCTGGGGCGATTCAGGGGCTATGTGTAAACGGTGTGTGTGTTGATGCGGAGATAGCGCTGGAGCTGGGTCCTGTTTACTAACCTGGTGACTATGGTTTAGAATGCTTCCTCCTCTGCTCATTGTCATACTCGGGGATGAACGAAGACAAATGGCTCTAGTAATAAGTTTCCCCGAAGGTCAACAACGCATGAGGTTTGGGGAGACAGCGCTAACTGATATCATTGCCGAATGCCCCGTAGCACCACCATTCCGATACTGCGCAGAGATATATTGAGATATATTGCCTGCATGTTGGAAAATGAAGCTAGTACCGGAATCGTTAATGCACCGTTCTCCTGCCGAACCTTAAAACGTAACCCAGCCATGCCCTCGCAATTGATCTACACCTTGAACTCACGAAGAAAACGAGGGACAGACAGGCAAAAATCCAAAACAAATGCCCGATCTTAGTCCAGTTCCTAACTAACCACCAAAGATAGCCAATCTGTTGGTAGGTATTATACCGTTATGGTTTAGAAAAGCGAAAACCCGTCCAATTGAATTTGGTAACGGGACAGATTCCCAGGCGATAACTAATAATTGCCATCACCGCCAACTACAATCTTGACAGCCCCGTTCATGAGACCATTAGTCATCTTGGTCAGGACTGGGAGAGGAGTGGGCTGAACGATCCGTGAGTGCATGCTGTCAAAGACGGGAGACGGGGTGCGAGAGGGTACGGAGACGGTCGGGGCGCGGAGAGAAGCGTTCGGCGGAGCGGGTTCCGGAGCCCTCTCGGGAGCCGGAGCGTCTTGTTCGATGGCCTTAAAATACTAAACAAGATTTGGGGAGTCAGAATGGAGATAATAGGAATTCTAGGAGAGGGATGGTTTTACCTTGACGGTTCCAACACGCAGTTCCAGCGTGGCATCCTCGTCACACACGATCCTGGCGCACGGGTGAAGCTGCAGGGCAGAGAGGGTGCCCATGTGGCTGACGCCCTTTTCAACGCAGGCTCGCAGCGCGGGGGCTTTCCGGGAGCCCAGCACGATGGCCACGACCTCACGGGCGTCCAGGACGGTCCGCACGCCCACCGTCAGGGCTTTCCGAGGTACTTTCTCGGGCTCACCGTCGAAGAAGCGGCTGTTGGCGACGATGGTGTCGGCGGCGAGCGTCACGGGCCGGGTGCGCGAGGCCAGGCTCGAACCAGGTTCGTTGAATGCCAGATGGCCGTCCTCGCCCATGCCGGCGAGGAAGAGGTCAATGCCACCAGCGGCGTCAATCTTGGCCTCGTAGGCGGCGCACTCGGCATCTAGATCCCGGGCGTTGCCGTCAAGGATGTTGACGTTGCTCGGGTGGATGTTGACGTGGGAGAAGAAGTGCCTCCACATGTATGAGTGGTAGCTTTCGGGGTGGTCCCTTGGGAGCCCTACGTATTCGTCCTAGGGAAAAGAGGGGTAGTCGCATTGGTGATGTGCTCAGTGCAAGCGAGCGCTCATGATGGACTGCTTACCATGTTGAAGGTTACGACATTTTCAAACGAGATCTGCCACGTTCACCTTGTCAGCGCCCATGCTTCAGGGCATAGCCGTCTAGGGCATCTCGTATCATACCTCGCCGGTCTTGTACTTTTCAACAAGGATGCGGTAGACCCCAAGCGGACTGGACCCGGTTGGAAGGCCCAACACGAAGGGGCGGGTTGACGTGGGCGCAAACTTCTTGATCCGCTCGACGACAAGGTTGGCAACATAGAGGCTTGCGGCCTCCTTATCGTCCCTGATTATGAGGTGCATGTTGGCTTGAAAATGATGAGGAGAGCCGTGAATATACAAGCCTGGGTTAGGCTAGGGTGCAAGAAAAGGGTTGGCCAGCAACAAGTGTCAAAGAAGCACGGCTTTGCTAAGCTTTCAGAAGCTGAGGATACCTTTTTTGATGCTCTCTCAAGCCTAGAAGTCAGAGATGGGGAGTTCGGGAGGAACGGAATCTAAGGAGCGATTAGGGCGCTTCAGAAGACCTGCTACTGTACTGTCAGAATGCTACTTTTACAATGTGCGTGAGCAGTGAGCACAAGCGTGACCATGACGGCACCACAAGAGCCCGGACAAGCCGAGTGCGGAGACTGTGAATAGCACCAGCGACGGCATTGCCCGGGCTTAGCGCAGGCCCGAGGGATGGATGGGAGGGTGTCCACGGTGTTGGAGTTGGAGCCACGAATGGAAAATGGAACGTTCAGCAGTGTGCTTGGGTTGTTACCAGTGGCGACTGATAGCACGTGTTGCAAGAGGAGCCAGCTTCCTGGTTAGCGACTAGTGTAACGCACTTGCCTAGCATCGATGGCACCAACTGCGGTGCCTTAGCCTTACCTTACCTTACCTTACCACTTTTGTGCTCTTTGCAGCAAGTTCATCAAGTGGGAGGCAGTGACGGTTGTTGGGTGGTGATGGTGTGCGGTCGAAGAGACAGGAGCAACTGGTGAGCATTTAAAAGCAGCTAACCAAAAGAGCACCTGTCTTTTTGCATGTACGAATACAAGCACTTTGCTTCACAACCTGGAACCATCATGAGGGGATGAGGCATGAGGCATGAGGCATGAGGCATGAGGCTTGAGGCTGAACCTGTAAACAACAGCCTTGTGGCCTGCATGTTGAAAGCCCTTATCTTAGGGGGCCAATTTGAATGCCAAGTTAACTTTGATGGATGCATGGAGTTGAACCTTAACGTTAGCTGCGGAGTACGGTACGTACCGAAGGTAACCTAGCTCTCTGGGGTCCCTGCACCCAACCAAAACGGTTCTGCAATCCATTTCGAGTGTTACCTGTGGTCCTGTGCACCCCCACAGTTGCTCCACCGATCACTGGAGATTCCCGCGACCCGCCCGATCGATAGGTGCCAGTCTCCTGAGCCAAGGCAACGTTACTTCTACATCCACAAGCCAACACCAGCCAACCCAACAAAGCCGAGACTCCATCCGGATCTCCCTCCCCGCCGAGTTAGGCAAGTGTCGCCGCAGCTTTTGTCTGTCTACTTGCGACTGATTAGTCGCTCCCTTTTTTCGCCTGCGACCATTTGTCTCTGACGGCCTGTTACACGCGAAACCAGTTGGGAATCGCGATTGGTTTTCGCCCTCCGGGTTCCTGCTGCTCTATGTCTCTGCCGCAATATCGCAACAACCGCAATATCGGGCTACAGTATCATGTCTTAGAAAATACCCCTTTTGCGCCGCCGCCCCGCAAACTCGCACTTTAACGACTTGCCTGTAGCAACCAGCAACCTCCCTCTACAGTACCTACGCGTCGTGTTCCCGCAAGCTCTCTGAGTCCCTATCCTCCCCCCAGCCTCCAGCGGGTACCCCGCAGGTTCCATTTTCCCGTGTCAGCCTTTTTGCGGCCCGGTAGTGGTGTGTTTACTTGGCGTATTCAACGTAGTGCTGGCCGGGGCCTCCCAGTCCCGATCTACCAAGCCAAAGGCTAGACGCAACCAAGGGCAGGCCATGGTATAGCAGGAATGTCCAGTGCCTCCCTCGACAAGCGCCCTTCTCCCTGTTCCGTATGACTTTAAGAAAGGGACTGCTCGCCGTATGCTTATCCGCATCTCGTGTGTCATGCAGCCATTCGTTTCTGCCATGACCTCTTTACGGGATGTTCTCTTAGCCGCCTTCAGGTCGCTCCTCCGGGGCAGGTCGTTGCTCCGGATTCTGCTGGCGTTCTGGACCGAGAGCAAGCCCAACCACGACCATCAAGATGTCGGCCAAGCCAAGGTCGCCGCCAGCCCAGTCGCGGATTTCCTCGCCGATGCCGAGCACCTGCTGTTGGCGCCTGTCGAGCCCAGCCGACTGCGCGATCTCTCACGGAAGCTAAAGCGCCAGTTTCGGGAAGCCCTGCGGTTAAACCCGAACTGTATGCTGCCGTCCTACAACTCCCAACTACCCACTGGCCTCGAGTCCGGCCAATATCTCGCCCTCGATGTTGGCGGGTCAACGCTACGAGTCGCACTGGTAGAACTGGCGGGTCGTGCATCACAGGGCCTTCGAACCAGCATTGTTCGGATAGATTCGTTCAAGATCAGCAGTGATGTTCGAAGTCTAAGGGGAGTCGCTTTCTTCGACTGGATGGCCGAGAGGATACGGGAAACCGTCGCCGAAGACGGCGAGAAGGGTCACAGTCCGGACCACCCCCTCATCATCGGCATGGCTTGGAGCTTCCCCATTGAGTACGTCTCCTCTCCCTGCTCCATATGCTGCTGTCCCGCTAACAGGACCAGGCAAACCTCCTCCAAGGGCGGGAAACTCTGTGGTATGGGCAAAGACTTCCTCGCAGCCGAGGGGCTTGTCGGGCAGGACCTCGGAGAGATCATCAACCTGGCATGCAGGAGAAAGGGGATTCATGTCGAATTGTGCGCCATTGTCAACGACTCGAGCGCCACCCTGCTTTCCAAGGCCTACACCAACCCTTCAACGCGCTTCGGCTTGATTCTCGGGACAGGGGTCAATATCGCGGCTCACCTCCCCGTCAGCACCATCGACCTACCAAAGTACGGTGACCGGCCCAGCAGCTGGCACGAAAAAGCGAGCCACGTCATTGTCAACACGGAGCTGGGCATGTTTGGCAAGGACATCCTCCCGCTGACCAGATGGGACAAGCTGCTCAAGGCCGCACATCCCCGGCCAGATTTCCAGCCCCTCGAGCAGCTTGTTAGCGGCTTATACCTCGGCGAGATCTGCCGGCTAGCCCTGCTCGACGCTATCACTACCACGGGGATATTTGGCGGGACAGTCCCACCGTCACTCCAAAAGCCCTACTCGCTCGACACCGAGACCCTGTCATTGATCGAAGCGTAAGTTTTCTCATCCCTTTCTCTTTCCCTCCCTTTTTTTCTTTACCAACTAACGCTCAAAAAGCGACTCTTCCTCCTCCCTATCAACTTCCATCACCCTCTTCACCTCCCGTCATCCGAGCACCGTGACCCCGACCACAGCCGACTTGGCCTTTTTGCGCGCCCTGGCGTCGTACATTGCGCGCCGCTCCGCCGCCATCGTGGCCGCCTCGCTGTTTGCGCTCTGGGAGCTCAAGGCCGAGGCCGAGCGCGAGCTGATCACGGACGCCTCCTCTTCACCCTCCTTTGCGGCGGCGGCCGCCGAAGCCGAACTGGCCCTATCCGACGCCAAGACCACGGTGGCGTACAACGGCTCCGTCGTCGAAAACTACCCGGGCTACCGGGACCATTTGCAGAGCTATATTGACCAGCTAGTTTCGATTTCCCAAGAGAGGAGGAGTCAAGACCAAGGCCAAGACCAAGGGACAGTGGCAAGGGGCGCGGAAGGGGTGATTGCGCTCGTCGAGGCGAGGGAGAGCCCGCTGCTTGGGGCTGCGGTGGCGTTGGCTTGCCTGGATTAACTACGTACCTAATCGGACCGCGGGATGGGAAGGGGGAAAGGAAGTAGCGGCATGGTTAAGGACCATGGTTAATACGACTATTTTAACGTAAAATACTCATGTTAAGCAACTAGCGATGCGTTTATAGCTCTTGTTGATCACCGCAGGTTACAACACGGTGAAGTAAATAGAAGAGTAAGATGTAGGCAGGGAACGGATGAGGTCACTCCATGTATGTAGCGCAGGAAGAAGCGAATCACCGAGATGCCCCCTTTGTGACAATTCGCTTGTCAGGCGCCTCCGTATCATAGGTATTGTACAATACCTAAGGTAGCTGGCATCTCTTCTCGGCCCTGAAGCCTCTAGGTATCAGAGGTCGTTAAACGGCTTTGTTTGTTTTAGGGGTATCCGCTTTCCACCGTCCAAGTACCTCCACTGCAACCTTACCCAACTACATCCATCCAACTTTGTCTTGTACAATACAGTAAATTCGCCCCACCTGTGCTCTCCCCACACCGCAGAAGCGAACTGAAGCTAACTCCTTCAAGATCAGACAACTCCCGGACGAGTCGCGTGCACCTCATGATGACCAGCAGGAAAGGGGGAACAGGGAGCAAGCCGCCCTGCGACCCCAGGAGAAAATCAGAAATAACATCAGGCAGGACCCAGCCCCAAAAGCTCCCACTTTGCTTACCAAACGCCATGTAAAACCCCCTTCGCCTCGAGTACAATACCTCGCCCTGATACACATCACGTGGACTCTATATATGGTAGATGGCCACTATTACTCGGCGGCAAAGTACCTTTTGGTCTTGCTTCTCATCTGCTGCGCCTTGACTTCGGGCGGGATAACAATGTGATGGACCACGTGCGGGCGGTAGATGGCGTCCACGGGGGGCATCCTAAGCAGATTAAGCACGGCGTTAGCAAACAGACTCCCTCTCGATTTCGTAGCGGGCGCACAGATCAGAAAGGGGACAGATAACTCACCAATCGTCCAAACTAAGAGGGAAATACTCGTACAACATATCCGCCGGCTCCAGCGGGCTGGTCAGAGTAGCGTTTTGAGACCCCGAAGCTGCGTGGCCTTGCTGTCCGCTGGCAGAATGCGACGCCGAGGTCTTGGTGAACTGGGGGCTTTGCGCGCTATCGGCCGAGTTGGACCTATTTGGGCTACGTTCGTCTTCAGATAGGGAGAGGTTGATTGGGAGCGTTTGGGGTGCAGCGGGAGCAGTGGTGCTCCGTTGGGACCTGGTGGCGGCAGAAGAGGCAGAGGCTGCTGGTGTGTGTATGTTGTTGTTGCTGTTGTTATTGTAATTGTTGACAAAACTATTTCCCATGCCGACAGAGGAGCTGTCTAGCGCTCCCCAGGATGGTACTGGCGGGCGTTGAAGACTAGGAGAGGAAATGGCCATTTTCTTGCTTGGATGCTGCGGGCTGGGCGTGGGGAAGGGGCGAGGCGTTGACCATTCGGAGTTTGTCTGCGAGCTGTGGTTAGCATTGATGGCGTCTAAAAGCACAGACTACAACCAACCTGGGCATTTCCCACCGAATGATAGCGTTGAGAGTTCTGTGCTGTCTCCGGGCGCTCTTCCTTTGCGTGCTGACTATTCTGGTGCTGCTTTGAGCTGCCTCCGGCAGGGCCGTAGGACCCGTCAGTTGCCCTTCTCTCCATCGCCCTTCTATCCCCCGACAGGGGCACGTCCCTACGGCCGTCGAAATTTCTAGGGCTGCGGCCTCGTACGATGACGGGCCCGGACTGGATCTCGGCGACCTTGAGGTGCTCCCCATTCTTCGTCTTCACCAGCAGGTTAATTTGCACCACGTAGTGCTGCTGTAGGCCCTTTCGGCGGCCGTTATTTGCCGTGGCATGCTTGAACTGCAATCTCTTCCACGACACGGGCACCGACACATGACTACCATCCACCTCCTGTCCGCTGCTCAGATCAAGTGACACAATCGGCGGCGGGCTGGGCATCTTCGGTTCTTCGGCCACTAACGCCGCATTACTGCTCTTCCACGGAATCGTGATAATTTCGGTGGCCTTGCCCTCGATACTCTCGATCGCCGAGATGGACGCCGCCAGCTCGACAGCGGGCTCCTGCCGTCCCTGGTCGTCCACATAGTGCGCCACATGACGCGGCAGCGTGATTTGGCCCGAGATTTGCCACAAGTTTCGGCGATAGCACGTCAGCTCGAGCGGGCGGCCCGTGTTGTGGTCGGCGCCGAAGACATCCTCGGCAACGAAGAACATGCCGTACAGCTCGCCCGTCATGTTTGGCTCGACGAACTGGCCAGCCTCACCAATCAGCGTGGCCTTGCCGGGAATGGGCGGGCCAAAGCCCAGGAGCTTGTTGTCGAGGTCTTGTGGGGACAGGACTTCGCCATTGTAGGCGTCGGCGTCTAATGCACCGATGGTTGTGCCGTCAAAGCCTCGGGCCGGGTATGAAAAGGGGTCGTCAAAGGTAGTGCCAAAAGTCTCGAATTCGTAGCCGGTTGGAGTGTAGGGGAGATTTGGAAGCCCGTGGACGGGGTCGCTTGCAGGGAGGTAACTATTAGACCTCGGTCAAAGAATATTGTCTTTCGGGTGGTTGACGTACAGGAGCGACTCATCAAAAGCCATGTTCGGATCGAATGCGTCCATGCCCGAGGCATCCAGCCTCACGGCATCTGAACCCGGGGCGGCTCCGGTCGATAAGGCCGGCATGGAACCGAAACTAGCCATCTCATCGTCGTTCGAATAGAGCTCTAGTGAGTTTGTTTCATAAGACTGCGCATGCGCGACAACGGCAATCGTTATCTGTCACGCATGCCATTTGCAACAAAAAGCTTCAGGTCAGCAGAATCGCGATTCCGCATTCTTCGCGCGAAGCGGGAAACTACTGGCTGATTAGGGAGGGGTGAGATAATGGGTTAGGTGGAGGCGGAGAGGTCATCGCTAAGAGCTAGTTACTGTGTAGGTAACCGGGATACTGCGATGCAACTGGTCGCCTTCAATGCCCACCCACTTCGAGCGCACCTCTCAGGTGCCTTCTTTCCCTGGGAGCCTGGTTGCCTACCCCGGTTATCGTTGGAGCCCTTCCCGCCAAGTTTCGGCCATGTAACACTCACGAGATGAACCCAATGCGATAAGATAATGAAGGCTAAATTGTGTTTTGTTTGCTATGTATTGTCTGTGATAACTCACTGAACTATCAGACATATCCAGCGACGCCTTGCTTATTACGCGGTGCTCTGTCTAGTTTCTGAGGTCGTTGGCAACTCCTGTCCATATTTATCCTGTCGGTTGTCTGGCTTCTGGGCCTTTCCCGACCACGTGCCACTAGAGGCGCTTGGCAACGCTACCAAAGTAATTATTGCGGGGAACCTGGCAGCATCACCGCACCAGGACTTTTAGCGCTTTGGTGCTTGGTTCTGTTCATCAGAGGGTTGCCAGCGCCAGCCGCGGTGCCGTAGCACACGACAGCTTCGAGTTATGTAATTACCTGGTAGACAATGCAAGAGGTTTTATACGTACTTGCACAACACATCCACCATGCCTCTGATACATGATACAAATCTTGTGTATTGTTTGTCACAAGGGGGAATGGTGGTAGGTGAAGACAAACTACCAAAAACAGTGTGCAACGCCACACAGAAAACGGTGTTGACTTCGAGAGCCCCTGAGAAGCCAGGGATCTCATGTGAGGTTCTCTCATCCGGGCACCAGTCTCACATCGTAAAAAGATGAGAACTAGGCAAGATCCCGCCACTAAGAGAACAGTCAGTATGTACCCGTACTCGACCTCGATTCATGGCAGCTTGGTTTTGCTCACATTGTCTGGAGAATTAGTAAACTGCTCAAAGGCGTGGAGAACCTCGAATCCCATGGCAAGCAACGGCTCGTGTGCCTCGCCTTCTACCCAGCTAAGGACGCTCCTGAGTGCCTTGTGCGCCTTGTTCTGCCTCAGCCCCATGAGCGCCAACCCTTGAAGTACCAGATTTGCCTGCGCTGTCGATGGAGGCACGATTGGCGCGATGATGCCTCCGATGAGGTCGTGCTCATCAGTAGTTGGGGTCTGCAACGGGGGGATAAAATTCGCCAGCGTGCTACCCGGGCTGCAAATAATGACCGTTCCTAGCAAGCTCTCCATCGCGTTCTTTGCCCGGACGACACCGCACGTCTTCGTCTCTTGCAGAGCAAATCTATACAGTTCTAACACCTCAGGGTCTGAATGGGCCGCGACATGATCGAGCACGCTCTCGGCATTGTCCAGCCCATGGATGAGATCGAAACTGATGTTGGCTCGCTGGATAGACTGCAGGAGACCCTCGGGGGCGCTCCAGTTACCCAAGACACCGACCGTCATGTTCGTCAGGCGTTTGGGGAATTGCAGATCCCACCCGCTGTTGGCAAACCACTGCTTGAGACCAACGCTGTCCTCTGTGGGGATTCCTAGAAAGACGCCCGGGAAACATGTGCCAAGTTGCAGCTTCTTGAGGCCCCGCCTCTGGATAAGCCCGCGCAGGGCCCTGCGCTGCAGTGATCTCCCTATTGATACGTTGCGTTTAGTAGGGTCCACGAACAGGGCGCCGATGATACCCGTCCCTTCGATGTAGTAGGTCGAGCAAAATCCGTACAGGGCCTGCGTGCTGCTGTTTCGCACCACAAAATGGGATTCCTCGACGTTCGGGTCAGATAATTCGAAAGTATGCGGATTGGTTGTCTGTAGGAACGGGTTGGCAGGGGCGCACGCTCGGGCGAGCGCCTGCAAGAGATCGCTCAACCCCTTGGCATCTCGGTCCCGGTCGTAGGCTTCGACAAGCCAGTGTTGTCTGGACTTTAGCACCTTTCTGCTCTTCCTCAGTGTACCTGGTAAAGTTCCGTGCGGTTTGACGCTGCCGGTCAATACGCGCACCAGGGCTGACATGGCCGTCTCGGTGAAATCAAAGGTGCAGATATAGGTCCCGATCGATTTATCCATGGCGAAGTCGTAAGGCGAACTGACAGCAACCACGACCAAAGATTTTCGTTGCCCGTTGGCCCTCAACATTGAACACATCATGGAGACATGCTTGGTGAAGCCAGCTTGATATAGGTTTCGGTTGGCATCGGCCGTTACAAGGATGATACACGACGCGCGGTTAATCAAATGCTCGTGCACTGCGAAGGAGTTAGCAGCCTTCTTCATCATTCGAACCTGGTAATTGAGACTGACCTGGTCGGACACCGTTGGCAGTGTACGAGGTGTGTAGCAGCTTGCCATGGCGAGCGCGAGCAAGCGATCTTCCGAGTTCCCTAAACACCCCTTCGCCGCTCATTATGGACCCCCGATCGCGATGTGCTACCCATGGGCTGTCATGCACTAGAGGCGGGGTATCGGACTTGTTCTTTGACTCGAGAAGTGTCTTGGTCATTGAGGTGGCAGGAAGCGGTTTCACTAAGGGTGTTAGCAAGAGCAGTTCCTCTTCCCGGTGCATCCACCCGGTCAACGGAAGCAGCTTCTCGTTGTCTCTTATCACGGCTATGGAATCATCATAAGCCTTCAGCGAAAGCGCACGATGACTGGGATGGATCTTTGACAACAACGAGATGCCTGGCGGGTTTAATGCCTTGGCCCATGAAGTGCACGAGTTCTTCATATGAAGGACGCGCCTGAGTGATGTGTATATACGATCCTTGGTTATCAGCCCGTTTTCTACCCCGAGCTTCAGACCCGAGATAGCCTCGAGCTGAACATCGTAGGCGCGGCAGAGAAACACCAGATCGACGCCAGCCTCAACGGCCATGACGGTGCCAGTTTTGACGCCAATCTCGTTTCGGAGGACCTCCATTTCGAGGCACTCGGAAATGGCCACGCCTCGAAAACCCAGCTCATTTCTGAGCAAGTCGTCGACGACCTGGTCGGATAAGCAAGCATGATTGACGTTCATAGATGGGTTGCTGATGCCGCAGCCGCCGACAAACATGGCGTCCAGCTTTCCCGTAGCAATGGCGTTGCGAAAAGGGACGAGGGAGCTCAGAGAGAGCTCCTCTAGGGTCTGTGTTATGATGGGCATGTCCAAGCTGGAGCCGAGGAAATCGAGGTTCCCATACGACGGGAAATGCTTCCCGCAAGTTGCCACGCCAGCGTCCTTATACCCATTCATGGCGGCGATGCCATACTGTGACACCTCCTGGGGGTCATCGCTGGTGGCCCTGACGCCGAGCGGCTGATAGCGAGCATTTGTCAGAACGTCCAAGACAGGCCCAAGGATCAGGTTAACGCCAACGGCCGAGACTTCTGTTGCTGTGGCTTTGGCGATCTGGTAGGCGAGGTCAGCGTTCCCGGCGGCGGCCTGACCCATGGAGCTAGGGAACTGGCAAATGAAGTCATCGTCGAAGAGACTATTGACACCACCATTCTCTTGGTCCAAGGCAATTAGCAGGGGCTGAGGATGGCCCGCCTGGCGGGCAATTGCCTGCAGCTCCTGTACCAGCTTTGCCGTCTGCTGGGCGGCTACATGACAAGTTAGCAAGCGGCGGGTGCATAGAGTTGGTCATACTACGGAGAGGGGACGACATTTAAGGTTCTTTGCGGTCAAGAGGATGGATCCGAGGTGATGCTCCTCGATGAGATGACGGATCTGCGGGGTGACCTCGGTGCCGTCCCATCCCATGAGCAGCATCTGCCCAATGGCCCTGTCTCGCAATTGTTAGCGATCTATCAATCTACAACAGAACCTGAGCCTCTCATGGTTGGACCGTCATTGCAGAGTTGCCATTGCCGACAAGCACCGCACCATGTTCGCCATGAAGGGGGCCGCGGAGTGACGCGGGAGCGGCTCCGCAACAATATTCCAGCAATCTCACTTGCAGAGATACAGTCGGAAGCGAGAGGACATCATGGTCAATACAGTAACTGATGAATAGCACGCACCAGTCGAGATCCTGCCATAGTGGGTCCAGGTCACCGTCCAGTTTGGTCATTTTGGCCAGCCGTTAGGAATTCAAGGCAAGACTGTTTGAATTTGGCGAAGTTGTCACGTTATGGCGACATGCCCGTTTGCTCAGGTAACAATGCTCCTCCTATCCATAAGGTATGCTGGCCAACGTGTTGCTGCACTACCAACAAGCCGCATTGGGGAGGTTGTGGGTGCGGTTTGGGCGATTGAGCGAGAGACTCGCTAACCAACCATGGTTGCAGTTCAGGAAACCCCAAAGTTATGGTAGAAGAGACAAACAAGGGCTAGGAAAAGGCCTGAGGCTAGCCTGGTTGAGCAGTATCATGTATGGTACAGTACTGTAACGTACGTAAAGTACTGTAGGACACTGTTGATTGATAAAACCGAACCTCCTTAGCAACGTTACATCCCCACTCAACCTTCAAAAAGTCCATGATGATGGAGTCCGATTGGAAATATGTGTGAGATCCGCCTTCATGTCTTGCCTTCCGTCTACACTACTACCTTACATTCACTGGAAGTCAATCATCAGTACCAGGCTCGATCCGCCACAGCAGTGCGTAACGGGCTGGTGGGGCGAACCTTCTCGTCACAGTGCGCTCGCTGTAAGACTCCTGGACCACACCTTCCGTCCAAACCTACGTTGGAAGCATGATGTGCCAGGTACAAGACACCTGGAATGTCAGGTGAACCTCACAAGAGGAAGGGACCACAACACCCCGTTATCGCTTCCAACGAATGTGGCCTGCGGTTGAGCCCACGGGTTCCCTTCCATTGGAACGTGGATTCTCACCACAACCTGGAAGTTCCATAGGTACATCCGGCGGGCCGAGCTCTGGATTCGAGGTATGGCTTTGGCAGCATGAAATTGCTCAGGTAGAGCTTTCCAGATCCTCCAGGTCTATATTCGCATAGAACAATGCGCTTTCACTCTCATCCGACTGTCCCTGATATACGGACGACCTACCTGCTGAGGACACGAGGCGTTGCTTGAGCCCTTCCCCTCTGTTACATAAAACCATATCAACTTGATGCTGTGAGCTATCTTAGTGGCAACTCCACCCTACTAGAACTACGTCCCCTTTGCGATATGCCTTCCGCCGTGCTCTCAACACCTCCTCGTAGTGGCATCACCAGGCTGACCAACTGCCGCCTGCTTCGTGGTGATGCCCTCGTCTCGGACGACATTTGGCTCAACTCCGCGACGGGTAAGATCATCAGCAGTCAGGAGGCTTTCTATGATGAGCACGCCTTCCCCGATGAGAGTATCGACCTCGGCGGCCGTATTGTGTCGCCGGGTTTCATTGATTGTCAGTTGAATGGCGCATTCGGCTTCAACTTCTCTACCGCTACCGACGACATGGAGCAGTACAACAAGCAAGTCCGCAGGTTAAACAAGCAGCTCGCGCAGACGGGCGTCACATCCTACATCCCGACTGTAACGAGTCAAACGAGCGAGCTTTACCAGAAAGTGAGTCCAGACCAGCCGAGCATCGTCAACCCCTGTACTCACAACCAACCGTAGGTCCTCCCTTACCTGGGTCCCTCAGGCTCCGCGCGCTTCGCCTCGGACGGCGCCGAGTCGCTCGGGGCGCACGTCGAAGGGCCTTTCCTCAACCCGAACAAGAACGGCGTGCACAATCCCGCCGTCCTCCGCACCGCCTCCGACTTCTCCGACCTCGAAGACATGTACGGCGCCTCCAACCTAACCCCCTCTTCTTCTCCTTCTTCCGCACCCGGGTCAGGAGACACCACCACCCCTCCTATACCCATCAAGATGATCACCGCCGCGCCCGAAATGGGCAACATGACCGCCCTGATCCCCGCCCTTACCGCTCGGGACATCATCGTCTCGATCGGCCACTCGGACGCGAGCTACGAAGAAGCCTCTGCCGCCGTCGCCGCGGGAGCGACCATGATCACGCACCTGTTCAACGCGATGCGGCCGTCGCACCACCGCGATCCGGGCATTTTCGGGGTTCTGGGCGTGGCGCCCGCCTCCGCCGCCGCCGCCGCCACTGACAACGACTACACGGATGACGTCGACGACAACGTCCATGAGGACAGAGGCAGTAGTAGTAGCAGCAAAAGGCGGGGGAAACTGGGGCGGCCCTACTTTGGCATCATCGCCGACGGGATCCACCTGCACCCGGCCACCATCAACATCGCGTGGAACGCGCACCCGGACGGCTTCATACTCGTGACGGACTCGATGCACATGGTGGGCCTGCCCGATGGGCGGTACGAGTGGACCAACGGCGAAGGGGAGCACTTCATTGTGAAGAAGGGCCATGTGCTGCTGCTGGAGGGGACGGGGACTATCGCGGGGAGGTGAGCTTCCGCCTTTTTTTTTTTCTTTTCTGTCTCTTACTGTTCTCATTCGCTGCGTGGATCCAAGATTGATTGGTTGAGTGCTGACCCTTCCCTCCGAAACATCAGCTCCATCACCTTGATCGAGTGTGTCAACAATTTCCTCAACTGGTCCGGAGTCACCATCCCCCAGGCCCTCAAGGCTGTTACTGCCACGCCGGCAGCCATGCTTGGCGTGGAAGGTGTCAAGGGGTGTCTTGAGCCGGGCGCGGATGCGGATCTTGTGATCCTGTCCGAGGAGGCCTGCCGGGGCAGGAGGAGTCTTGTAGTGGATGAGGTATGGAAGTTTGGGACCAGAATCTATGAAAAAGGCAATGCTTGAAGAGGACGGGATCTTGTGAGAGCAGTGTGATTGGATTACGATAGTAGATTGAATATTGTCCGCCGGCATTCGTATCTCTCTTGGGGCTTAACTCGGAAACCATTTTGATCAATGCGATGAGATTAGAACTTAGATTATGCAAATGGCATATATGATGATTAATGAATGTTACTCTAATACAATTATACGTGCCTCATATCCAACCGTCGCATACCCACTCAGCTCAGTGTGAATGTGTTGCTAACTCCTTCGAAAGCCCTAACGCTTCCAATCAAGGGTTTTGAATCCCCGTAATACCGGATACGATATGTCCCGGCTACATCCTCCTCCTCATTCGTTTCCCACGTGATGGTAACCTCGCTGTATCCCAGCAGACCATTTGTCCTCGTCCATGTATACACCAGCCGCCAGTCGTCGTCGCTCAACACCCTCGTCCAGGTCCGGCCGTCACTGCCAAGTTTTTCGACCGCCGCAAAAGTGCCTTCCAAACGGAGGTTATTCCTGGGGTTGGCGCCGACAAAGGTGGCGTTGATTACAGCGCCGCGGGCGTATGAGCTGGCGGGCTGTTGCGTGCAGGTGCCAAAGCTGGACCCGGCGGGAGCGTTGTCCATGACGACGCCCGTGATAAAGCTCAGGCTGGATTCACGGTTGTCGGGCGGGGTTGGCCCAGGCGGGGGGCTACCGGATGCTGTGGGAGCGAGGTAGGGCAGGCCGCGCAGGGTGAGATTAATGTAGGCCGGCAGCTCCCACTGGCCGTACAGAGTACTCGCGCCTTCGTACCGTTGGACACGAAACTCCTCGGGCGTGGTAACGTAGTGTGCATACGAGTTCGCGGGGCCACCGAGGACGACATAAGGCTCTATAGTCCCGGTGAGGGACAGCTCGGTAGCAGCGGACTTGACGGCGTTGCGCCAGCGTCTGCCAGCCATGGTGCTCGCTTCAGACGGTGAGACGATGATGATGAACTGGCCCACACGCATCGTCTGGACGTCGACAATATTCGGGGACCAAGCATACGGGACGCTCATCTCGCCGACATCAAGAAGGATGGGTTTGGGCTCTTGACATTTCTTCTGCTGGGCGCTTGGTGTCCGGAGAAGGCCTGACACTGCCTGCCATAGTGGGTTGTTTGGAGCCCCTGAATCGCCCTGAGTGAAGTCAAAGGCACCGGGCCAATCCGAGGTCCCTGCAGCGAATGAATACCCTAGGGCGGCCGGGCATGTCTGTACCAGCGTGCCGTTGTCCAAGGGGAATGTGTAGTACTGCATATCTTGGAAGTAGTGGAACGATCTAACCGAAGCACCAACAACAGATGTCGCCTGGGAATCCAGGGAGTCCTAGTAGAGTTGTGAGTCGTCTCATCGCAACCACGGCGGCTTTAGGACTTCTTACATAGAGTGACTTGGCTCCCGTAAACTGCCTCTTTGCGATTTCGACGCAGCTTGACACGCCGAGGTCGAGCTTGTAAAATAGTGGCCCTCGCCCGTGGCAAGATTGTGATTTGCCATCTCCGCAAGTGCTGGTCTGGAAATCGCACATTTGGCCAGATCCATCATCGCACCACGCTCCTAGGGTGTTTGGAGACGTGTCGCCCACGTTTGCTTGGGAAAAGCCGGCCACAAAGCCATCGGCAGCTCCATCGCTTCCTCTGACCGATTTCTCAAAGAAATAAGCCGCCAGACCCTTATTATCGCCGGTAACATGAGTGTTGTTCCCAAGCATGGAGGTTGGGTGGACGGGGAACCAAGTCAATGCGCCAATATCCTTCCCGTCAGATGCTCTCTTGAACCTCAGAAGAGTCATGGTCTTGTCGACGTCGTCAGCGTATTGTGCTCTCTCTGACTCAGGGTTAGCGAGGTAGGCATATAGGCTACGGTTTATGTTGGCGTCTGAAATCCTTGTGGTAGCGAAGTCCAGATAGCCCTGGGAGGGTGGTCAGTAAATAGAAATGCTCCTAGAATAGGGCGCGTCAAGTCCCACCTCCTGGAGCGACTCGTGCGCCCTCTTTATCGACAGCACAGCGCCATCCACAATCGCCTGGTAGCCCTGTCGGTCGAAGCCGAAGCTGGTAATCTGCGGTAAGAGATAGTTGAACCACCCTCCCGGCCCGCTGTGCGAATGTGTGCCTGTTACGGCAACATTTGATCTCCCGTACATGGAATAGCCGGACCCAAGCGCCGCCACACCCTCGAGGATACCGTTTCGGACCGCGGTATCGCCTGATTGAGTGTCGAGAACGAGATAAACAAACCGATTGGTTGGGTTATCCACTTCACCAATGATGAAGGCTCGCGAGTAGATGCGTTGCCGGACTCCGGTGCCTTTTTGCTCGGTATTGGCATAGCCGGCAAAGTTGATCTCGACCACTGGCCCAGTGATGTCGGCCTTGCCAACTCCGATCAGATACTTGTCGCCGGCCGCAGCACCTCTAGCCTTTGAAAGGAGCAAGTTTTCTTCATGTTCGGGTCTCTCGAAGGTTGCGGTAAACCTGCCCGGTGATTGGATGGACCCTAGCTGCCCAAGGGCGAAGAACGCAAGAAGGAAAAGGGAGACGACGGAGACTAAGGCCATCATCGCTCTCCTCGAGCCTGGCAGACCGCCACGGTGCTGTTGAAGAGGCATCTTAGCCCTGTCTAACCCTAGCCGGCAGAGGGGTGGAACGAGGGGGCTTTAAAGCCCCTCACCGAGAAAATCAAGTCTTTTATAAGTGTCCCGACTGCCGGGTTGCACTCAAACCCGACCTGGGCTTGAAGCACCGTTGGCTAGCTTTCCCCGAAGGTGGTTTGGCGGCTGAGAGGACCAAGAGAAAGCTTGAAGCGGCAGCCAGAACGAGCAGGAAGTGTGCCTTGATAACCGGACGACGTTTCCTCTTATGACTGGCAGGATGTAACGCGACGCGGCTCACCAGGGAAGGGTCTCAGCTTCCGCGTGGCCAAGTTGGCAAGCAGGCACCTGCCATCATGACGTCGGCAGGCCTGTCTGTCACCCTTGCATTGGGAACGGGAGTCTCCCGCTGCTGCTTAAGGGGACCAGTTGCCCAGGTTGCTGGACATTTGGCCATGTCAACTTGGGTCGGCGCATCCTGTCCATGCTCCTTCGAAGCCGGTTATATAACCGCAGGCCAATGAAAAGGCAGATGTTCGTTCTGCTCGAAAACCACTAGCGGCTGGATTGAAGGGATTGTTGCCGCCATTCGACGGGAAATCCTGTATCGAAGTTGCGAACATCCCGATAGCCATCGCCCATTGGAGAAGGGTCCAAGTTGCACGGGAAATGGGCATATCTTCCCTAGTGTATGTACTTCATAAGGAAAGAGCCTACGAAAAAGCTGGAAGGACGTCCTGGGAATTTTGGGCGTTAGGGGAGGGTCACACGACAGCCTGATTGGGCTGTTTGCTCCAGTCTTGCCTTGTGCCCTGATCGCGGCGGAGTGGTCGATGCATTAGCTCTTGCGAGCAACCGGGTCAGGAGGCCACGCCATGAATCAAGGTTATCACCTTCTGTTCTTGATGGTGTCGATTCTAGGTTATCGGATAATTGGTAGGTATGGGTGTCAATTTCCTCAACTTCCTGGTCCTTCTGTATAGAGACCGTCGTTCTAGATTTCGAGGCCGTCGTTTTGGCCAGTTCGTTTTGGAAACGCCCCTGGCGCGCTATGGTACTTAGGTACATCAAACCTAAAATTGGCCATTCGGCCGGTCATGGTATAAAGAGGACTCGTTCCCGTTTTGGTTTGAATCTGTTCCCAAAACCCAGAGATTGAACAACGCAGCACCTCCAACCTGCCAACTCTGACCCAGTTCATTCCATCACAACTATCGATCCACCTCACCCTTGTACAACTCGGTATCGCCTTTTAACAATCCGTCGCATAACATATCACTTCCGTGCGCCTGACCCTCACCACGCGTCATTAGGAGAAATGGCACCAACAGCAGCTCCGAGTCCTCGTCAGTCCCGATGGGGACCCCGAAGTACCTTCACCGCTCCTGCCCTTGCCAGCCTCAAGCTTGCGATCGAAGCTCCGATGACGGCTGAGCAGGTTGAGGCCTATGCTCTTCATGTGCGCATCCCCGAGATCACCCAAAAGTTGGAGCTGGATGATATTGTTCCTGCTGATCCGATACGCAGGTCAACATCCCCGACACCGGAATATGACATGTCCGGTCGACGAGTTAATACGCGCTACCAGCGCTACCGGGGGAGCCTCCTAGCGGAGCGCCAGTCATTAATTAGCCAAGCAGTACAGGTTATACCGAACTACCACCCCCTGCCGGCTTCCGATATACGACGACTCCTTCGAGAATAACGGAGAAACTATACATCCCCGTCAAGGACTTCCCTGAAGTCAATTTCATCGGGCAGATTCTCGGCCCCCGTGGTCGCAGTCTAATGGAAACGGCTACAGCTTCCGGCGCGACGATCGCGCTACGCGGCAAAGGCTCTGTCAAGGAGGGCCGTGGGAGAGCAAACAGCAAGCTCCGCGACATGGACGACATGAACGAGCCTCTCCACTGTCTCATCACGGCAGACAGCCAGGCCAAAGTCGACAATGCCAAATCGCTACTGAAGGAGACCATTGAAATGGCGATTACCACCCCCGATCACGCTAACACCAGGAAGCAGGAACAGCTTCGCGCTCTCGCCAAGGTCAATGGCACTTTTCGAGATGACGAAGGCTTACACGCAGGTACCTCTAGTATTCCGGTTGCCTGTCGAGTCTGCGGTGGTAATGGCCATATCGCACGCGACGGTGTGAAAAGACAGGCTAGGTTGTTACACCGCGGCAGTACTGTGAGGTTCAAGACGCCTCCATGGAGGAAGGCGAGGCAGCATGGAACTCAGCCTGGAGCTCACGGAAATATCAACCTAGTTGACGCCATGTACTCCAGCTTCCTGTCCGAAGTAATTATACCCTCGACAGTGAACAGCTTTCCTAGTTAGTTGTTAGTTTATAATAGTATAGTTCTATCAGTAAGAACTCGGAAAAGTGGAAAAATGAAAAGTCGACTTGAACGCAGGAGGAAACGGAGATCGGCGGCCTGTGAAGCCTTGTTGCGTTGTCGTCAATCTCTCGCAACAGCGACCCGTATCCGTTAACCGAAAGGCGAAAAAACATCATCGAGCTGGAAGAGCTAGATATCCCCACTATCTTGTTGTGTAAAAAGCTGCCCCGACTTGTCGAAGAGCAGCAGCCTGGACGATTCGGATCTTGTCTTCGATATCGCCAGGCGCGCAATGGCGATTGGCACCACCCTACAGATACACAACCCCACAAAGAGCCCCACTTATGTAGATGCGGGATCACGAGTTAGCCAGTCCCACCAGTCTCTCAGCCAGTACAGTTCACCCCTTGTTTGTTTCATTGTTAGCGCAGGACTCTCGACAGGGGTTCTTGTCCAAAAATCAGAGAAATGCTTCTCAGCAGCCAGAACAGTTGATTCTATACAAGAAAGAAGAGTGTCTAGCATTACTCAAGGAGACTATTCTTTTCAGAGTCGTTTTTCCGTGGAAAAACTGGCCGTTTTGATGTTGAAATTGAAAACTTAGGGCTCACCCTGGTCTTGAAGTCAGGCGCTATGTAACGAACAAACAAGGGGGGGACTGTAGGTATGGTCGTATGTGACAGAACACTCCAGTGCTATCCTTTATATTGGGACATTTCAGTGGCAGTCCGTTGCATGCTGTCAACGACGTTTCGCTCCGACTCATTCACAACACGTCGCATTATTACTGTATACTATGATCCATGGCCATATAGCAACGGAACAAATTCCCTGGGGCCGCGGGCAGGGGCGTTCCATCCTTAACCTTGTTGTGGTTTCTCAGGAACCTTGGGTATGTATGTATATTGAACACCCGGGTCTGCGAACATCTGGAAATCATCAGATCCATTACGGAGTATCTGTCTTTGCAGACCTAGTACAAATTAAGTCCAGTGAAGCAGCTGAAAGTGACTCCTGCTCTCAAAATGCTGCTTGCTAATCTCACTTCTGCGGTCGCTGCCTCACCTACCTAGCCTAGCTCACTATCTTATATCTACCGTACATTGGATATCCATACATCATACAACAATAGGACAATCAGACAAGACAGCAAACAGAGAAAACCAAGCCAGTCTCCATATCTCGCACCATTGCTCCCGCCATCTCTAATGCCTTGTGTTATGGTATGGTATAGGGCTGTATCAGAAACGAAAGTGCACGCCGGTGGAGCGAAGAAAACAAACCAGAAAGCGGAACCGTCCCAGCCTTATGCTATGCTTAATGCCATGCCTCGCATCCCCCAAGGAACCTCCCACACACCTACACATTCCAGGACAGACTTAGAAGAGGGAAAAGGGAAGGGAAACGACATGCAGAAGCACAGAAAGAAGGAAGAAAAGTATAAAAGGCCAAAACGAACGCCCAGAAACGCCCATCCCGCTTGCAATAGATATTTCCAGCACGTGGTATTTTCCACCCTCCCATCCTCCCCTTTCCGGTTGAAACTTTTGAGACCCCCCTTTAGCACTCATCCTCCCTTCTTGCAACATGTCCCTCTGCCCAAAATCCAAAGGATATTAGAAAAGAGAAGAGCCTTTTCCTTTCCCAGTCCCCGTCATAATTCCACTTCTTCCCCCCTCCAAAACCATTATGTACCAGCCCAGTGGCCAAGTCGATGTCGTTCAAACGCTGTTTCGACCTATATTCTCCCCTACCATCTCCTTCGATCTTTCACCCTCTTCGTTGAAGATACGGCCTTGAATATAGGATAACAAGCCGCGCCCAGCACGTGCCGGCGGCAGCACTAGCTTCCGTACCCTCTCTCAACGATCGCCGCTGGTCGCTCAGCGAGGCTAAACATTGGCGCTGGGCCGTAAACGGCTTCATAGGAGGCCGGATTCAACCTGCGTTTTCTCCGTCTTGCGGCTTCCAGCGTCCTTCGTCCTCGTTCGTCCGGCGTCACTGTTGAACAATTGCGTTTGCTGGTTTCTGGTATCGCCTAAATCCCAAGCTGGCCGACGGCGGTGGGTTCAACCACGTTATCCGACAGGTTGATGAGCAGCTGCGCGAGGCAGCGTTTCGTCGCAGCGTCGTCGCGGAGCACAGACTGGAACGTATGGTCGCGCAGCGGTTCCGGCAGGCATTGCCGTAATGCCTCGCGAGCGCGGGCGTTGTCGCTGAGTCTGGATTTTTTGGAGAACGAGGGTTAATGCCAAAGCGCATATGAAGAGAATAGGAAGACCAGGCCTTACCTCAGGAAGCACCGAACCACATGCTTCAGCAGCCTCGCGGTCTGCTGCTCCACCAGCTGGGCGACCATATTGCTGAGGACCGTACCCACAGCATAGAAGCGCTCATAGGTGGCGCAAATGTAGTTGAGACCATTATCGTCGAGCAGGATCTTTTGGACGATGAAGATGGCCACTGTTTTGCTGAGTTCGGACCCGGTTTCCATAATCCGGAGGCACAAAGGGATAATCTCGGTCGTAAGGAGGAAGTTGATGACCTCGGACGAGTCATTTTTGACCAGGGCCCCGATTACTCCAAGCGACGTAAGCCGGAGATATTCAAAGGGCCGCGACTTTGACGTCGTGTTGAGGAAAGGGTAGAGAAAGAGTGGAATGTGTGCTATCAAGCAGGTCAGCTGGTGTTGCCGTGGGATGGGAACCTCAAGGACGTGTCACCGTTTAAGAAAAGCCCCCGGGTCTCGTTGTGCGATGCCACGCACTGGAGGAGAGCCAACGCATTACAAACTCTGTTAGAGGCAGCGGCAGTGAGCTGTGATGGGCTAAGGAGCGTGTAGACACTGATAATCTCTTGAAGCAGCGACGTCATGACCCCTAGAGCGCATAGTCAGCACAAACGACGTGCGAAACTGCGGGAACACAATGTGGGGATGTCCTACCGAACGAGTGCCACAGAATCAAAGCGAGTTCAGGAACCTGCTCCCTCTTTTTGCTGAGCTCCAGCAAGGCACCCTCGCGCGTGTTCTCGTTCAAGAGATCGGCAATGTATTGCAGCGTGCGCCGATTGTCTTCGGACACGGACGACTCGAGGGCATTGTCCTGGCCGTGGGCCTGGGTCAGAGGGCCGACGCTGTTGTGGGCACCTGCGATGCGATTATAGTGCTGCTGCTGAGCGACGTTGGCGGCGACGGCCGCAGCCTGGGTGTGGTGCGAGTGCGATGGCTGCTGATGCATCCAGGCCGAGTCGGCCTGGGGATATTGATGATGGGAATATACGTGTGGATTTGGCATCATCTTTGCGGCAGGTCGCTGGTGGCTCGAGAAGAGGGTATGGGCGCTATGGGCGGTCTGACCGGAGGGCGGGGGACGGCGAGGGGTGAGCGGGTCGGAAGGTACAAGTTTTGTTATCTGTCGCCGGTAACAGGAAGGTGCGGCAGTCTCGGGCTGAGCGTCATGAGCGGAAGGGATGAATCATATAGTTCAGTTCGTATTATATGCAACCGCTTCGAGGAAACAATTGTGCGTTTGAAGTGGTGGCGTGCCGAAAACTGGAAGACGCGAGTCCTACTCCATACATAACAGTGTCGACGATGTTGGAGGTGAAACCGTGAAAGAGAACGTCCATCTATTCTTAAAGCGGGAGCCGCAGCCCGGGCCTGCAGCCGATTCTCAAGAATGGCGAATCGCGGCTTTAGGCGGGCACGCACGGGCCAGGTGTGGGGTGGGCAAGGGAGGACCCGGGCAGCCCAGTTCCCCATCGAGCCTGATTGGGCGGCAACTGGACAGAAAGATAAATGCGAAGAGAGAGAAAACTCCCGGCAAGGCCGTTCACATTGTTCTTCGTTTCAACATCCCACTGCAACCAAGAAATGACCAAAAAGGAACAAAACGTAATTCATCCAAAGACTAAGTTATACAGAAGGCTGAGCCAGATAGAAGATAATGTTACAATCATAACCGCCCTGATCCGAACGCCTTAACCCAACCAACAGGGCACTAACCTGCCCGGCCCCAGGATATCTATTTAGATTCTAATGCCTTGTTTTATCCAAGTTTACCGGGTCCGTCCTCAACGCCAATGCCAATCCATGCTGCTCCGGTTATTTTTATCTATCACAAGAACACAAAGAGAATGAGAATTGTGCCTCCCAATGCGAGGGCCCGTGATGGGGTGTCCCTGACCCCACCGGCCTCTACAATGGGGATCGTGGTGGTGGGCCGAATTCCACCAGTGCCCGTCCCTATGCTTGTAGAGTTGTGTGGAACAGGGCGGAGGGTAGTGAGTTTGGTGATAGTAGTGCTGATCTCTCTGGAAGTTGCAGTCAAGCTAGCAGGAGGAGTTGTTGTCTCTGACTCGTCTGGCTCTGTTGTTGTTGTCAACTCCTCTGCGCCCGTGCTTGTCGGGCCGACGATGTCAGAGGACCCAGAACTCTCGCACGTATCACAAGGAGGTTCTGTTGTCTCTGACTCGTCCGGTTCCGTCGTTGTCGTCGATTCATCTGCCGTTGTACTTGTCGGGCTGACAATGTCAGAGACCGCAGAACTCTCACACGCATCACAAGGAGGTTCAGTTGTTTCTGACTCGTCTGGCTCTGTTGTTGTGGTTGAC